ATAATGTTAACTTTTATTAATTAAAATTATAAATAAAAAGAAAGCTTTTTTTAAGAATTTTAATTATAAAGGTTTATTAAAATTAAAAAAAGAATTTTATAATACCTTAATACTATAATGTAGTTTTCGTAAAAGATTAATAATTTTTATAGAATTATAATACTAAATGTCTATTACTAGAAGGATTGATTTTCTGTTCTTGTTTACTAAGACTGGTTTGTAACTCCTTGACCTTCTCTAACTACAAGCCGAAGATCGAGAAATAACCTTATATCTTCACACATTGTCTCGACCAGTCCCTAATTGAGTCTCTTATCTTCAGTGCATTCTTTTTTTGGTTCAAATCATCATACTTCCCGCCAGCAATACTCGTCATTGAACTTGTCAATTCAACATTGTTAGACTTCGCTGCCGCAGCGAGATCAGCCGCTATGACTCTCAAACATGAGCCTATTGCCGTGATCGGAATGGCAATTAAAGTCGCCGGAGCCGATGACGTGCAAGAGTTTTCGCAGATGCTGCGCACCGGAAAGTCGCAACATGAGTTGATTGGTCCGGACCGTCTCATGATGGATACACTCTTTCGTGAGGAAGAAAAGGATCCGTCGAGAAATTGGTACGGAAATTTCATCAGAGACGTGGATGCCTTCGATCACAAGTTTTTTAAGCGCAGCCCGCGAGAATCAACCACCATGGACCCCCAGCAGCGTTTGTTTTTACAGGCCGCCTACCAAGCTGTCGAGCAGTCAGGTTATTTCACCGAGAGTGACAGCAGTGGCGATAGGGATAAAAGGCATGTTGGGGTCTATCTCGGAGCTTGTGCTGGTGACTACGAGCACCATGTTGCATGCCACTCGGCCAATGCTTTCACAGCCACGGGCAACCTGAAGAGCTTCATTCCAGGAAAGGTATCCCACTACTTTGGGTGGACAGGCCCGTCTATGACGTTTGACACAGCTTGCTCAGCCTCTGCGGTTGCCATCCATACAGCCTGCCAGAATCTGCTGTCTGGTGAATGCTCGTCTGCTCTGGCTGGCGGTGTGGCTACCATGTCCAACTTTCTCTGGTTTCAAAACCTTGCTGGAGCCAGTTTTCTGAGCCCAAGTGGACAGTGCAAGCCGTTTGATGATGCAGCAGATGGATACTGCCGTGCAGAGGGTATCGCCTGTGTTTTCCTGAAAAGGCTGAGCCATGCTCTGAAGGATGGAAACCCTGTTTTTGGGTGTATTTCAAGCACAGCTGTGTACCAGAATCAAAACTGCACCCCTTTGTTTGTACCAAACTCTCCGTCTCTTTCTCAGCTCTTCAAAGATGTCATCGCCAAGGCAGGTCTCAAACCGGGCGACATCTCGCTTGTTGAGGCCCACGGAACAGGCACACCTGTTGGTGATCCCGCTGAATATGAAAGTATTCGCATTGCCATTGGTGGATCGAACCGCGATACAATACTGCCCATCGGTTCCGTCAAGGGGCACATTGGCCATACCGAGGGTGCTTCGGGCGTTGTTTCGCTAATCAAAGTGATCCTCATGATGCAGGAAAAGTACATTCCTCCCCAGGCTAGCTTCTCCAAGATGAGCTCTCACATCAAGGTGACGCCTTTCGACATGATGGAAGTTGTCACTAGCTTACAGCCTTGGAGCGGGGACCAAAAGGCTGCCCTCATCAACAATTACGGCGCCAGTGGTTCTAATGCTTCCATGGTAGTGACACAAGCTCCTGTCACTCAGCTTGTTGAGAATCCAGCCTTGTCATCTAAGCCAGTGCCGTTTCGTATTTCTGGCCATGATGGCCGCTCAATCAAGTCATTCTGCGACAAACTATTATCTACCCTCGAGCAAAATTCACATTTTGACATCAAAGACTTGGCGTACAGCGTCAATCGGCAATCAAACCCCGATCTACGGCGTCGTCTCACCTTTAGCTGCCAGTCCAGAGCTGATCTTGTATCAAAGCTTTCCGAGATTGCGGCCTCGACGGACGAATCACGAATAGGAATAGAGAATTCCATCGTACAGCGTCCGGTCATACTCTGTTTCGGAGGCCAAGTATCTACATTTGTGGGCCTTGACCGAAATGTCTATGATGCGATTTCAATATTGCGTTATCACCTCGATCAGTGCGACGCCCGCATGCAATCACAAGGTTTCGGCACGATATACCCGGGTATATTCATGCGTACTCCCCAAGATACAGTCCAGCTTCAATTGATGCTTTTTGCTTCACAATATGCTTGTGCCATGGCTTGGCTCGACTCTGGTCTTTCCTCAAAGGTCGTCGCCTTGACGGGACACAGCTTCGGGGAGATAACAGCTCTTTGTGTCTCCGGTACCCTTTCGCTAGAAGACGCCGTCAAACTTGTCGGAAGCCGTGCCTTAGCAGTGAGAGATCATTGGGGTGTTGACCACGGAGCCATGATGGCAGTGGTAGCCGAGGAGGCCCAGGTACTTCAGCTTCTTGCTCAAGCAAAGGGGCCAGATGAGGCGGCTGAAATAGCATGCCACAACGGGCCTCGCAGCTTCACACTTGCAGGACCAACAAGAGCAATCGAGAGGGTCGCTGATGTGATCTCAAAAAATGCCAACTTCCAGTCCATCAAGTTCAAATGGCTCAATGTCACAAATGCTTTCCATTCGAGCCTGGTTGATCATCTGACCCCGGAGTTGGAAAGCATTGGTAGAGAACTAGAGTTCAGGGAGGCTACCATACAAGTGGAGCGAGCAACCCGTACCAGGATCGACTCCAAACCGGATGGTAGCTTTGTCGCCCAGCATATGAGAAATCCAGTTTATTTCAACCATGCTATACAGCGGCTGGCAAACGATTACCCCGCCGCCGTGTTTCTCGAAGCGGGATCGTCTTCAGGTGTTACCATGATGGCGAGCCGTGCCTTGGAAGGACATAACAACTTCCCTTCACAATACTTTCAAGCAATGAACCTTACAAGCGACAAGGCGTTGGACAATCTCACGGATGCCACCTTGTCCTTGTGGAACCAGGGGCTTTCCCTTGCTTTCTGGGGTCACCATCCATCTCAGAGCAGCGAATACACCACGATGATACTGCCGCCCTATCAATTTGAAAGGTCTAAGCACTGGCTTGATCTCAAATCCCCTCTTCAAGCTGTAAATGCTGCCGCTGCTGCACTTGCACCTCCAGAGTCCACTACCGAAGGCAATGCAGCAGTACAGAGCAAATCGGACGGTCTGTGGAGTTTGGTTTCCGGCCACGAGGATAGCCCGACGTTCCGTATCAACACAAGCTCAGACAAGTTCAACAGCTTCATATCGGGTCATATGATTGCCCAAACTGCTCCCATCTGTCCTGCCACCCTCATGGTTGATATGGCCATCGAGGCACTGTTTAGCATCAATTTACATTGGAGGGAAAGCGGTCTTCTTCCCGTCATCCATCACATGGTTAACCACTCTCCACTCTGTGTTGACCCTTCACTTACTACCTATCTCAAATTTGAGCCTCTTAGTGATCAAGGTACCCACTGGAAGTGGAGGATCTATAGCCACGAGTCACAATCGGATGGTACTCATGCGGAGACTCATGTTGAAGCTGAGATTCATATTCGAGATCCTTCAGACAGAAGCTATCAGTCGGAGTTCTCACGGTTCGATCGACTAGTGACTCACACCAACTGCACAAAGATGCTTCAGCTCGGTCTGGGTGGGCAGCAAGCTGATCGGGTTGACGTTTTGACAGGCCGCAACATCTACCGCACGTTTTCTGATGTTGTCGACTACGGTGACCTATATCGTGGCGTCAAAGCTATTGTTGGCACCTCCATTGAGTGCACAGGGCACGTTGTTAAGAAACCCTCTGGCAACACCTGGCTCGACGTACCTCTCAGCGACTCCTTTAGCCAAGTGGGCGGCATCTGGGTGAATTGCATGACCGACTGCGATCCGGCTGATATGTTCATTGCCACGGGTTGTGAGCTGTCTATGCGGTCTCCTTTCGTCGAGCAAGATACCGATCAGATCCAGGAGAGCTGGCATGTATTTGGTCGGCATACTCGTCAGTCTGAGAAACTCTGGTTATCAGACTTGTTTATCTTCAATGCCTCAACTGGCGCATTACGTGAGGTCATGCTGGGTATACAGTATGCGCGAGTCGCAAAGGCCTCTATGCGCCGTATGTTGACGAGGCTGACTACTGATCCGTCAGCTCTCAAATTGAAGCCACCAACGGAAATTATCTCTCAGCCCGCTGAGCCCCTACTCACTCCCCCCCTGTCCCCTGGCCATGTGACTCAAGGGGAAGGAATTTCCAAAGCCGAGGGAGCATCAATCAAGCCTAAAGCTGCCACCAACCCAGATATCACGGAGGACGTTAAGAAGCTTGTGGCACATGTGGCAGGAATAGAGGCTGGTGATATTACGCTCGATGCCGAAATGGCAGATTTTGGTATTGACTCACTTATGGGTATGGAGGTCGCCCGTGAGGTTCAGGTTGTCTTCAAGTGCACCTTGGATCAGAATGAGTTGATGGAGGCAACAAGCCTCCGCAAGTTTGTCGTGTGCATATCAAAAGCGCTCTATGGCCCCGATTACGATAGCACTTCAGCTTCGAGCACCGATGAAAACAGCGAGTCATCTGGTAGCTCGGCTGAATCGAGCAAAGGGTCAAGCTTGTCTACACCCCCCGAGCTCGATCTGGCACAGAATCCGCCAAAGCATTCATCTTCTATGGACTCGCATCCGGTATCGAGCAATCTGAAGCTTTCAGAGTCCGATGTGTTGGCATCATTTGCTCAGGTGAAGCTCCTCTGCGATGAGCACCTTGTAGACTTCAAAGTCGACAACATCGACCGTGTGGTCTTGGCTGGCTCCAGTAGTCTTTGTGTCGCCCTTGTCGTCGAGGCCTTTGAACAACTGGGTGTCTCTTTAACAAGTGCAGAGCCAGGACAGATCCTTCAACGCATACAATTTCCACCAGCTCACACAAAACTAGTGGACTTCATCTACAGATTTCTTTCCGACGATGCCCGCCTCATCAATATCAACGACGCAACCGGACAGATCACGCGGACAGGGGTTCCTACGTCTCGCAAAACAAGTTCGCAGATACTCGACGAGCAGCTGGCGAAGTATCCCGAGTTTGTGGTCGCCAACAGACTCACCTACTATGCGGGATCTCACTTGGCCGATGTTCTCAAGGGAAAGACAGACGGCCTACGCCTTGTTTTTGGAACTATCGAGGGTCGTGATCTCGTGCAAGCATTGTACTGCGACCACACTTTCAACCGAATGAACTACAACCATATGAAGCTCGTTATAGAGAACCTGGTGGAGAGATTCAGGAAGAGTCAGCCTGGCGAGACACTGAAGATCCTCGAAGTAGGTGCTGGAACTGGAGGGACAACCCACGTCTTGGCGCCAATGCTGGCAAAGCTCCAAATCCCCGTTGAGTATACCTTTACAGATATTTCTGGATCTATGGTTGCAAACGCGAGACGCAAGTTTGGCAAATCATATCCCTTCATGAGATTTGCGGTTCACAACATCGAATCGCCTCCAGCCGAAGAGCTCAAGGGTCAACACATCATCATTGGAAGCAACGCTGTTCATGCGACCAGAAATCTAGTGACTTCTGCTTCTAATCTGAGAAGTGCACTGCGCCCGGATGGCTTTTTGATGATCCTTGAGATGACCGAAGCTGTACCCTTTGTTGACATCATCTTTGGTCTCTTCGAGGGCTGGTGGCTGTTCGACGATGGCCGCAAGCATGCCATCATCGACGCTGAAGAATGGGAGCGTAATCTTCACAACGCTGGTTATGGCCATGTTGACTGGACTGATGGATCATTGCCTGAGAACTCCTTCCAGAAGGTCATTATCGCCCTTGCGTCAGGAAAGCCCCGAGAGAGGTTACCCAAATCAACCTTCAGCAAGGCAGCAGTTGAGGAGACGGTAAGACAGGAGCGAGAAAGGCAGAGAGAACTGGAAATCGAAGGTTATATTGCCAAGTACTCGGATGGCTTTGAGGTTCATAATGAGGTACAAGGCGCACGACCAAGCATATTTAGCCAGAACAAGAAGGCTGTCGTTCTTTTGACTGGCGCCACCGGTAGTCTTGGCTCACACCTAGCCAGCAGCCTTGCGAGTAACGACAATGTGGAAACTGTTGTCTGTATCAACCGCCGAAGCAGGGCACCCGTTGAAGAACGACAGGATGAAGCTTTCAGGTCTCGCGGTATTACACTCACTTCTGGTCAACGCTCCAAGCTGCGTATTCTCGAAGTAGATGCCTCGAGCTCCAACCTAGGCCTCTCCACATCCGAATATGAATGGTTGGTACAGAACGGGACACATATTATACACAACGCTTGGCCAATGAGTGGAACTCGTCCTGTCAAGGCATTCGAACCTCAATTCCAGGCTCTCCGGAGCCTCTTGGACCTTGCACGCGATATGTCTTGTCGCAAGGATGCCCCTCGTATCACGTTCCAGCTCGTGTCGTCTATTGGTGTCGTCGGTCACTTCAACGGTCCCCGAGTTCCAGAGCAGCGTGTCTCTCTAGACTCTGTGCTTCAAATCGGTTACTGTGAAGCGAAATGGGTATGCGAGCGTATCCTCGACCAGACACTGCACAAGTATCCAGATGTATTTCATGCTATGGTCGTGCGTCCAGGACAGATCGCTGGTTCAAGCACAAGTGGCTTTTGGAATCCCATAGAACACTTCGCATTCCTCGTCAAGTCGGCCCAATCTCTCCGTGCATGGCCCGATTTTGACGGCATTGTGCAATGGGTCCCTGTGGATAATGTGGCTCATACCATGGTTGATCTCTTATATCTGGGAGACATCAATCGTCCTGAGCCGCATCCCGTCTACCATATCGATAACCCGGTTGGACAGCCGTGGAAGGTCATGTCACAAGCATTGGCGGCTGCTCTGGACATTCCGTCTCAGCGCATTATCCCTTTCAGCCGGTGGGTAAAGCTGGTCCGGAACTCCCCACTTCCAGCAGATACCTGGAACCCAGCTGCACGGCTTATTGATTTCTTGGATTCTAACTTCGAGCGCATGTCTTGCGGTGGTTTAATACTTGACACTGTCCAGGCACAGGAACATTCCAGTACTCTTTCTGCACAAGGTCCTGTCACATCAGACATTGCTGTGAAATATATAAAATACTGGAAAGAGAGCGGGTTCTTGGCTTAGGTTGATAACATATCTCTCATTGATAGCAGTAGGATATTAAGTCATGGATTGGGAAATGTCACACCTGGTTATCAGTTTTATTAATAGTCATCGTTGTCTTTCAATCTAAGAAAACCCTTCAAAAACAAGTTTTTCACCCGAGATAGATCCTTGCCGGTTGAGATCCATCGCTTTCTCTACCGTAGACGGGCTGAGCTGTCCAATAAGACGAACTGTGGATGGCTTGAAAGATCCATTTCCGAGTAATGTCTCTAACTGACCATGGAAGTCGGCACTAAGTTTGTGATCACTCATTTTCACCTATTGAGATGTTGGGATAATAGCCTGCAAACAGATACAGATGACACTTACAGGCCAATGAGCCTTGCCTCGATAGCTATGCTCCGTGGGGAAAGCTGTAAATACGAAGACATCCGTGACTTTGATATGAGATGGAACGTCTTGGGTGTTTGCCTTGCCTGGGCGGACGGTACACAGCACGCCTGTCGTTTGACTAATGGACCTGGCCGCAGTCGCCGAGGAGGTTTCGTTGCCAACTGTATCAAACACATGCTGCAGGTTTGGCACTGCTGATTGGATCTTGGATACGACCTCCTCGTCATTGTAGTCAAAGACATGAGTTGCCCCAGCTTGTCGCATCTTGTCGAAATTTCGAGGGCTGCAGGTTGTCGCGACTTCGATGTTGTAGAGTTTCGCAATCTGAATGGCGAAATAGCCGACGATAGCTATCAATAGTTCAGTATTATGCACATACCCAGTATGACTTGGATACGTACTATTGCCTCCCCAGATCAACAGGGGGGTTTTACTAGCTGTCTTTTCAGGACTGATTGCAAGGCAGTCGTCTGAGAAGAGAGCAAGCCATGCTGTGTTAGCAGCCAATGGAACGGAGGAAGCCTCAGCTGGATTAATGTTCTCGGGTATCTTGAAGGACAGTCGCTCATCAGCGATTGTATACAACCTGCGAGTTCTGATTAGCTCAATTGAAGATCGCATCAATGTTGCGCTAAACTCACGAGTAGGCTCCGAGACCCTTGATCTCTCCTGCAATACGTGAGCTTCTCTTCCATCAACAGATGCAGATCTTAGCGCACTCACCACCCCAAACGAAGCCAGCAATACTGTCGCCAGGCTTCAATTTAGCCACAGTTGAATGGACGTCCACGACTTTACCAGCAAAGTCGCAGCCCAGTACTGCGCCATCTCCAAAGGCGTTGACGTCAAGAGCCAGCCCTCAGCCCAATCAGCGATACGACATTTAAACAATTGATAGCGAACTTACGATCAGTTGGATTGAAAGCTGCGTATTCAACCTTGACATACACTTGATGCTCCTTGAGGGGAGGAAGGGTAATAGTCCCTTGAGTGAGGCCTTTGTCTTTTTGAATAATAGCAATTGACTCCATCGTTGGTGACGACTGGTGGATGGATGTTGGTTTTAGTGAGAGGTGATGTGAATTAGTGGACAGGCCCTTATATAAGTACGCTGAATTATTAATCTAGCCAGTAACCCCGCTTTAGAATTTCCATCCAGCGCCCATGACAGCCCCGTCAATATGCTCCCGCCTATACACGCATTTAAACTGTGCCTTGGTTAATGGTAATCTCGTATTATATAAATGTACGTACTGGAATGAATTTGATATTTTCTAGATCCCAGACTCCGCTTCTGGCGTAAACGTCGTTCTTGAGGACGGCCAATACGTCGGCTTCGGATTTGGCACGGGCGATGATGGCGCTTCCGTCGACGCTATCTCCGGCCAAAGTGCCCCCGCCCATTTGGAACAAACCAGAGTCGATATGTTGAAGCATATCTTTGATATGCGTTCTAAATGAAGTTTGTATCTTAAAGAGGCTTGAAGGAGGCAATTACTTACTCTCTTACTCTCATCCGCGTCTCTAACGAGTCTTTGTTGTCGGGAATAAGGATGATCCATTCCCTCAACGGTTCCGATCTCGTTTCAGTTGCCATGCTGTCGTCGTGATCTCGCAGCATTTGCATAACTTTACTCTTATCATATAATTGCACCGCCCTACGCCTTAAGTCATGCGCCTTATCGCCTGCGAACATCGGCGAGTCTATCCTGCGCCCAGGCTCACGCCCTCCCTCGGCTGGACCGTTTCGCACCAAGACTTAGCGTGATGCGTTCAATTTACGCCTGAAAATACGCCCTCCAGAGTCTCTCCACCTGCAGCTGTAGGTCTACGTTATGTGCCCCACAAAGACGACAAAGTTAGCTTCCCGCAGGCAATGAGGAATACCGTGAGACACGCTGGGCTTGCATGGCAATATGAAGAAAAGCAGTTGGTTTAGGAGTGCTTATCGTTCTACCTTACTAGGAATTACATTGAGATGTCAGACTGCGCAGTTATAGCAGAGGATGCGTAACGAGATGACTTTAAGGACTTTCTGAAGCTACTAAAAACTGCCAAGCCGTGATTCTAGCTCTTGGACAACGTTTTCCACAACAGATTCTGCAACAATGCCACTCTGCCATGTAATGCTAATAGTGAAATTCCCTCCTCTGGTGCTGACACAGTTGAACCCCAGTGCAGGACCAGCAACAAACCCACATTGTGTGAAGATCAATCTGTCAAGCTTGATACCACTCCCTTCTGGCGGAGATATGCTTGAAACCAACCCCAGATTCGACAGTTCATACGTATATCGCCTTTGCGTACCGCCTTGGCTTTGACATTCTTGTATGATATCGCGGACTTGGCTCAGTTTCGTAGCCATACTGCCGTGCGGGAACTCCTTGGCCTTGGTTGCTACTTCGTTGCTGAACTGGTGCGCAAGGTCTATGACGCGTTCCTCCCCAGTGATAGAGCCTTGCTTGTAGGTTTTGATCTTCTGCAACTCTTCTCGAGATACATAACTCGTCAGGTAAGAGATGTGATTCACAATGTCTCCATCAGAGGCTCCAGTATGTCGTCGTGCTGAAAAGGGCGTAACGGCTCGAAATCCGGGAATACCTTCCTCAACAGAATTATTTAGCGAGGAGCAGATGATTGCATGGAGAAGTCCGGTGACTGTGATGTTGGCCTGCTTGCACTTCTTGAGGAGGCTAGAAAATGGTGCCGCTGGGACTGTCACTATTCGAACGCGAGACTCGTAGTCAACCGTCGGCGCCGCAGGTATAGGACCTCCTCCCCAAACTGGTTCATCAGATTTGTCTGCAGTTGTGCAGATAGCGTAGTTGCACGAGAGGCAATCCACGCGTTCTTCGATTGTCGGCGGAGAATCTTGGACCTCGTTTAGCTCAAGGGGCCAAAGTGTAGGCGTGGGTGTGTCGAGCTTGAGATTGTTCATTAATGATGCATGAAAAGCAACACCGCTTAACCCATCGGCGATCGCGTGGTGTGCAAAGAAGGCAATGTGCAACCTAAGGAGAACACCAGATATAAAGTCGCTAGGGTGCTTAATAACAACAACCTTCCATGCTGGCTTATTCTCGGGCCAGAGCTCTGAATGGCCATTTTGAAGTGATTTTGATAGACCATGGTCATTTACATCCGTGGCCTCTTGATCGTGAGCTTTGACATACTGGCTGTCAATGACTTCTAAAATGTCCTGGCGGTCGAATGTGCTGATTTGCTTGAACAGCGGAACACCAGCTTCTTTGTCGTCGGAAATGCCATACTGTAGACCTGCATGCTGTCGAATGGTGGCTTGCAGAGCATGCTCGAGTGCATTCTCAAACTCATGCAGCAGTGAGTCATTAGGAAGCGATACGTTATACGTTGCCGTTACGCATGCTGAGCGGTATTGCCCCAAGGTATGCCGGGCCGAATAATATCGTCCCAGGACACCTAGAGTCACTGGAGCGTGCTTGGCCATCAGTAGTCGGGAGTTTTAGTTTGGGTTTGACCTGAGACGCACGAGAAAAAGGAGTAGGGCGAGACTTTAAGGATTTGAGGCCTTCCCAGCCCCACATTGTCTGAGTTACGAGGGATTTTGCGGAATGGAGATCATCTCCCCAATGGCGAAAACGTCAAGTCTGTTAATAGTATGATAAGCGACCGCACGATTCATATGTGATACAAGTTATGCACTTGTTCTAAGAATATCTATTGCTCAGTCTTCTTATTCAACAATAACACCCCATTCATGATCTTCGCCTCCGAACATAATATCCTTTAGCCAACTCTTGATCCGCGGGCCAAATCCACTGCCATCATCTTGCTTCTGCGGCAAGTCGATGTTAAAATCACCAACCCGAATGGTTGAAACGTTTTTGATGAAAAACTGAAACAGGTAAGTCAATTGCCTCACAGTTTGATTGGGCTTACTTACAGCAGTACCAGACACGAATGCCTCTTGAAGCAGACCCTTTCTCCAAGCCGCTTCAACGTCCTTTATAGTAAATTTCGCTTCTCTGACCTCGAGCTCCTCGGAAAGTCGATTTTGAACCAAGTCCAGAACAGACCTTCTAGTGACACCATCTAGAATGACTCGATCCGTCAATGGAGCCGTTAGTAGAACCGGCTTGGATGTTTTTTCGTCTCGGACGACTGCGAAGAAATTACTAGCCCCAGCTTCGGTGACTAGGCCTTCATCTCCGAGCAGCCACAAGACTTGATCGTAGCCAGCTTGTTGCGCCTCGCAATGAGACGCGAAGCTAGGGCCGTAATTCGCACCGACCTTGGCGTAGCCAAACCCGCCGGGCCACGCTCTGATCGTGTCATTCCTTGACGTGATAAGGCGTAGATCAGATCGTGGGTTTACACCAGGAGGAACTTCGGTGGAGAAGTCGGGCCAGCAAACCATTGTGACCATCAAGATGGCTTCTTTGGGGATCTGTATACCAAGTTGGCGGCCGGTTCCGATTAATGCTGGTCTGATGTACCGAAAGCTGCCGGGTTCTGACAGCCATCCTGTCAATAGAATAAGCCAACCTGTCCAAATTGGAATATTCGACATAGAAGCACGTACTTCTCCCATCGACACGAACTAAAGCTTTGATCAACTCAACAAGCTGCTCGGGATCAAAACTTGGCAGTGAAACTCTCTCTGCGCTCATAACCAAACGTCTGGCATTTCGATCTGGTCTAAAGAGTCTAACGCGATTATCATAACCACGGTATACTTTCATGCCCTCAAAACACTGCGTGGCATAGTGAAGACAGGATGCAAGAGGCGAAATAGTCAAGTCGCCGAATGGCTTGATAACCGGGTCATCCCAGCCGTTCTGTACTGTCCAGCGACAGGTTACCATGTGATCTGTCGCGACATTTTGTTCCCACAGCTCAACGGATCCAGGTTTGGGGATATCTTTCAGTGCTGTTGTCAGGTCAAAGTTGAGCTTGGATGCATCGAGCTGTCCCTTGGTGGAGGCTGCAGCGCCGTTTGTGCCGTTGTGACGAGTAGGAGTTTGAGCAGACATGGCGGAATGAAAGGAATACGTAGGGAACAAACACCTTCTTCTTTTCTGTTACCCAGTATGACTTGTACAATAAGTACTCAACTTAATTCGCCCTATCTCGGCTGTTGGCGGAACCCTTCGTGTCCAGTAGCTAGCTCCCTTCACATTCAGAAGTGGGTCATGTTGAAGGGCGTAAGCTAATTTTGCGCCCTGTGACGACGCCAGCGATAAGGTCGGTTGCCACCTCCGATATGCCGATCCCCTCCCCACGAATTGGTCAAAACTCTCGTTATACACTTTGAATTAGATATGAGCGCGTCAGGCTCACCACGAAGCGGTACGTTGCATGATGAGGACGACTGGCTCTCGTGGCTTCACCATCATGACGATGCTCTGGGCTGTAGTCCCGGGCCCGACTGCGGGACGATGAATACAGAAGCCGATGTTACCGACGGCGGCCCGTCCCGGACAGGGTTACAATGCTCATCAGTCGAAACATTGGAATCCATATATTGCAGGGCTTCTGGGGACCTCCCATCCAGTGACACTCTGGCGGAAGATGTCTCATGGCTATCGTCGAGCGGATACTACGGCGCACCATCAGATTCCTCTGTGGGCTCTGTAGACTCACTAACTTCGTCCATTGCATCGGCATCTCGACTGAAACGGAGAAGAAGACAGACACGTCAGAATATCAGCACCGCAAGAGAGAGGGAGACAACCAAACGAAGATACCAGTGCACTTTTTGCACGGATGCCTTTAAAACGAAGCATGATTGGCAAAGACATGAGACAACAATGCACCTAACCCTTGAGCAATGGAAGTGAGTCTAAACCAGCCATTTCTGACGAATATTAACTGACTTATATGTAGATGTTCAAGATATGGACCGATAATACAACAGACAGATGGAGATTCTTACTGCATCTTCTGCAAATGTCCCAATCCCTCGATTGACCACCCAGAGACTCACAACTACTCAGCCTGTGCCGCCCAACCTGAATCCGCACGACTGTTCCACCGTAAAGACCACCTAAGACAACACCTTCGCCTCTTCCATCAGGGTTGCAACTTCAATGACTCTATGAAGAGCTGGCTATCATCGATAGATGATGTCAGATCGAGATGCGGATTCTGTGATGCTCAACTGGGCACTTGGACGGAAAGGCAGAAACATCTTGCTTTACACTTTCGTGCAGGTACAGATATGAGAGAATGGAAAGGTGACCGTGGTTTTGACCAGCAGATTGAGGATCTTGTGGAAAACGACATGCCCGCCTTCTTGATCGGTGATCAGCGACGGACCATGGAGCCATTCTCTGCTTCACGGGTAGATCACCGCATTGACACGTGCAACTTGAGTCCGTTCAGCAACAATGAAGCGAGCCCTGGGCAAAGCTTGAGAGAACCAGAGGTTCCTCACTCTCATCAGGAAGTACAGAGGCTCTTGTTGCAATATGTATCTACCGAGATCTCACAAGGTCACGTTCCGTCAGATCGCCAGATACAGAGAAAAATGAGCGAGATTATATACGGCCCTGATAATTCTTGGGATTCGACCTGGGCGGATAACCCACAGTGGATGGATATGTTTCGGAAGAAGGCCGGGTTGATTAGTCTACCTCTTAGTGGAGGAAAGAATGCATTTATTGGATTCTAGTCTCGACAACATGCCCTGCAAGCTTCAACACCTCTAAATTGTTATAGATTTTAGATACAGATACCTTTGTTAAAATCAGTAGAAATAGGTTCAGACTTGCTACAGCCTGCTCAGGTCGACGTTATTGTATAAGAATGCTGCTACGACATGCTGAAGACTAGACGTATTTCATCACTGGTCTGAGGTGTTGTGACATGTTACATCACGAGCTTCTTCTTTGTGGACACAAGGAACGTTTGCTTCTCTTGGCAACTCTGTGTTACTGTCTCCTTGTACCCCTTGTGTACCCGTAAGTGAGGTACTGGGGAGATCACGGGAGTCTTCATACAATCGAGGCGCCTTGTTAGATTAATCAATAGATGTTTGAAGTTCAACGACGGTCCGGTCCTGTTCTTGCGATGTGCCTGGGTAGATGGTGGACTTGTAGTGATTTCGCACGAGAACGCATCCTGTTCGTTCTACCTTGAAGCACGTCACTACGGTTTCTTGTGGGAGGCTTCTGAAACAAACCACCCCCAGCGTATCACAAAGACGGGCAAATACCGATTGGCCACATCCGTTTTAGACGATATGCTTGCGTAACGGAGTAACGCAAGCTTGATAAATAGACTGACCCGTGATCATCAGTTTTCGTTCCGTCACGTATTCTCTGTCATGCTTACAGCCGCGGTGCATTGTTATGGACTTAAGTAGCAATCAGCCTGCCTCTCTTGAATTATAGCAAAAGCATCATTTGTCTTGAACATGACGGACGTTTACGACAACGAGGTCTTTTTCGCAGAATACTCTGCCATGGATCGGTCCATGAAAGGCTTAGATGGCGCGCCTGAGTGGCCACAGTACCAAGCTTTGCTCCCAGAACTCCATGGCCTTAATGTGCTTGACCTAGGGTGCGGAATGGGATGGTTCTCTCGCTGGGCTATTGACCAAGGAGCAAAGTCGTCCCGTGGCCTCGATAACTCTCACAATATGCTAGTTCGGGCCAAGGAGATGACGAACCATGAGGACATCTCGTACGAGCATGTCAACCTCGACCAGGTATCTTTTGGGGGGGACATGAAGAATAAGTACGACCTTGTTCATAGCTCTCTGGTTCTTCACTACCTGGTCAATCTCGATGATCTTGTGAAGCAAGTCCATAACGTCCTTGTCCCCGGTGGAACTTTCTCATTCTGCATTGAACATCCGATCTTCACTTCTACATATCATCAAGATTGTATCGTTGATGACAAGAGTGGAAATACGTATTGGTCGCTGAGCTATTATCCGAATGAAGGGACACGGAAGATCCACTGGCTAAATAGTGATGTGGAAAAGCAGCACAGAACGGTGACTACCTACATGAATGTTCTTTTGACGAATGGCTTTGAGGTCACTGGGTTTGATGAGTGGTTTGGGTCGCGGGAGATGCTTGCAAGCTTTGGAAAGTATGGGGTCCGGGAATCGCCCATGTTTCTGTTGATGTCTGCTGTCAAGAAGTAATAGTCGCCGGCTTCTTAGAGAAATGATGTTATTTGGCAGAGCATTCATGATACACGAGGTATTAAGATAAATGTCGTAACAAGGCAAATATGCTGAACAACACCGAAGCAAGGAAAATGTACTGCAGTTTACATTTCGAGCATTAATTGACATCGATACTCATAAAAGACCATAGTCCAAAAATAAAATACAATCATTCCATATTACGCAACCTGGGCCACAAATGCATCGAACTCCTCATCTGTATGCTCCTGAAACGTCTTGAACTTCTCCTCCAACAACGTCTCACCATTCCTGAACCTCTGCATGGTCAACTTCTTCCCTGACAACCTCTTCGCCTCAAACAAATCCTCCACATCAACCAACTCCGGTACAACAGTCGTGCGGAACTCATAAGGTACTCCACTGTTCTTTATGAGATCAATACTAGCTTCGAGAAGCTTCGGCCTGACCTTTTTGCCCGTGACGCGCTTGTAATTCTCCAAGGCACATTTTATATCCATCGCAACAAAATCGACGAGGTTTTCAGTGAAGACTTGCTTGAGGACATCGGGTGATGTGCCATTTGAGTCGAGTTTCACACTAATCCCAGCGGCTTTGAGAATTCTAAGCAAAGGGAGGAGACCTTTGTGGATGGTGGGTTCACCGCCTGAGACGACAAGCGACTTGTGAGACGTTGCCGTAATGTGACGGAAGACGTCTACAAGGGTAACATCGTCGCATTGTCCCTGGACTAACGGACCGTTGTGACACCAAGGACAGGCAAGGTTACATCGGGACGTGAACATGATGGAAGCCTGCATCTTGCCTGGGTAGTCACTCAGCGTACTCTTGATGTAGCCAGCCACGGGAAGATCTTGAATCGCAGCGACTTGCATCTCCAGTTCAAGAAGCTTGTTGTCAATGCTAAGGCCAGTCTCGTACTTGTACACTTTCCGTTGGACAAACTCCTTTGACTTGCCGCGATTCCAATCCCTCGTGGGTCGGAAATACCCGACGATGCGTGAGTAAACGAGGGTCAATTCTCCGCACGCTGTGCACTCTGGTTGCTCACCTGCTCTGTATCCGTGTGTCGGACAGATACTGAAGGTTGGAGTGAGTGTGATGTACGGGATGCGAAAGCGTGCGGTCAGAGTCTTGATAAGGTCTCTGGCCAACTTCCAGCTCGGTAGCTGTTCGCCTAGAAAGGCATGGAAGACAGTTCCACCAGTGTAGGAGCACTGAAGTGCTTCTTGATGGCCCATAGCTTCGAAAAGATCCTCCGTCGTGTCAACGGGCAACATCGTGGAGTTGGTGTAGTAGGTTGGAATCTCCTTAGTAGGGAAGAGTTCTTTATCGCGCTTGGCAAACTTGTAGCATGTGCTCTCTGCTGGACTAGCTTCGAGGTTGTACAGGTTGCCTGTTTCTTTCTGGAATTCTTGGAGTTGGTCTTTGATGAACTCCAGAACTTCCAGAGCAAAGTCTTTTCGCTCGCCAATGCCTTCGCCGAGAAGATCGACGAGTGCCTCGTTCATTCCGTTCACACCAATGGTGCTGAAATGATTCGTCCAGTATGACCCAGTGCGATGCTTGGTGGCTGATAGATAGTGAGCGGCGTAGGGATAAAGTGTCGAATTCTCGTCCACAAGCTTCCGCTTGATCTCCAAAGAGTCCTTGGCCACTCTTAACGTGCTAGTCAACTCTACCATGAACGCCTCCTTCGAACCATTGGAACGGTATGCCAGGTTAGGCAGATTGATCGTGACAACGCCAATAGAGCCAGTCAAAGGACTTGCTCCATACTGGCCGCCAACTCTGCAGTGGAGTTTACTGAGATCAAGCCTCAGTCGACAACACATGGACCGAAAGTCCTCAGGGTCGAGATCACTATTGATGAAGTTGGCAAAGTATGGAACACCGTACTTGGCCGTCATCTCCCAAATGGACTGCCACCGAGGCGATTCCCAATCAATCCCATCCGACACATTATAAGTCGGGATGGGGAAAGAAAAGATATTGCCGTTTCCATCGCCCTGCATCATGACTTCAGCAAATGCCTTGTTGAGTATATCCATCTCTTCCTGAAAGTCACTGTATACCCAATCGGTTCGTAACTCGCCGCCGATGATAACGCATTGATCGCCCAATCGTTTCGGGCAGATCAGATCGAGGGAAAGGTTCGTGAACGGGGCTTGAAAACCACTTCGAGTCGGGACGTTGAGGGAGTAAACGAAGCTTTGAACGTATTTGAAGACATCGGTATAGGATAGATTATCGCTGCGGATGAATGGCGCGAGGTACGTGTCAAAGCTAGACAGTGCCTGAGCACCGGCGAGTTCACCTTGTAGTGTAAACAGAAAATTGACAATTTGGTTGAGAGCAGTGTTAAGATGCTTCGCAGGTCGACACTGGATCTTATTCTCAACACCACCAAAGCCCTGGAGGAGAATGTCCTCAATGCTCCAGCCAGAGCAGTACGCGCTTAGGAAGCCTAGGTCATGGATATGGAAGCGGTTCTCGTGGTCATATTGTCGGATCTCTTGGGTGTAGATCTTTTCGAGCCAGTATTGAGAGATGATCTGGTTGGAGACGTATTGCATGAGACCTTGGTGAGAGTAGGTTGAGTTGGCGTTCTCGGCAGTCTTCCATGTGCCTTTGGCGAGATACTCGTCTACAAGGCTAATGTTGGAAGACATGTTGAACTTTGGATGTAATTGAGGAATTAGAGATGCAGTTCAATTTGCATAAAACTGTATGCGATCTTGACGCGATATGCAAGATCGACCTGTAAAATTATCTTGCGGTTCAATCACCATTTAATATTCTACAATGTTTACATTCAACGCGTACTATATCGCGTCTTTACCACCGCCAATTGACCGAATACTCGTGTGACTCTGACGACACGACTCATAATGGCCACACTTTTTACCCCAAAAGCTCTGGCCATGTTTCCAGAAACACGGTCCTCACGCGTTGATTAAGATGCTCAGTCGAATGATGGAGCCACGAGTCGAACACGGTAACTCGTGACTTGGCGTGAAATGGGCCGACCGAACAGCCAATTGTGGTTCCAATGAGTCAGTCCCTGGAATTGGAGTTGCGTGACATGGTATCAAGGGAGCGCGTTGACGCGTTGGCCTTGCTTATCGTTATCGCTATCGTTATCTTATCGGTTGATCGATCACCATCCCCACGTCTACCCTGAACAGTGCCCATTAGGATGACTTGATGCCTTGGTAAGATTAAATTCGTGATAGTTTAGGCTTCTCTGCCTCTATGCAAGAGAATTCCAACACTAACGCTATCTACAGCCCGTAATTGCCGTAGGCTCTCGGAAAAATATTCACTGACTAATGTAGCCTAATACATCCGAGCCGTGTCGGTTATATTGTGATATCATTGTAAAGAACTAAGCTATTTAAAGGACAATTGAATCCGTTTGGTACAGGCAAGTCAACAACGCTTTTAATTTCTTCTTTTGACCTAAATTCAAAGTCCGGGAGCCCTTTAGTAAACATGTCATTTACATCCATCACCAAGCGTATACCGCTCCAACACGATCTCCACCTTCACATTGAACAGTCATTTCCTTGGCGACAACACCAAGACCATCCGACCATTTTCTTTCTCCATTTCTGGGGAGGATCTTCTAAGACCTGGTCGCCTGTCAATCACCTGATTGCGCCGGCCTCCCCAACTGTCAGGATTGACTTTCGAGGATGGGGCAACTCTGCTGGTCCCGCAGATGAAACAAGATACTCCATCCTCCAACTTGCCGTGGACGTTGAATTTGTTATCACGCAACTGAACCTACGGAAGTACATTATCGTCGGCCATTCAATGGGGGCCAAGGTCGCTCAAGCTATTGCTGGACGAAATCTTGTAGCCGGGCTGACAGGTCTAGTCCTGCTTTGTCCAGCGCCACCAACACCGCTGACGCTGCCTGAGGAGATGCGCGACCAACAAGTCAGTGCCTACGATAACGCCCAGAACGCGGAGTTTGTCGCCCGGAACGTCCTCACCGCAAAGCCCTTGCCAGATGGTACTATCAAGGGACTTGTGGAAGATATGTTGAAGGGCAGCCCTTCTGCTAAAGCAGCATGGCCACGACATGCTATGGAAGAAGATATCCTAGAGCTAGCCAAGAGGATCTCCATTCCATCGATTGTTGTCGCTGGAGGGAAAGATCAGGTCGAACCTGTGGCCCGTGTCAAGGATGAGGTCTCTGGTAATATTTCCGGCGCCAAATTTCTTGTGCTGGAAGAGGTTGGACATCTGGCTCCACTAGAGGCATCGGAGGAGGTAGCAGAGATCATAAGTGATTTTTTATCGGGTGGCATCTAGAAGCTCAAGAAACGAGGATGAGTCGAAATTTGTGCTATATGACAAGTTGACCTAATCCTTTGACGACAACACCGTAGGGATATTAATCCACAGATATCTCGCACAAGTATAACCAGATCAAGACAGAAGAATACTTACATATCGTAATGCTTAGTTTATAAATAAAACAGTAGCCTATCTTCTTTATTTATCTTCAAGTCTCTTAGAAGGGTACTACTCTATGGTGGCATGATAAATGATAGATCAATTACTTATCTGTTCTGAGGGCCAAGAGGAATAGATATAGAGTAATACAAGATTTGGTGAGAGGTGGAGAATAACATATCGCTGCCAAGGATCAACCCCATCTTTTTGTTCCATGTAATATCTTGCTTCGCAACAGTTTTCGAAGCTATCGAAACCTGACAATCCTCATGAACCAAGACGAAGGGCACAATAATCTTAATCCAACCGGGAGGAACTGAAACGGATCCGGGCTGATGTCGATAGAATGACTTATACCTTTGAAAAGGCTGTTGTGGGAGGATGCTTTGCTCAATCTGATCGGCAACAAATTAGCAGGGAATTCTTTCATTAGAAGATTTAGCCTACCAAGTCACCAACTAATTGATCAACTAGAATGTCATAGTCATTAATCCATCGAAACTAGAGCAGTGGCGTATTTGGCACTTCCTGTAGACTTTCGTAGTTGCTTTGGTGAGCTCCTTCTAGTAATAGTTGTTGAATGGCGTCTGAGATCCCGAATACCTTGTAGACTAAGGGGAAGCTCGCTGGGAGCGCGAACAAATTTACAACATCAGTAGTGTTTGCAGAAACCTTCTGGACATCCCTAACTGACTCGGGCTGACATTTGATCACAGAAAGGGCAGTGAAGGGGGCGTTTGCTGGCAGCAAGAGTACTGTTGGTGCTGGCCTTCCATTCTCAAGAACAGAGACAAATCTAGCATAATCATCCTCGCCGAGAAATTCTGTACCCAGAGCAGCGCAAATATCCTTAAATCTATTTTTATTCAGTCAATGAATGATTAAAAGTTTCATCACAGCGACTTCTCACCTGTACTGAGGATGTCGATACTTGAGAATAAATACGGGTGCGAGAGGCAATGACCCCTGTATTTCAGGGTGTATGCAACGGAAAGTCGGGAAACAGGAATCGAAATCCCCTGTCACTTTGGTGTAATGCGTGAGAAATAATTGCGAAATACGTGCTATGATGCAATAAGAGAACTGAACCAGGACAATCATTCAGATACCTACAATACAGAAGAGCCCCTTCAAACACGCGATGACGTTGTCCTCGAAGATACACTCGTTCCATGGCTTGGACCATGGCACGTACAGCAGACATGTACCTCTGTATGGTCAGTTCGGATGTATCACCGATCTGTGGTTGTATTTTTGGTAAGCCTCCTGCTTTCTCCCCAGATGCCAATGGACACAACAAGATGTGATTATCAGGAAACCCATCAGATCTTGCTTTATGTTTCGATTTTCTAATATATCTCTTGTCTTTTGAAGTACGTTCTCCGCTGTACTGTAACGGTGAAGCTCGCGGGCATGTTGCCACTGTGCCTCATTTTGGGGAACTGACTCGCGGAGCTTTGTCAGGACCTCTTTGCTTCGGCTGTAGGGGGTCTTCGGTTGGCTTGGAAGCTGAAACTGACCGTAGGACCCTTGTTCCGGTCGAATCGGAGGCTGTTTGCTCATAATTGGATGGTAGGTCTCGCCTTATTCCCAGTCCGATACGAAAGAAATTGGCATTTTTCGCGAGAGCGGGGGACAGGCGGTGAGATTTCTTTGATGAGTTTTATTGCTTGGTCTCTCAGGCCTCAGGACTCTGCACAAATTCGACAAGCTTTCAGAAGAGCACTAAGTAAGCAGCCAATAATAGGTATTACAAGATGACATTGAAAATGAGGCTAGCTAACCCTTGGGCTTGTGTATTATTCCGGATTAAATCAGGACACTTATCTTTATTAAGTCTGTATGAATATTGATGGTTAAGAGCTGAATTTAATGGGTAGCATTTTAGCTTGTTAGCCTGATGCATCGGAAGCTTGAACTATTGATGAACACCAGAGGTCATCACATTCTCCTCAAATAGGCATATATTTATAGAATATCCATTTGAATTAGACTCAGCTTCCTAATAATATAGTACAGACTCTCAGAAGTTGAAAGGTGCTATTGGCAGCTAATGTGACTTAAAAATATATCCTGAGGTACCCCTAAGGGGCAACTACAAGCTCTCTAGTTTCGGCGTCTACATCTGCTTAACTTACCGGCCAGTCATTGATTTCCTACTCCTGAATTTCTAGCCGGTTGCAGTCGTCATGGATGATGGCGATCTCGTTGGGGAGCTTTGTGAAGTCAATCTCCTTGATGTTGGCGACTTCGGTGTAGTTAACCAGGTCTCCCTGTTCATATTTACCCCACGTAAGGTAGTAGGTATTGGAAGGTTCAATCTGATACGTTGTAAGGGGCTCAGGGCAGAAGGTTGCTTGTGCACCTGAGAGGCCAGTGCCGTTGGTCGAGCCACCAACACCAATCATATATTTGCCTTAAATAATAGAAGACGTTAGCCACAGTCTATTTTCTGTGTATCCTCAAGAGCCTGCTATTTGATTCACTTACCCTTTTTGGCCTTTGCAGTGCTGAATTCACCCGTTTGGATCTCAAACGCGTTGGCCAGGGACGAGTTAGGGAAAGTCTCAGTTGAAAGCTGAGGCACATCGTCGTCGACAACCATTTTGAGAGTGCTGCCCGGAATAATCCCCCCTGTTTCTGTCTTAACGCCCAGCGTGACTTCGTGATTTCCACTAATATCCATATGTACTGCGTCACCAGGATTGCCATCACTGGAGCCCACGACAGCATAGTACTTGTTGGTAAGCTTGAAAGTGGCACGGTAGTCTACAGAAAGAGTCTTGGTGGCAAAAACGTTGGACCAGACTTCGCCTTGGACCGTTCCGGTAACCTTTGGCTTCTTGTTGAGCAGGGCGTATTTGCGCTGGACCCCTGATTGGTTCTTAACGGTGATGGTGTAAGTGCTGACCATCTTGAAGATATTTTTAGAGGATCTGAAGCTAACTAAGGATTGGGATAATAATGGAAGATGAATTTTAATTGAATTTCGGTACCTCGGTGTTGATATCAGACGATATTGAAAACATTTGCCATATGATGGGTGATCGTCACCATTTTATAGACCGTCCGAAAGTGTTGGGCATTAGTCAAGGCTTACATAGAAACGCCGTACCCAGATATTCCTTGCGCTCTTCTGGTAGCGCTATCGATACATGATACGTGATACCGTAGGGAGCATCTTGCGAAGCGAGCCTGTCCGGCATTCCACGACCAGAAGCGTTCGCAAGGGAGCTCACAGGACTAGCTTCTGTGGCTGGCTGAGATCAAACCCGCATAAAATTGCAACTTTCTCTAGTCTGTGGCTAGCTGAGAGTTATGCGATACGAATTACTATGTTCTGTCTTCCGTGGCTGGCTGACACAAGCCTATCGGTTGCCCGGCACCAGCGTGAAGCGAAGGTCGATTTCGGTCTAGGCTCAATATTAACGGTATACCTGAGACACTATAGAGAGCCGGACCTACAAGGCACTGAGATGACCTTGCCAAGGAACCCTGTGGCGTTTGTCTAAGCCTGACGTGGTTCACTAGCCAGAACGCCAAGGCTGGCTGGTGATCTACGCCTGCCACGTTAGGGGCCGAGTGGCTCGTGCTGGCGTTAGGCTCAGCAAGACTATCGATATGTGAACACACTCGGTGAAGTGGTTGCTTTGCAGTTGTTACACCATGGCGGGTTACCTCATTTACGAAAGGCTTGCCCAGACCAGCTGAACTTGCGGGGAGTTCACTTCAGCCTCAGTGCCCCAATAAGGACACAGTTTTCTTAGCCACCAATAGACCATGCACGAAAATAAGCCTGCGGTCGGTTCAGCTGAGTTGAAGCAGGCCTAGAACTAAGTTTTAACCTTATACGTCTGCGATTAACTTCTCCTTAGCCCGAAATCGTGCTGTTCCTTGCCGAATTATGCTCTCTCGTTCTCTGTTCCCTCTTGGCGGTTATTCTTTTGGCCCTTCGATAGTTTACTCGACCCAAGCTGTGATAAATCACTTGCCTGGTCACAATATCTAAGAACACTATTTATGATTTGCACTGTTCCACAGATTGTCCCACTACTTCATAGTCGCTGCTGATCCGATGGATAGTCTGATCGATGGATTGCAGACAATCTCGCAGTGTCGCTGCCTATTGCCTTGCACATTGAAGGTCTTCGTCACACCCTTTATAGCATCAAGATACTCTGAAATCCCTGTATACAGCTGAAGGCCAAAGGTGACGATACCGGCGGCTGTGCCGGTGATGCCAACTGACTCTGCCATCTCGCGGTTACTGCTGGAAGCCTGGAAAGGAACGATAACGAGATATAGACTGATGGAGATGATGATGCAAATACAAGTGGTGGGATCGAGTGCGCAAGAAGAGAACATGGTGGGAAAATGATTTGTCGGTGAAAGCCCGGTTGAAATGGACTGCGCCTCACGCAATAGGTGGCATATGAATCACCAAATGTCCATTCAAGTGAGACTGGCAGATAGGCGAAGCCTTGTTTTCAACCACCCAGTCACTTGTACCAATGAGGGAGCATCATTGGCATCTCCGTACATCCATTACTGGTCAGGATTGGCAATCAAGTGAGAAAAGAAAATCGTTGAATCAAGTTGTCTAGCTCATTAGTTTCATTTATCAAGTCATCGTTTTCCAAAGTGATTCGTCAGAAAGCTACATGTAATACACTGACTATTGTCATAATTGGCCTAGCCTTTTGGATATCAAGTGAGGAATGATAACGGAACTTTGCAATACGCATTTGCAAATGCCCGACTGTAGATGCACACCACCAATCATTGCCAAATGCTGCCCACCATCTTGGCCTCAGCCCACCACAGCGACTTCCGCATACAGGCATGAGATGACAAGAAAATACAAGCCCGCTGATCTAAGATCAAGCCTATGTATGTATGGTAGCCCAAGTTTAGGTGTCTGATTGATAAATTGATTCCGCATCGTCTAAAGCCTTAAGGCTTGTTCGTAATCCCCATCGAGACGCCATAGGTATTGCTTTGCGTCTGGTGTTTTCGGAAGTATGTCCCACTACTGTGTATGTCTCTATGCCTTCTACTTGACCTACTGGTGGCCGTCGACAATTGTTACATGGGAGTTATAGTATTGCTTTCCAGTAATCAGATACATCACCAGACCTTTTGAGCCTAGAGAGATGAGAGACTATTTTAATGTAAGCGGCAACTAACCAAAGTAATACGTTTAAACCATACCTATAACATGACTGTTATAAGGTGAAAGGAGGCTGCAGTCCCAACACTCGAAGGCAATGGACACAAACGGGTACTGAGCGCGCTCTGTGACCCCACACCCTCTATTATAGTCTCTCAAGCCGCACAAATACATGGATAAAGGTTGATATATGTGATGGCGGCTGATCATGGGGGCGGTTGGACCGGTAGCTCGAGATCAGCGATAATGGGTAATCCTGGGTTAGATATGCTTTATCATGGCTAGCATTGAATATGAACAAAGTCTACCCTCGCGCTACAAAATTTTGCAAGACAAGTAATCCCTCTATCAAATAGCTTGCATAACTGAAAGGGTGATCCCCCGAATCTTGGTCTTCTAACTGAGCGAACTAAAGTCAAAGGATCACTAAAAGGTTTGTTATGTCTCAAAGGGAAGAGCTTGCTAGAACCATTACAGACGCCTACTCGGAATTATATCGGTGTCTCCATTAAGGCATATTAATTCTTGCTGACTCAAACATGTAAGAGGCTGTGGCACAGATGCTGAGTGTGGAACAAATGTGTCAGCGGGATTCGGATACCGAACATGATATGTTACGTTTGCCGTACGCAGACCAGCTAAATAGCTAGCCATGACCAGGTCGAGTAAATGGTACTTTTCCTTCATTGACACTTTGTGTAGAAATTCATACCAAGCAACAAGAAATGCCGCTTCGAGACACAGATCATCTTTCTGGCTTCGGCCACCACGAGACTGCAGGCTCCGACCGGAACTGTGATACCTCTAGAAGCAGCAAACCCATCGAGTCTTCAAAGCGTCCACCAACTCATGCTTCTCAAGCCTGCAACATCTGGAGGAAGATTGAGCGTATGACGGAATATGGCTCCATTCTCCTGGATGGGTCTGACCTTGATGTGGCTTCGGTGATTGCAGTCGCGAAGTAAGTCACCACCACAGTTACAATTTGTTAGTCTAATGACGGTAAAGGCATAACTGCGATGCTTATGTTGCAAAAAGAGAGGATATTGCAGAGGGGATGAATAAAAGTGTTGCGTTACTTGAAGAGTATCTCGCCAAGGGCTACTTTGTTTATGGTAAATCACCTACTCACTGTCTCAATGCTCTAGTCTGACTGGATGTTAGGTGTCAATACAGGCTTCGGTGGAAGCGCTGATACTCGTACAAAAGACCTGCCAGCTCTGCAGTCGGCATTATTGCAGCTCACCCAGGCGGGAATATTAACTGACGAAGATACAAACGGGAATAGACTCAACACAATGCCCGTCACCTGGGTTCGAGCCGCCATGCTGATTCGCTGCAACACACTGCTTCGAGGCCATTCAGGTGTGCGTCTAGAGCTCGTTCAAGCCCTCCTTCTCCTCCTGCGAAAGGGCATGACACCCATCGTTCCCCTACGCGGGTCTATATCTGCATCTGGTGACTTGATCCCTCTTTCATATATTGCCGGTATGCTTGAGGGTAACCCAGACGTCCGTGTCCGTACAAGCACTTCATCCGTTCTATCTGCAGACAAAGCTCTTGACCTCGCTGGTCTAGAGCCAATCACCCTTGGGCCCAAGGAAGGTCTTGGGCTAGTCAATGGTACAGCTCCTTCAGCTGCGTTGGGCTGCCTGGCCGTACATGAGGCGAATAAGATCTTGCTACTAGCTCAAGGTCTCGTTGCCATGTCATGTGAGGCCTTACTAGGAAAGGCAGAGAACTATCATCCCTTCATTTCTTCCGTCTGCCCTCATCCTGGACAGGTCGAATGTTCTGCAACCATTTTGCACTTTCTCGAAGGGTCTTCACTTGTTCAACGGACCAAGGAGGAGGATAAGCTTAAGCCCGGTCTTGCTCAAGATAGATACGCTCTGCGAGGAGCTCCACAGTGGCTTGGCCCTCAGGTTGAGGATATCTGCGCTGTCGTATCTCAGATCACGGTGGAACTTAACTCGACATCCGATAACCCCATCATCGATGTCAACTGCGGTGAGGTTTACTCGGGCGCCAACTTCATATCTAGCTCGGTTGCGAACGGAATGGAAAAGACCCGCCTAGCTCTTCAGATGGTTGGAAAACTTCTCTTCAGCCTCTCCTCCGAACTCATCAACCCTACTACGAACAGGGGCCTCACCCCAAACCTTGTCGCCGACGACCCCAGTTTGTCCTTCACCATGAAAGGTATCGACATCAGCATGGCCGCTTACCTGTCAGAGCTTGGATATCTCGCCAACCCTGTGACTCCTCATGTCCAGTCTGCAGAGATGCACAACCAGTCGATCAACTCTCTTGCGCTGATCTCAGGAAGATATACTCTTCAAGCTGCTGACATTGTCACGCAAATGTGCGCTGCGCATCTTTTCGCTGTTTGTCAGGCGTTGGACTTGCGAGTTCTTCACATGACGTATCTAAAATGTGTGAGAAACGAGTTGGCCTCTATAGTTCAACCGTTCCTCAATGGAATTGAGGATAAGGTAGCCCACGGGATTTATGAGAGCCTCCATGAGACTATTTGCAAATCCTGGGATGCTTCTGCGTGTTACGATCTCAAAGATCGATGCAAGACTCTGTCCAAAGAAACAGTGTCGGTCCTTCGTGAGCATCTTGAGGAGCACGAGATGAACATTGTATCCACACGGTCACTACAGAGAGATCTGGAGAGTTTGGCATATTCGATATTTACTCAGTCACGGAGCGACTTCTTCGTCAAGCCTCTTACGAAGCAGCACCTCGGCCATGCTTCTCTACGATTATACTCATTTGTAAGAGATGAACTGGGCGTGCCGTTCCATCAAGGCTTGGTTGAGCATCCTGGCAGAAGTCTTGGGGAAAAGATCAATGGGCGAGAGAAAAGGACCATTGGGTCTTGGGTTTCAATCATCTATACCGCCCTGAAGAATGACCAGGTCTGGGGTCCTTTGGTTGATGCAGTAGGGGGCAAGACGTGATGCATGCGACTCGCCTAAGGCTCACCACCCATGCTCAACTTACACCGGTGCTCCCGTCTCTCAGAGCCTAGATCTCTTGCCTCTACATTCTCAGGATACATTTTCGCTACTAGAATCTATTGACCGCATTCGAGTATCTGCATTACATTGTTTTTCCGCATGTCATACAAGATCTCAACTCATGTGTTAAATGAAGTAATTACAATTTGATCGTTAAACTGAGTTGACTACATGTATGTAAAGAAAGATGGCTTAAACCCGAGCCGCTTCGCTTGTACCATTTGGTGCAAGAATCACGTTCGCCCCATTGATGCTCTTCACCGGGATGCTGCCATTCGTCCCATTGGCTCCATTCGTAGGTGTCTGATCCTTCTGCTTTGCCTTTTCTCTCAGAACCTTCTTGAGGACCTTGCCACTCTGACCACGGGGAAGCTCCTCGATGAAACGAATCTGCTTGCGTAGCCAGTGTGTCTCATCAAGCTGGGCCTTGATACTTTCGTCCAACTGCAGGATAAGCTCCTTCTGTTCTTGGGCGGTCATATCCTGCTTGGTTGGGACGACAAAGGCAAGTGGTCGTTCACCTGCTTCTTCGTCTACGACGCCAATGACTGCTGCGTCCAGAATACCGGGCTGTACGCGGAGGAGTTCCTCGATCTCAGCGGGGTTGACTTGTAGGCCCTGAGATACTCGTTAGTGGCTGGTGTGTGAAGAAAAGTGCTGGACTTACCTTGACCTTGATCATGTCCTTCAGTCGGTCAACGAGATAAAGATGGTCATCGCCATGAGGACTTCTTCTGAAGAAACCGATGTCGCCAGTTGGTAACCATCCATCAACAGTGAACTTTGCCCTCATAGCATCATCTTCACCCAAGTATCCGGGAATCATGGCAGCTGACTTGAGGTAGAGTTCTCCAGCAGTGTCGTACGAAGTAATCTCCTTCCCATCCTGGTCGATGAGACGACCTTGGTTGGATGGGAATAGACAACCGCTCGAACCAGGCATGATATCAGCCGCGCGACTAAAGGTCACAATGGAGACACATTCAGTCAGGCCTATTCGAGAGATGTCAGTCAGAGTTAGGATGCTGATCCAGTGTTGGCGTTGGCTTACCATATCCAACTAGGAGACTCCAACTAGGCATCAAGGCCTTCATCTTCTTGGTCACACTGTCACTGCATGCAGCAGCGCCAAGAACGACATCTTGAACGGAAGAGAGATCAAAGATCTCAAAGAGGACTGGGTTTGCGGCAAGTGCGGCAATGACAGGAGGAACCTTCTATCATCAGTAAAGCTGTTTCTTCACGGAGTATGGACAACGTACCAGGTACAGACGCGAAATGCGGTGCTCTTGAATTGACTTGAGCACCAATTGCATGTTAAAGTTGGGGTGGAGAACAGCCGAATCACCTCTCACAAATATAGCATGTGTAGTGACAAGACCGTAACCATGGTTGAGCGGCAGTACAGCAAGGCCGATCTCAGGGTGTTTGTACCCAGCAGAGCTCTCAAACACGGCTGCTTGAGTGACATTGGCAATAAGGTTGGCATGCGTAATTATGGCGAGTTTCTAATCACATTAGCCTTGGCAACGTCAACACTGGAGAATGGTTGGTATACCTGGGGTCCTGAAGTTCCACTCGTAGTAAGGTAGAACGCAACCGTGCTGTGAGCATCCTTGGGTTGGAGCTGCTCCAGCTCGGGAAGTTCACTGCCCTCCTGGTAAAGCTGGGGTAGGCACTTGATCTCTCCTTCGAAGTTGGGCAATTGTGTGTTGCTGGTATTGATGGAGAAGATACGTCGGGGCACTTTGGGAAGGCGGTTCAAGATTTCTTTACAAGAGGGTAGTAGCTCTTCGCATGTGATTAGGATGTCGCAATTGGCTTTGGTCATGTGCGAGGAAATCTCAATGGGTGAAGTCGTTGGCTGGATAAGTAGACAGATACCACCAATGCGATGAATGGCCCAGCAAACAACGAGAAAGTCAAGCTACAAAGCGATCAGAGCCGCAATCTCACGGGGATGTCAGAGTACTTACCGAATTGACGGCCAACACGCCAATGACCTTTTCTTCAGCAGTGCTCTGATTCGGTGACCACCCAAGTTCACTACACAAGGCTTTTGCCAAAGCATTGACCTTCTCTCTCACCTCCTTGAGGGTATACTTCTTACCCGTCAAGGCGCAGATGAAAGGTGCACGAACACTACCAGAGGCACGTCGGCTCTCAAGCGCCCACTCCGCAACATTTGCATTGGGAGGAATCTGGGTTGTGATGTCAGGGACCCACGAGGGAGGTTGAAAGACCATCTTGACCAAGAGTACAGGGTTATCCGCAGTGTCGGTATCAGCAGTGGAGAAGGTCGTTTCAGGTATGTTGACCCAACGGAGTGGTCTGATAAATAGACGGAGACAGTGGATGAAGTCGGATAACAGATGAAGACCGAAGAACGATGCTCCATCGAATAGAGCCACGTCCAATTATAATAACAACATCGCACCATAAAATTGATCTTGTGTAACCAGAATGTAACTGTCAGCTTGGGGATCGCGGGGTCGGAGGATTACAGGATTGAAGGATCACCAGAATCGAGGATTGACCAATTCAACAACACTAATTATCAACGTTTCGCCGCACTTTATCTTACTTACATCTTCGTGCAGAAAATCACCAAAATCTCGGACGATCAAGTGATAATAAACATGCCATTCTTCTTTGTCGCTGATAGCATGTGAATTGACACTCCCGATCCCGCAATCCTCTGATCCTGGGTCAGAGCCTCATCACCCGTAGACGCTAAATACAATTGGCCTGACGGCTTATATAGACTATTACCTGCTATTCCAACAATCTTAGTGGCACTCTCGCTAATTCCGTCCCAAACACCGCCATCATGTTCTCCCCATCACCCCAAACCCTCGGCATCCTCGTCGGCGTCTTCATCCTAGCCACTATCCTCATCCGCCGCGCCCTCCTCCCCAAGCCCATCCCCGGCATCGTCTACCGCGAAGCCAACGCCAAAAAGATCCTCGGCAACGCCTGGGAACTCCTCCAATGGAAGAAAAAGCACGGCGAGATGTTTGGCTACCTCGCCAACCTCGCCGTGGAACTCAACGAGCCTGTGTTTCAGATCTTTGTGCACCCGCTCGGCAAACCGTGGGTCATCGTGGCTGATAACCGCGAGGCTTTTGACATTTTGTCGAGGAGGACTCCGAAGGAATTTGATCGCTCGAGGTTCTTGAGGAGTTTGTTCATGCCGCTTGTGCCGGAGTTTCACTTCCATATGCCCACTGGGGATCAGTGGAAGGCTCATCGGAAGCTGGTGGCTGATACAATGTCGCCTGCGTTTCTGGGCGGTGTCGCTGGACCGCAGATGTGGAAGTCTACTATGAAGCTGATTGATCTCTGGAGAGTTAAAGAGAGATTGGCCAAGGGACGCCCATTTTCTGTGTCTACAGATATTCGCAAGGCGGCTTTTGAGATCATCTGGGCTGCGACCTTTGGCTTTGACTCGGGTTCGACAAGTGCTCAGACTGAACTTCTTGAGACACTGCCTGAGTTCGCCAATCTACCCGATATGGACCATGAAGTACACTTCCCCGTCGCACCTGATCCTCCCGTCTTCAAAGCCGGTCTCGCTCTCAACGACGCGATGAACATTGGTGTTCAATCGCTTGTACCTGGTCTGCATTTGTGGTTGGCTTACAACCTCATGCCATCTTTACGCGCAGCCCGAAGTCTCAAAGAAGCTGTCATCCAAGACATGATCAAGCAAGCGATCAACAAGTTCTCCAACCAGACTGATCTCAATTGGGAGGACCAAGGTAACTTGAAGCGACACATGAAGAGCGCCGTCGATATTGTCATTGCTAGAGAAATTGACAGCGCGCGAAAAGAAGGCCGTACACCAGAGTTGATGAGTCGTACCGTCCAGGATGAATTGTTCAGTTTCATGCTCGCTGGAAACGAGATCTTCACTCTCACGGCCTGGACTCTTAAGTTTCTCACTACGCATCAAAATGTCCAGAAGATGGTGCGCGACGAACTCAGGGAACAATGCAGTGCTGCTGTTGAGAGAGGCGACGCACCAACCGTCTCAGAAATCATGTCCGCTCGACTACCTTACTTTGAGGCTATGATTGAGGAGTCTACGCGATGCGGCTCCGTTACACAGACTAATATCCGCACGACAATGCAAGAGGTTAATATCCTAGGTCATATGGTTCCAAAGCACACAGAGATTCTGATGCTGAACAATGGACCTGGAAGTTTCATGCCTCCGCTGTCCGTTGACGAAGAAAGGAGATCGGAGAGCTCAAAGGGTACAGCTGGTAAGATTGGCCAGTGGAATGTAAAGGGTATGAGAGACTTTGACCCAGAGCGATGGCTCGTCAAAGATGAAGAGGGACGATTGACGTTTAATCCCAATGCTGGACCACGACATTCATTCGGTGCAGGTCCCAGAGCCTGTTTCGGTAAGTTCCCTGCACTAATGTGCTGTAATCCAGTTACTAATCGGTGTTACAGGTCGTAAGTGGGCTGCGCTGGAGGTCAAGATCATGATGGCGCTGATTGTTTGGCACTTCAACTTGGAGCCCACGCCGAAGCCACTGTCGAGCTTCAAGCCTTTCCCTGGCGTTGCGCATCGGCCGGAGATGATATATTTGCGTTTATCGAATGTTTAGAAAGGGGATTGGTATATAAGTTTGAACAATGCTACAAAGGAACATTGAGATCGTCGCAATGCAATCGTGTTGGTTATAGTGATGTTGGTCCAGTAACATTCATGACTACAGTGTATGTACCGAGAATTAGGCTCACATCCCAGCGGCTGTGCCCAGTTACAGTGAACTTAGGCCACCTCATGCCCTTCCCCACGGCGGGCACTCAGTGCATTTCGCACCACAAGTTGGCCGCCAAAATTATCATAAGAAGCAACAAAGTCTCATGATATATACATCTCACAATTACAATTGATGTACTGGATATTTCTTCCATTTCGTGTGTTGTAATGCCATTTGTAAACTTGCTCCTCATTGCTTTGATTGCCGAACGGCGGTCTTCAATTGACTGTTTCACTGTATGACAAAGACCAACACCAATCGCAAACTCCAACGATCCTGATCCTGCAATCCCCACGTCAGATCGTCCCGGTCTTACAGTGTCCTGATCACAACTTACAGTGAGTGCATGCCCCGCAGCCGGAACTCAATTGCCCCGCTGATCCTCGAGACAATATGACAATTGCTGCACAAAGACGTATTCTTCCGTTCAGTCAATTTCAACGTCAGCATCGCATCTTGTTGCCTCAGTCGCTTCTTTCAAGCTGAATATCAGTAGCAGATCGGTTGAGAAACATCATGGCACTCGGCTTGAGCAAGTTGAAAACACTGGGTCTCAGTATCCTAGTCTTTGGGATTCTGGTCGCAGGATTTGACCAGCCAGATGACACAAAACAACGCTTCCAGTTCAACATTACAGGCACGCGAGTCTTGGGGTTGTTGATGGTCATATTCTTTGTATCAAACTTCAAGTCGATGCCCTTTGTCTGGACAGTAAGTTTCCTGTTTCTCACAACTTTGACGTGCGCTAAAGGGACGATCAGTTCCGTGTTCTGTGCACTATTACATACCACACCGTCCTCCGCAAATCACCGCAATTGGGCCCCAAAGCTCTCTTCAAGCCTATCATCGCCACGACTTCCACTTCTCTCCTCGAAGTCGATTATTACCTGCACAAGTCCAACTCGACATACTTCGCCGACCTTGATGTTGGGCGCGCGCATTTAATCGCATACCTCTTCCGCCGTGGCTTCCATCGATTATCCAATAACACCAAGCTCGGAATAGTTCTTGATCCAAAGACCGGAACTCCGATGGGCGGAAGACTCGGGATAAATCTTGGCGCCGTTGAAACCTGCTTCCGACGCGAGATCACAGCGTTCAAACAAGTTGAGATGTGGAGTTATGTCTTGACTTGGGATCGGAAGTGGTTATACATCGTCACACATTTCGTGCCAAAGCGTACAGCACTTCCGACAGAGTGGCTTGATCCGCAGTTTGCGAGAACGGCGACAAGGCCGCTGCTCAAAGACTCTGGCGATTTGAGCAAGAAGGTATACGCTACGGCTTTGAGCAAGTATGTTTTCAAGTTGAAGCGCCTGACTGTGCCGCCATCAACGGTGCTGGAGGAGGCTGGTCTGCTGCCGACACGGCCTGGAGGATGGGCAATTGGCGAGCATGACCTGGAGGCGTCGGGCCCAGATATTTCGGATGTTGGTATTAGCAAAGATGGCGAATGGGATTGGCGACGGGTTGAAGCTCAAAGAAGGAGGGGAATTGAGTTGATTAGCAAGCCGAACCATCTTGACTTAATCCATGATGGCTTTGATGGGGGTAGTGATGGAGCAATTGGCCGGTTCAGTCCAGGATAGTATATCTACTTTGATAGCATTTTCATGCTTCTCAAACTTAACAACACATTATAATAGATACGAAAGCGAATGTACATGCCAACCAGAAGTGACACATGCAAGCTGTGGCGAGTTCATCGCCGTGTTTGTGCCGGCAAACACAAATTCCGGCCACAGTGGGCTTAGCACTGACAGCCATCTATAGCGCGCTGGGCAGTTCAAGGTTGCGAGGGTGGAGGAGAGATGTCACATCCCAAGCTGCTGTAGTGCTCGATCATACAGGCACCGACAATGACAGAGACATAAAATGGTTAAAATGCATGATTGAATACGAGAAGAAGACAAAATTTCTATGAAAGCCTAACTAATCCAACCTGTAAATAAAAGAAACAGCACTAAGCCCAACTCCAAACTCCAAACTCGAGTAAATCATACTTCCAAAAGAACTAAACTAACATTAGGAAATCGTGCGCTATCAATCTCACGCCTCAATACTCTTCAACACCTTACAAAGATCTTCCATCAATCCCTCCACCACCTCCGAAGCAATGACCTCCTCCGAGTATCCCGCCACAATACTCATCTCACCACCCTTCGGCTCAACCGTAACCCAAACATCCGTAACATCAGGCGGCACAACAGTATAGTCAACACTACACTCAGCGCCATGCATACCAAAGCTCTTCTGAGCCTCAGGCAGATTCTGATACTGAAGAATAGAAGAGAAGCGAGCTACGTCTGCGGAAGTAGGCCAGTTTGTGCACTGGCGGAAAATGGTCTCCCAGCCGAGATGTTCGTGTGGTAAGGCTGAGATGTGCTGCTGGTGGACCTGTTGTAGAATGGTGCCTTGGGGTTGAGCGGTGTTGACGCGGATGGGGATAAGGTTGACGCATGGACCGTTGACTTTCTCGATGTCGTCGATTGGTAGGGAGCGGCCTGAGACGAGGTGGGCGAATACAACGTCGGATGTCCCTGTTGCTTTGGCGAGGACCATTGCCCATGCAGCCTTGAGGTATGATGATACCGTGAGACCCGACCCTTCAACCTTTGGTGAGGCCACCGTCTTGACGATATAAGAGCCTGTCATAGCATTTCTTGTTTGCGAAGTACCAGGCAGACAAGTCATCCTCGAGCCCTCCAGCAAATCACCCCAATACTTTATCGCAGGCTTCGTGTCAATCGCCCTTAGCGCATCAATGTAATACGACATCTGTCGCGGCGCCTCAACCTCAACATCCGCCTCACCCCACGCCTGAAGCTGCTGGAAGAAAATCGGCAACGACATACCGTCGTACTGTGCGTGGGAGATCCTAATCACAAGACTGTCCTTGTGCTCGCCTTGGACGAACCATGCCTTGAAGGGGGGTTCGTGAAGCTCAAGCTGTTTTTTCTGATCTTCTTGGATGAGGGATTTACAGAACGTGGAGAGATCAGTGGAGGCGATGCGTTCTTCGAAGGGAACGGTGAAGTTGTCGAGAATGACTTGGTAGGACTTTGCAGCGTGCTGGGTGAAGACTGTTCGGAGGATTTCGTTCTTGGCGACTGTGGTTTGGAGCGCAGTGTGGACACGCTGCTTGTCGACTTTTTGGTTATATGTGACTGTCGCGTGCATGAGCCATCGATCCTGTGTATGTTCGTGCAGAGCAAGAGATTGGAACTCGGTTGTCTCAAGGATCTTCTCAACGTTGAAGCGGCCGGGGAGGGAAGCCTTGATCGCGGCTTGTGTTGCTTCGTCGACTTCCTCAACACGATGGCTTGTCGTTTCGCGTGAATGCGAAGCTTGCTCTAGATGTGTCGCAAGATCTTTCAAGACAGGGCTCTGGAAGATCTGAGCGACGGTCATCTTGAGATCAACTGCTCTTGCAGCAGCGACGAGCTGAATAGCAGCGAGTGAGTCTCCGTTGAGATGGAAGAAGTTGTCGCTCGCGCCGATTGACTCCGCAGGTCGTCGGAGCACTTGACTCCAGAGCTGTTGAAGTTGTTTCTCCATGTCCGTGGTGACAGGAACCAATTGAGCACCAGTCGTAAGGCGATACTCCTCCAATTTGTTGTCATCCATATCCTCCAGCACCGCAGTAATCGCCCGACGGTCAAGCTTGCCTGATGAGTTCACCGGCAATTTACCCATAGGGATGAAGAAATCTGGAATCATGTACTGAGGTAAGACCTCGGCGAGCTTGAAACGAATCTCTTCCGACGCTTTTCGTAGCGTCTCTGACGGAGCCAATACTCCATCTCCAACCTGTCCCTCGCCAACTTCCACGGCCACTGCAATCGTAGGTCTATCCTCCCTCTTGACAAACACAGCCGCTGCTGATCCAATGTCCTCCGACGATTGTAGCACTGCGTACTCAATCTCTCCCAACTCAATTCTCTGACCACGAATCTTGACTTGGGTATCCCGACGACCGAGATTGGTGTATGTACCATCGTCGTTCTGTTGAACCAAGTCGCCTGTGCGATACATCCTATGTCCATTGCCCAAGCCGTAACGTACAGTGAAGCCGGGGTCTGTGATGAACGCGCCATCTGTTTTGGCTGCATCGTTCAGATAGCCCTGCGAGACCTGGGGACCTTCAATGAGAAGCTCACCAGGGGCGCCAATTGGGCAGAGTTTGTTGTAGTCATCAGGGTCAACGATCCAGACACGACAGCTTGGTAAAGGAGCGCCGAGAATGTTGGCTTGCTTCCTGTCTGTGAATGGAGACGCGGACACGATGGCGTAGATGGAACATTCGGTTGGGCCGTATCCGCCAATAATGTCCGCGTGATGGTCCATCCACAGGTCAAGAACTGACGGCTTGACAGGTTCACCGAGTAAGACCACAGTGTTGATGTTGGGCAGCTGAGATGGCTTCAGTAGCTCAGCAACTGTGGGTGTGATGGACAGGAAGTTTACCGCCCTTTCGATGATGAAATGCTGCAGATCGCTCATCCTCTCATCCTCAGATGGCACACAGACACACCCTCCAGCATACAGCGTGGTGAAGATCTCTTGGATAGCAGCATCGAAGGTATGTGCTGCGAATTGAAGCACTCGTGACATTTTGCTTAGACCAAAGACCTTCTTCTGACTGTCCAGGCTCGACGAGATACCGGCATGAGTAAGAACCACGCCCTTTGGTGTACCTGTACTGCCAGAGGTATACACGATCCAGGCTGGCTGATTGACGTTGATCTCAGTGACGCGAGTGTACCATTTGTCTGGGATACCAACATCACTGAAAGAAACTCGCTTGCGCAGCGACTCGTCAACAGTAAACATCTCTAGGCCCAAACCAGCCAGTCGCTCTGTTTGTTTCTGGTCAGCCAGTACAACGCTGACTTTCGCATCATCAACAATGAGCTTGATACGACCAAGAGGGAGCTGTACCCCCAGTGGAACAACAACTCCGCCGGCGCGTAAGATCGCTAGCATTGAAACGGCAGCCCATTGCGATTTATCCATGCACACTCCAACACTAGTACCGTGGCGAACCCCGAGACTGACGAGATGATCGGAGAGTTTGCCGGAGAGATGCTTGAGTTGCTTGTAAGTAAAGGTGCCATCCCATGCACTAATGGCTGTTGCATCAGGTTGGTGGGAAACCATGTCGAAGATGAGGTCGTGTGCACAGCGCTCAACGCTGGGGATGGGGCCGCTGTTGACAGAGAGAATGCGATCCAGGTCTTGGGGACTCAATGCATCCAAGTCTGAAATACTGGTGGCCTCATGTGCACTCTCGGCTTGCTCCAATTGGCTCGCGATATGGGCGAAGGACTGCAACATGCGCTGCATCTGAGCTGTTGAGATGACTGCGTCGTCGAATCGCGACTCAATTGAGATGCCCTTTGATCCAATGCTACACTCCACGGTGAGTGCATAGTCATCGAATTGCTCTGACATGTCCTGTTGATGTACGAGACCAGGGAACTCGATCAATGCATTGTCACTATCTGCCGCAGGCTGGACGACGAAGAGGTGCTGCATGTCGAGGGCAGCAGCTGCATCGGGGACAAGTTCGGCAATGCGCTGCAGACCTGTGTGCTCAAATGGAATCATGTCTGTTGCCTGTTGCTGCACAGCCTGAAGAAACTCGCGAGCGGTAGTGGATGAGTCGATGCGCACCCTCATGGGAACAGTGGTGATAGTCGGCGCAAGCATCTCAGTAATCCCATCAACGGGCGCATTCCGCCCCGAAAGCGTCACCGCAAAAACAACATCATTGCTCCCCGAATACCTCGCAACCATAAGCGCCCAAGCAGCGCGAAGAAGATTCGACAGCGAAACCTCAGACTTTGCTTGTCTCACAAAGTCAAGGCTCTGCACAAGTTTCTGTCGCGGCTGAGGCTGGTATCGCACAGAGGGCAGAGCAGGGAATGCAGTCGGGTTACCCTGAAGCTGTTCGCGCCAATAGCTCGCTGCTTTGGTAGCATCAGCTTGGCCGAGATAGGCGATGAAAGGCGTGTATGGTGCTGAGAGCGGTGTCGCGTCATGCCAGTACATGTTGGAGACTTGGCGATACATCATTGTTAAGCTCCAGCCGTCGTAGACGCTGTGGTGAGCTGTCCAGACGAGAAGACGTTCGCCATTGGACTCGATGATACCAAAGCGCATGAGGGGTTTGCCTTCTGCCATGCTTAACGCACTGTCATGGTCGATGTACTCTTCCAGTGAAGAGGCAGTATGCCATTCGAGCGGTTCATTCACAACAACTTGCATTGAGCCAGAGGCAAGACCCAGTATGATACGGGTTCGTAAAACAGGCGCCGCCTCAGCCATCTTCTGCCAAGCAGTCTGCAGTCTCGCCACGTTGATCTCATCACTCAAAGAAAAGATCCTTCGGCTGATATACGCACTCGGCTGCCGAGCAGTCGCAATAAGCAATCCCTCTTGAAGTGGCGTGCACGGATAAACATCCTCAATCTGCTCCGCCATGACACCGCACCGCTCCACAATCTCGGCCCGGAGACCCACTTCTTTCTCGGCGCCGTGTTCGGGCCAGAGAGAAAATGGTGCCGGGATTGACGCTAGCGAAGATTGCTCGTGACCCTCAGCCATCCTAGAGTCGAGAATGCTAGCGAGTTCGGAGAGACGAGGATGTTCAAAGACGTCGGCGACACGGAGGAGCATGTTTGTGCTGCGCGATGCTTCGACGAGACGCATCGCGGTGATGGAGTCTCCGCCGAGATGGAAGAAGCTGTCCTTGGCGCCGACGGTGTTGGCTGGTCTTCCGAGAACGCTAGCCCAGAGCTGTTGGAGCTGTCGTTCGGTCTCGGTAGATACATCTGCCTTGGCCGCTGCGTTGGGACGGTAAACATCGAGCTCTTCTGGCTTCATGCCCTTCAGGAACAAGTCAATCGCTCGGCGGTCAAGTTTCCCTGAAGAGTTGAGAGGTAGTCGAGACATGGGGATGAAAATATCAGGGACCATGTATCGCGGAAGAACAGAAATGAGATGTCCCCGGACTTCCTCGAATGACTCTCGCATGGCGATGGTGGGCTCCAGTAAATCAGCCTGCGACAAGCCCTGCAGATTATTATCCACAGCGCTGTTTTCTCCGCCATCGGCAATTTCCAGCGCTACAGCCAGCACTGAAGATTGACCGACAGGACCATCGAGAAGCATGACAGCCGCTTGAGAAATCTCAGATGCTGATCGCACAACCCAGTATTCAATCTCGCCAAACTCAACACGTTGACCACGGATCTTGATCTGTGTATCTCTTCGGCCAAGCGTGGTATACGAGCCGTCACTGTTTTGTCGGACGAGATCACCTGTCCTGTACATCCTTCTTCCAGGCTGAAGACCATGATGCTTAGTGAAGTCAGGGTCAATCAAGAATGATTTCGCTGTCTTCTCTTCGTCACCGAGGTAGCCGCGTGCTAACAGTGGCCCCTCGATGAGTAACTCGCCGGGCGCACCGATGGGAACAAGACGGTTGAAGTCCTTTGGATCGACGACCCAGAAGCAGCTGGCGAGTGGGATACCCAGCACAGGAACCTGGCTGATATGTCTCATGGGTCTTGGAGAAACGGTCGCGTAGATGGAACATTCTGAGGGCGCATATGACTCCAACACGACAGCTTGATCCTTCCACAAGTCCATGACTGCTGGTTTGACGGGCTCTCCCATGAGGATAACTGTTTTGACGAGCGGGAGCTGCGCAGGATCCAATAGGCCTGCGACTGTCGAGGTGAGGGATAAGAAATTGGCCTCTGCCTTCGCGATGAAGGGCTGTAGGTGATTGATGCGCTCGTCTTCAGAGGGAATACAAGTACATCCGCCCTGGCAAAGCGTTGTGAAAACTTCTTGAATCGTGACGTCAAAGGTATGCGCCGCGAATTGAAGAACCCTTGATCCATCACGAACACCAAACGCGTCGCCGTGGGAACGAATGCTAGAGCACAGAGCCGAGTGCTGAAGAACGACGCCCTTGGGTGTTCCTGTGCTTCCGGAGGTGTAGACTACCCAAGCGGCGTTGTCGGTGGTGACGGTAGAGCAGACTGCTGAGCTGGGCTTGAGGGTGCTTTGAAGTGCAGCGTCGACTTTGATGAGACGGGGACCTGTCTCTGCAAGACGCTCAAGTTGTTTGTCGTCGACGAGGATGATTGGGGCTTTGGTATCGGTGATGATGGTCTGTACTCGGGGCAATGGCTGCTGCACGCCCATGGGGAGGACAACACCACCTGCCTTGAGCACAGCTAACATCGCGACAACAGCCCAGCGGGATTTGTCCATGCATATACCAACCATGATCTCAGGGCCGACACCGAGATCCATGAGATGTCCAGCGAGATTGCCAGAAGCGACTTCTAACTCGCGGAATGTCATGATACCGTCCCATGCGTAGACGGCCATCTCATCTGGTCGACGCTCGTAAACCTCATGAAATAAAGCGTGGATGGTTGAAGCAACGGGCTTAGGAACCTCCCTGTTCTGAGCGACAATAGCGTGCTTCTCTTCCGTTGGTACGATGTCTAGATCAGCGAGAGTAGATTTGGTGTGTTGGCTGAGGACTTGGATGACGTGCTTCAGCTGGTTCAGCAGACGCTGGGCGACTTCGTGGCTTGCGACGCCGGGGATGTACTGAAGAACCAGATCAAGACTCTGGTCATTTTCGAGGATACTCAGATTGAAGTCATACTCAGTTGACTCATCGGCTGATGCGCGCTCAAGCTTGATAGAGTTATTCGCTGTCGCGCCGTCCATATTTAGTGCGCGGGTATATGAGACGGTAGTGTTGAAGAGCGTTTGCTGCTGTGTTCCTTGAAGAGAGTGCTGGATTGAGGCTAGAGAAGCACGCTGGTGATCAAAGCCTTTGAAGAAACGGTCTTGAATCTGTCGGATCACATCAACGGCCGTGGAGGTGTAGTCCAATTGGACATAACAGATCATCATGTTGATCATAGGTCCAACGAGCCTCTCAACGCCATCGATCGGAATATCACGACCGCTAGAAAGATATCCGAAGCAAATCTGGTTTAATTCCACGCGAGAGGCTAATACCAAAGCCCAAGCTAATTGGGCTACGTTTGCCGCAGTGACGTTGTAGTTGCGACACATGTCGCGAAGGACAGAGATGTCGGGCATGTGAGCTGTAACAGCATGGCCCGTCTCCATCTCCGAGGTGTCGGGCTGTTGTTGGCCGAGTTGGAGATGACATGGCTCGGCAGTCTCGAGAAGATCTTTCCAGTATTGTAGGTCCTCTTGTTCAGAGTTGCGGTGCTGCTCAAGGAAGGAGACGTAGCTGCCGTAGTCCGAGGTGCGCGACAGAGAGATTGATGTCTTGGTGGGAGATAGAGACTCGTAAGCTTCGAGAAGGTCGTTCACGAGGAGTTGGACGGAAGAAGCATCGACGAGAGCGTGACTGATCTCAAAATGCCCGAAAACATGACCATCGACAGTAGGAATGATGAGGAAGCGGTGCGAAGGACGACCAACGGGATCATGAAGTAGAGCGTGGTGTTTGATGAAGCGCTGGACTTCTTCATCGCTGGAACATGGCTTAATGATCTGAATGTCAACTTCCAGCGCCTTGAGAACGACTTGATAGAAACGATCGTGGTGAGACAAGGCGCCAGTGAAGATGGTTCGCATGATGGAATGCTGACCAACGACTTGTCGCCAGGCATTTGCGAGTCGCGCAATGTCCACAGGTGATGATGGATCGGCAGGGAGAATGCGACAGGTCTGCTTGAGACGATAGCGGGAGGGAGCTCTCAATTGACTGAGAAGAATACCCTGTTGGATCGGCGAACAAGGAAGAACGTTCTCGACATTCGCCCACGAGATGGAACCCGGCGTGAGACAGTACTGATACAGCGTGTCGAGATCATCGTTGGTCAATTGAGCGAGAGGGAAGTCACTGATCGTACACATCGGCTCAGCGACAACAAGTTCTTGAACACCCTGCGTGATAGCACGTGCATACTCCACAAGCCAATCGCGAATAGCTTGACTCTTGGGACTTTGTCGAGGGTATCCAACCATGAGATGCGTCTTGCCCGCATGATCAATCGAGACTTCAACGCTGAGAGCAGCATGTTGACGAACCTTGCCACCAACAGAAGCATCAAGCTGTCCAACAGATTGATGAAGCTTGTCGAGGGTGAGAAGACCGTCTGAGCGCTGGAGTTGCTGGAATTGACCGTGGTAATTGAAGAGGATTTCAATTGGTCTAGAGCGCTGGGATGCAAAGTCGAGGACTTCACGACCGGAGTTGAGTTTGCGAAGATCCTTGACTTGGCGTAGAGTTGAGATAAAGGTGTTGTCGTCGGAGATGTTGAGGGGCGTGACGGTTGTGAACCATCCGACTGTGTCGGAGAGATCGTAGTTGACGTCCAGAGCTTGGGTGTCGCGGCCGTGGCCTTCGGTAAAGATTGATGGGCCGGAACGATCTGTGAAGGTATGGCGGAAAGAAGTTGATAGGGCGGCGAGGAGGATGTCTGCGACACCAGAGCGCAAGGGCTCGTTGGCGGGACCAATAAGTTTAGAGGTGACCTTCTCATCCAATTGAACAGTCTCAAAGACCTGATCTTCAGTAATGTACTCGCCCGGCTGAAGACCCCAATAAGACCACGAAGCAGTGCTATCAGCCTCAGTAACTGAGTCAATTGACTGAGCCTGCTGGAGAACAGCGTTGCTCCACGTCGGGAAAGGCAGAGACTGCGACGTAACCATGGAACCACTCTGAAGAACCTGCTCCAAGTCCTTGGCGATGATTCGCCATGACATGAGATCAATAACGAGATGGTGGGCAGTCAAGAAGAGAAGCTGGCGATCTGGAGCCTGTATGAACTCGGCTGCAAAGACAGGGCCGTGTTCGAGATCGAGGGTTCTCTGTGACTCGAGCATGATCGCTTGCACGGCGGTATCATCGTTGGCGTTGTGGGACTTGAACCTGTATGAACCAGGGGCTTGCTTCTCAATCCACTGTTGGTATCCATGCTCTTGGGACACGAAGCGAGAGCGAAGCATAGCGTGCTTTGTCACAACAGCCTCGATGGCCTTAGCGACAGACTCCTCGTTGATGTGTCCCTCTGATTGAAGACGGAAGCAAACGCTCTGATTGAAACGGTAAGATCCTTCCGAGCTGAGTCCAGCGGGCGCAATGTCCTCAAAGAACATCTTCTGAGCAGGCGATAGCTCAAACGGGCCATCTGGGATCTCAGCGGAGAAGACCTCACCATCACTAGCCTTGACGCGTGTGGCAAGGTCGGATATAGCAGGGCTCTGAAGAATGTCGCGAACAGTAACGACCAGTCCAATCTCACGGCACGCAGAGACGACTTGCATAGCAGTGATGGAGTCACCGCCTAGCGACATGAAGGATCTTCTGTAGCTGACGTTTGGAACGTTGAGAACTGAGCTCCAGATCTCGCGAAGCTTCTGCTCGGTGGGAGTCACGTTGAGATTAGCTTCTTCGGCAGCGCTCTCAAGCTCGGAGTATGAAGCCAGCTCTGTTGGGTTGAGACTGTTGATCCACTCCATAACAGCTCGGCGATCAGCTTTGCCGGAGGAGTTAATTGGCAGTGTAGTCATTGGGATCCAAAGACGAGGAATCATGTAATCGGGGATGTGCTGGGAGAGGTACATCTGGATCTCAGAGGCGAGAAGCAGTGCAGCTGTTGTGTCAATCCCATCACGGCCTGAGATGCCGTTGTACGCTGTCTCGTCATGCGCAGCCTTGTCATCGTGAGGAACACTGAATGCTGTGACGAGCTGACCATCACTGGATCCTCTGGTGGTAAAGACGACACAGGCACGAATGCCGGAGGAATGGCGTGAGATGTGATACTCAATCTCGCCGACTTCAACACGCTTGCCGCGAATCTTGATCTGTTGATCGCGTCGGCCTAGGTTGGAGTATGTCCCATCGTCGTTCTGTCGCACCAAATCACCGGCGCGATACATACGACGGCCCGTAGACTGAATACCAAGATCGGCAAGGAAAGCAGGGTCGGTGATGAAAGAGTTGGCGGTCTTGGTGGCGTCGTTGAGATATTCGCGTGCGAGGTGAGGGCCTTCAATGAGCAGTTCACCTGGTACACCGACGGGGCACAGCTTGTTGTAGTCGCGGTAGTCAACGACCCAGAAGCGGCAGGACTCTAACGGTGTGCCCAAGATCATGGCTTGACGACGGTCGGTCATTGGTTCGGGGGAGATGGCGCTCTGGATACTGCACTCTGATGGTCCATATGCATCCAAGCATGCTGCCTGTGGCATCCAGAGATCCAATACTGAAGGCTTGACTGGCTCGCCAATGAGGATGAGGGTCTTGACCAGCGGCATCTTGGACGGCGATAACAAGCCGGCGACTGTTGACGTGAGGGAGACGAAGTTGACGTCCATTGACACGATGCATCCCTCCAGGTCATTGAGACGCTCTTCCTCTGAAGGAATGCACACACAGCCTCCATAATACAGCGTCGTAAACGTCTCTTGGATCGTAACATCAAAAGTGTACGCCGCAAACTGCAAGACACGAGACGACGGAACTAGGCTGAATGCCGCACCGTGAGATCGCATACTCGTACACAGCGCATAGTGCTGCAGCACAACACCCTTGGGCACACCAGTGCTTCCGGAGGTGTATACTACCCAAGCCGCGTTATCAGGCTGCACAGCGGGATTCGAGAACCCGAACTCAGCAGGGACGAGACCATCCATGAACGGGCGGTTGACCTCAATGAGTTCGGAGTCCACACCAGCTAGACGAGCCTTCTGCTTCGCGTCAACGAGGATCACAGAAGCTTGTGTATCTCTTAGTATTGTCTGAAGTCGAGAAAGAGGCTGCTGGACGCCTAGTGGAAGGACGACACCGCCTGCTTTGAGGACTGCGAGCATTGACATGGCTGCCCAGATTGACTTGTCCATGCAGATACCGACCATGACTTCCGGCCCAATGTTGAGGGTTGCCACGAGGTGTTTGGCTAGGGTGCTAGCAGCAAGGTCGAGTTCACGATAGGTCATTGACCCGTCCCATGCTTGGAAGGCGAGAGCGTTGGGTTGGCAATTGGTCATTTCCTGGACGAGCAGATGGACGCAGGAGTCGAGAGACTTTGGCACCTCGCTGTTGATGGCGGTGATGAGCTGCTTATCTTCAGCGGGGACGAGATTGAGATCGCCGAGAAGGGATGTAGTCTCGCTGGTGCTGAGAACCTGGACAACATGCTTGAGGTGGTTGAGAAGACGCTGGGCTGTCTTTGTGGAAGCGGCGCCGGGGAGGTACTGCAGTGCGATGTCTATACCGCTCTCGGTCTCTAACATGCTGAGATTGAAGTCATATTCGGTAGACTCATCAGCTGCAATCCTCTCCAAGCGAATTGACTGGATGTTGCGCGCCCCGCCACTCAGATTGGGAGCTCGAACGTAAGACACAGTCGTGTTGAAGAGGGATTGTTGAGAACTTGATAGCGAGTGCTGAATGGTAGCCAACGAAACGCGCTGATGCTCAAAGCTATCGAGGAAGCGATCTTGTATATCCTTCATCGCATCAACACAGCTTTGAGAATAATCGAGGGCAATGTTGCACACGATCATGTTGATCATCGGTCCAACGAGGGTATCTGCCCCGTCGATGGGAATGTCGCGTCCACTGGAGAGATAGCCGAAACACACTTGATCAAGCTGCGTGCGGGACGAGAGGACGAGAGCCCAGGCGAGTTGGAGGACGTTGGCGGGGGTGATGTCGTTGGATTGGCAGAGTTTCTGCAGGGTGCTCATGTCCTGCATTGCGGTAGACACAGAATGGCCTGTGTCTTCTTCAGAGGTGGTGAGATCCTCGCCGAGTTGGAGTTGGCAGGGTTCAACGGTGGCTAGACGCTTCTCCCAGTAGCGGAGGTCATCTTCCTCGGAGCCTTGCTCTAGGAACGAGATGTAAGTGCTGTAGTCAGAGCCAGATATGTTTGTAGCGCCTTCGTAGGCTTGGAGGAGGGTGTTGACGAGGAGTTGAACAGATGATGCGTCAACGAGTGCGTGGCTAATCTCAAAGTGTCCGTAGACATGGCCGTCTTCTGTTGAGATGACCAAGAAGCGATGAGATGGGCGACCGAGATGATCCTCCATAAGCGCATGGCTTGCAATACACTCTTGGACCTCTGTCTCGGAAGAGCAGGTGATGAAGCGAATGTCGGGCTTGACGGACTTGAGAACGACTTGGTAGAACCGGTCGTTGAAGGGGATCATGGTGAAGATGGTGCGCATGATGGTGTGATTGCTGACGACTTGTCGCCAGGCATCTCCGAGTCTCTTGACATCAACACCGTGGGAGGCAGTGGGTATGACGCGACACGTCTGTCTCAATCGATATGTAGTCGGCGACTTCAATTGACTGATGAAAATACCCTGCTGTGTAGACGAACAAGGAAGTATATCCTCAACAGCATCCCAGCCAATGCTCGTCGGTTCAAGAATATGCTTTTTCAGCGCAACAAGGTCGGTGCTACTCAAATGCGAAAGCGGATAATCGCTCGCTGTGGCCGTTCGTTCTGTACTCATTAGTTCACTTACCGCAGAGGTGATGACCTCTCCATATCGCTGTAACCATCGTCGCACATCATCGCCCTTTGGCGTGCGACGACTGAAACCGACACTCATACAAACACGGCCAGCTTCGACGGAGACCTCAATTGTGATGGCGGCTTGTTGTCGTACTTTGTCGCCTATTGAAGTCTCGGAGGAGTGAAGCTTGTGGATGCTGAGAAGACCATCTGCGCGATCGAGTTGTTGGAATTGGCCGTGGTAGTTGAAGAGGATTTCAATGAGGTTCTGGGGGGAGGGCGACTTGTACTTGGCTGCGAAATCGAGGGCGGTGGTATCAGCGTTGAGTTTGCGGAAGTCCTTGACTTGTTGGAGGATGGAGATGAAGCCAGTGTTGGTGTCGGTGACTTTGAGAGGTGTTACGGTGGTGAACCAACCGACTGTCTCGGAGACATCACCGCCTGCATCTCGGCCATGGCCTTCAACGTGGATCGTAGGTCCTGGTCGGTCGGTAAAGACCTGTGCGAAAGACTGATGTAGAGCAGCGAGGAGAATGTCCGTGACACCAGTTTGCAAAGACTCATTCGCTGGACCTAGCAATTGAGCGCTGGTGTCTGCGTCAATAGCCAGAGTCTCAACGATCTGGTCTTGTCGAACAAAAGAGCCAGGCTCAAGACTCCAATAAGACCAGGATCCGACGTCGCTCTCCTCAGGCGCTGCAACAGTCTTGGCCTGCTTCATAATCGCCTTGGACCAAGTTGGGAAAGGCAGCGACAAAGAAGGCTGTAGCGTCTCAAAGCGCAAGAAGTGCTCTAGATCAGCTGCGAGAATTCGCCAGGACATGAGATCGATAACAAGATGGTGCGCAGTCAAATTGACCAGCTGAGCATCCTCCATCTCAAACACGTCAACAGCGAAAACAGGTCCGTACTCAAGGTCCAAAGACCCTTGCGAGTGACGGATAATGTCCTCCGTCGCAGCATCGTCGGCCACGTTGTGAGTCTGGAAGCGATACGACCCCATAATCTGCTTCTCAACACGCTGCTGCCAGCCCTGACTGTTGTCCTGATCAGTCTGGAAGCGCGCGCGAAGCATAGCATGCTTGGTGACCATGGCCTCAATTGCACGAGTAACAGTATTCGCCGCAATGTCCTGGGGAATGCGGAAGCAGACGCTCTGATTGAAGCGATGAGGTCCATCTGCTCGTAGGCCCGAGGGAGCAATGTCCTGGAAGAACATTTTCTGCGCGGGCGAGAGATCAAAGGGCTCATCGGGGATCTCAATGGGGAGCTGCTCGTCGCCCATTTTGTCGCTTGCCTCTTTAACTCGTAGAGCAAGCTCGGAGATAGCTGGGCTCTGGAGGATCTGTCGCACGGTTACGACGAGGCCTTGCTTGCGACAGGCTGAAACGACTTGCATCGCTGTGATGGAGTCGCCGCCGAGGGAGAGGAATGAACGACGGTAGCTGATGTGGCTGATGGGCTTGTTCAAGACGGTGCTCCAGATTTCTCGGAGCTGTCGCTCAGTGGATGTTACTTGGAGCCCGTCTTCGACTTGGTGCTCGAGGTCAGAGTAGGAAGACAAGTCAAGGTTCTTGATCCATTCGGAGATGCGACGTCGATCAGCTTTTCCGGATGAATTGATGGGCAAGCTTGCCATGGGGATCCAGAGTCGCGGAATCATGTAGTCTGGGACATACTGCGACAGGTAGAGTTGGACCTCGGAAGCGACGAGCATGGCAGCTGGTTTGTCGACAGCGTTCTCTCCGTCTAATGCTGCGCCGCTGTACGCAGCACCATCGCTGGGAAGACTAAACGCCGCGACGAGCTGACCATGGACGTAGAGAACAACAGCCTGGATGCAAGAAGGATGACGCGTGATGTGATACTCAATCTCATCAACCTCAACTCTCTGTCCACGGATCTTGATCTGCGTATCCTGACGTCCCAATGTCGTATACGACCCATCATCATTCTGCCTCACCAGATCACCAGTCTTGTACATCCGTCGATTGCTCCCAAGATCATACTTGCCCACAAACTCGGGATCGACAATAAACGACTTGTTCGTCTTGACCTCATCGTTCAAATACCCCCTGGCAAGAAGCGGGCCTTCGATGAGCAGTTCTCCCGGCGCGCCAATAGGACACAGCCGATTGTAATTCTTGGGATCAACGACCCAGAAACAACTCGCCAGCGGAATGCCCAGAACAGAGACCTGAGAGATGTGCTTCATTGGCTGGGGGGATACAGTAGCGTAGATACTGCACTCGGATGGGGCGTAGGATTCGAGAACGGAGGCTTGGTCTTTCCACATATCGAGAACAGCGGGTTTGACGGGTTCGCCCATGAGGATCACAGTCTTGATCTGTGGAAGTTGAGAGGGGTCGAGAAGACCGGCGACAGTGGATGTCAGGGAGAGGAAGTCCACTTTGGCGGAGGAGATAAAGGCTTGGAGATGGTTGACGCGATCATCTTCTGAAGGTACGCAGACGCAGCCTCCCATACATAACGTGGTAAAGACCTCTTGGATCGTCACGTCGAACGTGTGAGAAGCGAATTGAAGTACGCGCGCTCCCTTGACGCCAAAGGCAGTTCCATGCGATGTAATGCTCGTGCAGAGAGCAGAATGTTGCAGGACTACACCCTTTGGTGTACCTGTGCTGCCGGACGTGTAGACGACCCAAGCAGCGTTGTCTGTAGAAACAGTGGTACAAGCAGAGCGAGAAGCGGTGGGCAAGGTTTGGAAGAGAGCTTCGTTGACTTCGATGAGTTGTTGGGGACCGAGATCCTTGAGGCGGTCGAGCTGAGCGTTGTCGACGAGGATGATGGGGGCTTTTGTGTCGGAGAGGATGGTTTGGAGACGGGAGAGAGGCTGATCTGCGCCGAGAGGAAGAACAATTCCACCGGACTTTAAAACAGCGAGCATAGAGACAGTTGCCCACCGCGACTTATCCATACAAATGCCCACCATAACCTCCGGCCCAATGTCCATCTTCATAAGGTGCTCTGCAAGACTACTCGCCGCAATGTCAAGCTCTCGGTACGTCATGGTTCCATCCCAGGCATACACGGCCATAGCATCAGGCTGACGGTCCGTCACCTCTTGAACAAGCGTGTGTATGCACGAAGCAACGGCTCGTCGGCCTTCGCCATTGACGTCGCGAAGATGCTGGGCGTCTTTGGAGGAGATGCCGTCGAAGGAGTTGACTTTGGCGGATGGGTTGGCGATGATAAAGCGGATTGCTTCGAGGAAGCAATTTAGCATCTTGGCGGCGTCTGCTTGGTTGGTCGTTGATGTCCAGATATCGTAATCAACAGCGATGCCGCCTTCGCCGATCTCGACATTAATGGAGTGATCATACTGTCGCATGTTAGCACTTTCTGAAGACCAAAGAGTGAGGTCGGGAATTTACGTCTGTAGGGCTAACACCTCGCAAAAAGCTCATCTCCAGCTCTTTATGCCCAGTAGACTTGGGCTTCCACTCCTTTCGGAACGAAAGAATCGAGTTTCCCCATTTATGGCTCGTAGGAAGCTTGGCTCCCTTGGCCATCAACGGGACCTTATCGTGCGCCATTCCTCGGAAAACATCGTCTGTCACAGTCTTGAGCATGTCCAAGACCGTAGGGTCGTCTTTGAACTTGACCCGCAGTAGCAAACTGCTGATGAAAAGACCGATTGCTCCGTCAATTCCAGGCAGATCCGTCTGTCTACCGGAATTAACGTAGGAAAAGGTCACGTCGTCTTTCATGGCGAAGAGACGAAGAACGATACTCCATGCAACTTGACAGACGCTCACGAGGGTGACACCGTAGGCATCGCAGAAGCGACGAGCTTCGTCAGCTGGAATGTCAACGCGGTCTTGGAGTGTGTGAAGGCCAGCTTTTGGCTTATTGCCCACGCTTGCAAGATACGTCTCCTCAGCATCACGGAGGTAATTTTGCCAATACTCTGCAATGCGCTCAACATCTTGGAAACTCTCCTCCTCCATGCGCACAAAGTCTGTGTAAGGCATGGCTTTTGTGTCGGGGAGTTGGTTCTCGTATGCTGCGCAGAGATCATAGAGGAGAACATCTGCAGAGCGACCGTCGATGACGGCGTGTGAGACTTCAAGTCTAAGGATAAGTTCTGAAGGGGATGCAGCGTAGATGTACATGTGATGGGGAACACTGCCGCTCTCAAACGAGTTGAGCATGCCGTCGGCTTTGACTTGGGCTTCGTCTTGGAGGATGGTGACTTTGGGGTTGACTTCTGTCCAGACAACTTGGTCAAATGTTGACTGACGAGTCTCACTCTCAAGAAAGGTCGTTCGCAGACTTGAATGGCGTGCAACGATGCGAGGCCATGCATTCGCGATATGTGAAGCCGTCAAAGAGTCTGGTACACTTGACTTGATCCTGAGGATAAAGCGGCATTGGTATGCAGCTGGGTTAACAGCTTGGCTGATAAGAATGCGATTCTGCATAGACGAGCAAGGACCGATACTCTCGATCTGCCTCGCTGGATCTTGAGCAAGCTGCTTCAACCGCGCATCGGGAACAGTATCAGTGCTATCAGACCCCGTGGCAGAAGCAGCATCGTCAGAGCTTGATGAAGAAGTACTCGTATCACTGTTCCCGATGCGATCATTGAGGATTAGATTGTGTGGGTTGCTCTCATGCTTGGAGATGATGCGTTCAACAAGTTCAGCAAGCGTCTTGCACTGCACCGTATCCACGATATCAATGTGAATACCTCGCAGACGACATTTACTAAGGAACTGAACGGCTGAGAGTGAATCTCCACCCTGCACGAGGAATGACTGGTCGAGGTTCAACTCCTCAGTGCTGATGTGCAGCGCATTGGCGAGTTCAAGGTGCAAGATATCCTGCATAGCGTCGGTGTGAGCCATTGTGCTGCAGTGCAAAGAATGAAACTATTGGAAAGGGGTATTCTGGGGTATAATGATTGCGTTTACGAAAATTACATTGCTTGCGATCTTGTTTAACTATATGATGCTGTATTCTACGGTATGGAGTTTAGGTAACGGGTGTTTAGGACGGGCATTCTTGGCGTGGAGTGTTAGGAGGGGCTGACAGGATCAGTTCAGGATCAGGATCAGGATCGGCGCTATCGGCAGGATTGTCCCATGTGGCGCAAAGCGGCACCGTAAGCGGCAGTCAGCATCACAGTGCAGGGCAGTAATAGGGGACTTTGGGGGGATTAGGTTCATTGAGATAAGGGAGAAGATAGTGAGCGATAGGGAAATCGAGATGCAAATATGATCTGAGACTTTTGTGTGAGATCCGGAGATAAGCGTGGGGGGGGATATATGCCTCAACTGCCGAAGTGAAGTGATCAAGAAGGTTCATGAAATTGTCTTCGGAAGATAACCCTTTTAGGGCAGAGATCTTGTGAGGGAAATAGCACGGTTTTGTATTATTGTTACTGTAGAGTATTGACGATGAACGTGTGCGAGTCTGCTGCTTAACAGATATCTCACTGTCGACGGAGTCTCGGTCATGGTCATCGGACCCTCGGCGGACTCAAATGCCCCAACGGCACGACCTCAAGCATAGTAAATCTCCTCAGAGTGGAATAGCATCACCCTTATCCCTCTAAAATCAAGCCCTGATTCGTCATATCCTGCAATTATGACCATTGATCATCTCGCTCAACCTCGTAGCTAAGCCCCTCAGACTAGTTTCGCATGCAATCACGGCGTGCACGTATTATGCTCCCTCTATCACGCCATCAAATCGTGCTTCTCCCAAGTATTTAAATGCTAGGCGTCCTCAAATAAAGATCTCATTGTGGCGTTTTAGTCTTCCAGGGCATCTAAGTTTTCTTTCGGTCGTATCGTCTATGCATGTCATTAATTTGACTTCAGTCATGCGAAGGAATTAATTAACGAAAGCCAATCTTGCACAGCGATGAGACTACGAAAGTATGCTATTTCCGGGAAAATTAAAGGTCGATACAGGTATACGGGCAAGACAATTGCTTCAACGACGATTCTGGCAGCTGAGAAACTCCAGGTAGGAAAAGGCAGTTGTTGATGATGGTGATTGCTGTTGAAATGGAGTTGAAGAGAGTATGAACAGAGCGGAGAAGAAACCACAGCTCCTAGCATTACGAGATATATACCTGGGACGGGGAAACAACTGATATTACTTACTATCAGCGATCCAGGCGTATTCAAACGTCGTATTTGAAATACAGCTACGGAATGAATGGCGAGTATGAACAGGGAGCACCGATGAAAACGCGATACTGCGCTGCAAGATATATCCACTTCCAATCGCATCACACGCGTTTCGCATTGCGCACAACTCCAAACGGCCTTGAATCGTGCAGATACAGGAACATCAGCGCCACGAGAGTGTCTACATATCACTCTGCGGGGTCTGTCACAACTCACAACTCATTCTTCGCTGCAGCATTTGGTGGGCGACGGAGTCACATCTCGTGCGGAGTCATGAATCGCTACTTGCACCGCCAAGATCATAGCATAACATCAAATAAGCCATCAATATATTGAAAAGAAACATCGATCTAGTCCATCACCCTTATACCCGCTATTGTGTCAATGACCTCAACGCTCTATTCGGCCGTACCCTCCCATTAGAATGTCGTCGAATTCTATTGCAGCTCTGATTCTGAATGTGATGATTCCTCGCCGTGGTACGACTAAAGATGGCTCCGCACATATTACACGGGTAAGAGGGCCGCTGGCTGGACTTCTCCTTCTGGTGCCGCTTCAGGTTGCTCAGCGTCGTAAACAACTGCCCGTTACACCCGTGGTCCCAGCACCTGAGATCCGGTGTGTCACGCTGCTGCTGCTGCTGTGTTCCTGCAGTAGTGGAAGTGGTGGTGTTGGCTCGCTTGGATCGGGGGCTGCGACTGCGTTGATCGTCGTCGGCGCGCGTGTTGGCTGATTGGGCCATCTCTGTCAATGGGGAGATGGGGTAGGAATTGTCACTGCCACTGTAAGATAAGATCCTGTTGGTTAGAGAGTGTTTTACATGAATGGGACCAACGTGCATCTTGGCTTACTTGGCATCGTGATCGAATGAAAAGAAATCGTCAAATGTACCATCGCATAGTAGAGGCAGTCGGTTTGAGAATACGTCGTCTGTTAGATCTGTCGCGAAATTGAAGTCGTCGGTTGAAAAATCAATGGCTAAAAATAATACAATAAATCAGTTGGCCTGGTCTGCTTTGGTGAGGTGAAGCTATATGCGACCGCGGGGTTATAGACGGATTTGTTCTGGTACGCACCACTAATATCCGGATGACGATTAGGTTCAGCACTGTCATTGGGGTGATCAAAGTCCACTGCGGGAAGAAGGGACTGGACACCCGCCATCCAGTCAGCAACGATTGGCCTGTCTCTGCCGTTCTTTGCTGGAGGAAACATTGTTTGTTTGTTTGTTGTTGGTTGGGGTAAACAAGGCTGAGCAATGCACTGCACAATGTATGTACGTATGTATGTATGTATGTATGTCTGGACGAGATATCACGAAAGGAATAACACATTAATCTCTGGCTAGTGCTCTTGTCTTTTGGTGCTTCGCGCGAACTCTGTTTATAACGTACTCATCGTATGATGTGTAACAGCGTGTACAAGATTGGGGGCACTTGATTGATTAGCTGCCTACGTCAAGCATCTACAGACTCGGCCGTCACATTGTCTCTCGAAAGGGCCTGATCGCCAAGCCGGGTTCCATCCGGTAGGTGTCAGATTCATTGATTATTCTGCAGAGATGGGTACTTGGAACATGTCTCTCCTGTCAAAAACGCAGCATACAACCCCTTCGGCATGTGGTGAGCGTTGTATCGATCAGACGAAAGTTTGAATACGCGAAACCTTGGCCCCCGTCAAAAAAAAGATACATACATACGCTTCACTGTCTCTCTAGGACTCTGTCTCATGCATGGGGTGAGATGGAGGTGTCCTATTAGCTCAACCCCGGGCCTCAATGGGATTTTTGCAGGGGAAGCATACATAGCATATGCGTGCGTCTCTGCTCTGTCTTGCCATCATGCACAACAAAGTTCAGCGGTTAAAACAGTGAGATACAACCTGCCTCTTAGAGGCAAAACAAACAGACATGGCTCCCCCTTGTCTTCCCCGACCTGGGTTAAAGTTGCGCGTCATCTGGTCTGGTCCCGGCATTTCGTGCCAAACCAACCCAACCAAAGCAACCAAACCTGTGGAGCTCAAAACAGTGGGAACGAGTCAGACAGGCGGAGCAGAGCCGGGGATTATATGGCCAATGAGGGTGCGCGGCTCTTACAATTAGTGAGCATTTTCTTGGCAGAGAGAAGCGCCTTTGTTCCAGAATAGTTAGTGAGCATGTATGACAATGACAATATGTTGAGGTGACTTTTTGTTTTTTCCTCGGTCAGCAAACAAGAAAAAAAACTGGAACATGCATACACGCACTGCTTAATAAGGCTTACTGCCTCCCTTTTTGGAGATAGGCCGTTAGCAGGAGCTGAGCCCCAGCCCGTCCCTCAGGGCTTAAGTATGTAGACTCCTACCGGTGCTGCGGTCATCATGCCCCCCATACCAACCAGAATGCACGCACATACGCTGATGGATGTCACACCTGGTGAAGCAACGGAGTAGTATCCGGATATCGCGTGGCACCTTGATTGGCTTTCTGCTCACCGCACGCAACCCTTGGAGGCAGCCCCAGCCCAGGGCGGCATGTCTCATCACAAAGGGCTACTCTAATGCAGTGTACATACAAACTTACAAGCACTACTCACCCACCCCACGATTATCCCACTGCGGCGAGTCCCGAGTCTATACTGCAAGGGGACTAATGACTCGGGACTGTTGCACCAGAAATTGCGCCGATAGGTTCATCGCGCGTTAATTCACTTTTAGTGCGGACGGAGGACGACTATCAGAAGACGGCACGGAACGGCACGGTAGGACGTGATCGCTCAGAGATGGATGGATGCACGGCATTCGACAATTAAAAAAGAAGATCCCGTAATCCTTCAATCCTCAATCCTGTATTCCAGCAATCCAGGAATCCCTCGCAATTACGACCTGGGACAGCTACTGTTTGCCCGATTTGAGAATAATTCCATATCAAATCATGTCTGCGTGATGTGTTCAAGAAGATAGATGAGAGACTTGACAGCTACAAAAATGTGTTCTTGATCAACCACTATTATAATTCCAATTCTTCGGACCATCGGCATCACCGACCGCCACATCAACTAAAACATTCCAAGCCAAGCCATGATTCGCGACCTACAAGGCGTAGTCTCCCTACCTTCGTGGGACATGCCCATGTCGCATATGAAAACCCATTGGCTACCCTACGCAATCAGAATCTCGAGATCTATCACGCCACCGCCTTTACTAATCATCCTGCTGCTAGCTGCATTATCTCCGGTGAGGTTTTGAGGAGAGATCAAAGCCACTGGCAACAGCGGCTAACCTGCAATAGGTAATTGGCTATGTCGCCTACTACGCCTTCTTCCATCCTCTGGCCAAGTACCCCGGCCCCTTCTGGGGAAAGTTTACAGGGCTCCGCGCAGCTTACCACGCCTGGATTGGGGACGTGCATATCGACATGTGGAAATGTCATGAGAAATATGGTTCGTGTACCCAGCGTTTCATTCGCCTCACTGCAGTAAGAGACATGCTTACGTTGCGCACCAGGGCCATATGTTCGCTACTCGCCAAATTACCTGCTCATGAACACGACTCAGGCATACAAAGGTTATTCCCCTTCGCTTAGACCCTCAACGTTTACACAATCTGATGTTAGCTGGCTATATTTAGATGTCTACGGCCATAACAAGAACGTGCGCAAGAGCCTTGCTTATCTGGCCATGGTCCACAAAACCCCTAGCACCTTCACCCTGATGGATCGGCACGAGCATGCATGGAAAAAGCGGATCTTGAGCCAGAAGCTATCGGATTCAGCCATCCGATCCTTCGAGCCCAAGATCACAGGCATGATTGATCGCTTCTGCGAATACGTCTGTCCCGCTAGCACGGGCAAAGAAAACACCGTGTCGAAACCGTTCAACATGTCAGAAATGTGTAAGCTCGCCTTTTCGTTGGTCGTCCGCCCCTCGACGTATTACTGGTCCCCGCTGACAGCGTATGCTGTGTTACACAGGCGATTATCTTTTCTTTGACCTTGTAACATCCATTGTCTTTGGTGAGAACTTCGACTTGATCCGAAGTCCGTGGTACCGTCATATCCCGCCTGCGCTTGCGCGCTCGAATGAGCGTATTAGCGTCATCGTTCAGTGGCCGTATGTTGTATGGCGTCGTATGGACAAGGTTCTCTTCCGTAATTCCGTGGCTGGACGGAAGGACTTCCTACGATTTGCTCACAATTTGGTCACCGAGAGAGTGCAGCGTGGGTCTGGGGATGATGTCTTGTCTGGCTTACTCGATGCTGCAGACCCAACTACAGGAAACAAACTGACCCAGGATGAAATCGTCGCCGAGAGTATTCTGATGCTCGTAGCTGGTGAGTACCCTTCCGTCAAGGCCTACGCTCAACTAACAACATCAGGCTCTGACACTTCATCAACCCTTTTGGCGTCTCTGTTCTTCTATCTTACTAGAAACCCTGACAAGAAAGATCGTCTGACTCGTGAAGTCCGCTCCAGATTTTCAACCCGAGAAGAAATCTGCCTCGGTCCAGCCCTCAACTCCTGTCGCTTCCTCTACGCGTGTATCATGGAATGCTTACGCCTAACACCCCCAGTTGCAGCAGCGCCGTTCCGCGAGGTCCTCAAGGGCGGTATGATCGTTGACGGTCACTACGTCCCCGAGGGTACCAACGTTGGAACCGGCCTCTTCAGTATCCAACATAACCAGGAGTACTTTTATGACCCTTTTGAGTTTATACCTGAGAGATGGTTACCAGAGGGAAAGCATGCTGGTGCTCATAACCCAGATGCTCATGTTCCATTCTCCATCGGTCCCCGTGTCTGTCTTGGAAGGGCACTTGCTCATGCCGAACTTAGTCTTGCTATGGCTATCATCTGTTGGAAGATGGACTTCAACGTGGTTGAAAGCATGAAGGATATTGGAGCTGGCAATGAGAATGCCGAGTATGGTAGACACAGGCCGGGAGAGTTTCAACTGTATGACCATATTACATGTGCACGAAATGGGCCAATGGTTGAGTTTAGAGAGAGGTCGTTCTGAAGCTATGGCGATAAATCAAGAATGAATTTTCCGTATCAGCCGCAACCCCTGTATCGCGATGATCTGAGGCCCTTGCTAGTTCAGTTGGTAGTTCCGTCAGAACCCTAAAACCGTTGAGAATCTTAGTTGGGAATGCAAGTCATTGAATCAGAACTATAAACAAGGTTCCAGTCACTATGTACGGCTCCGCTATATACACTAGAGAAGAGAGCTTGGAAAATCACAATCTGTATGCACTATCAAATCCACCTACACCGACACCTCACTCCAATGATTCCATGTGATGTTATCAACGTATTTCATTGGGCAAAATAAGTCAGATATGACTGGCGGTAATGCTCACCCGGATCATCGGGTTCTCGGGCTCCAACCTCGCAGAATTGCAAGGATCCCATCTAAGGACCACCCGCGCGGCCGCTGTAATCCCAGTAGTTATCGCCCTGGGCCCTGCATGTCCCGATGACGCAGTAGTAACCACCGCCACGGTTAGACTCGTTTGGTGAGTACATGACAAACGGATCGCCAGTCGAGTCCCAGCCTCCACCAACGGCACAAGAGTCTCTCTCCTTGTTCTGCACGGTATCTATTGGTCAATTAGTCGATGCGCTTCTTTTGTGGGGCATTGCACGCGAAAACCCTTGTATAACTTACAGGCTGTATGAGCGGTGTTGTACCAGACGCAAACATCCTCGCCAGCGCTGCCTGTGCAGGTGTAGGTGTTTCCAGTGTTCCAGCTCTCGGAGACTGAGAAGCCTCCGCTGATCCAGCTCACGGGGGTTAGGGTAGCAGTCCATCCGATGGTGTACGAGACGGATTGGGAGTTGCCAACGCTGCATGACTGGGCGGTTCCACAGTTTACAACCTCCTGCAAGTTGAGCCTCATCAGTGATAGTTCAAAGCATGGGGTTCCAGTGGGACTAGCTTACCGAAAGCTGCTTATGGAAATAATTCTGGTGGGGATCGCCTTAACCATCCAGGTCAGTGAACTAACTCACGGATTACCAGATACAGAAGTTAGAACATACCATCGCCAACTAGGGACGTCCTTGTCAAGACCGAGCAAGCCGGGGGATCATTGATAGGATTAGCCTCGCGCTTTGCAAAGCCCGATGCCGAGCCCTTGGAACTCAAGAGCCGGAGAGCACCCTTAGCTTCCTCCTTGTCATGGCAGTTGTCCTCGACTTTTGCCTTATTGGGCTTCCAGCTAAGCCCAGAACACTCCACAACGGTTGCTTCAGTGCTAAACTTCTTGGTGCAGATCGGGCCTCCCGAGTACTTTGCCTTGGAGTGGACAAGATACTTGTTAGCGCCAACAGTAAAGTTTCCAAAGCCGTTCTCATCGACATCTGTAAAGTCAATACTGCTGGGGGCGTCAGAGATGAAACTCGAGCAGCTCTGAGCCAGCAGGGTTGAGCCGTCGTATACGCTAAGGGCAGTTTGACTGGATGCTTTGGCGTGTTTCCAAACGATCTGTACATCTGCGCTTACAGCGGTTGCTGCTAGTGCCAATGCAACGGGAACAGAACGCATGGTGATAGAGTTTAAGGGTAGTCTGAATATGGAAGGAAGTAGAGTTTAAAGCTTGATGATATTCTATCTTGGCACAGGACAATTCTTTCTTTATATACCCAACTACATTACGATTCTGTCGAAGCTGAGTGCCATATCAAGCAGGATCAGCACTTTTTCCCTCATTTCCTTGATACTAAACATCAGCATCATCATTGTAATCCTTCTCGTCGTTTAGATAACCAAGGCTGAGTGATGAAGCGATCTTATCATCAACGTTGCGACGATAGTGGGGAGCTTGGTGTACAAGCCACCAGAGGGTCCAGCCCAACTACAACAGCCTTGGCTAGTCAACTGCCGATCGGGCTTTTTGTAAATATGCGCTAGATCCTCCAGTTTCACGATATTCGGCTGCCTAGACCTGTCCTTCCCGATTCAGGCAATTCACTCGATGACGTTGAAGGCGATCTTGGATCGTCAGATGTTAGTGAGCCCATAAATGGAAAAGGCGGCGTGGCACAGGCACTCAGCCTTGTGAGGGTGCTGCACCATTGCACACTGAGTGACCCGTGCACGATCCTTTGGTGGAACACCCGGCTACACGGCATATTTAGTGCGCTCATGGGGAAAAAACGAATGAGATGTTGCGCCAGGCGAGATCATGAGTGATGACGAAGACGACGGAGAGTCCGTGGAGAGAATGTGCGAAATAGTAGTATCGATACGACTGTACATGACTTGCGTTGCTATGCAAGGAATCGATATAGGTTGTCCGCTCATCTATTAAAGTTTCCACGTGTGACAGCTGACGTTTCGATGGAACGTTGGGGTTATTTCCCTTATCTTATAGAATTTCCACCGACAGCGTATCGGCTCCAACAGCGTCGTCGTAGTGGATCTGTCAGTGGATAATCGTTTACAACGCATCAAACCTCTTCGGAGCCGAACGTCCGAGTGTCTGTTCCGTGTGTGGATTAAACTTTAATCTCCCGAAAATACTTGGCACGACCAGGAATAATTTGGTCTAAACCGAAACAGAAGGTAATGCAGATCGTGTGGACATGGTTAGGAACCAAGGATGAGACCTGCATTTGGAATACTGGTGCCTGTTGCTTCATGTCGCGAAGGAGCCAATGGCATGTCAAGTAGCGTGTGAGTTGTCAACAGGGTAATGATCCACGGGTTATGCATGAACACCAAACCATCCTTGGGTCAGGGCGCCAAGATCGAATTGAAGGATCAAGTTTGAAGTGATTAATGATGAAATGACTCGAAATAATGGAAGGGGGGATTAAGTTTTCTGCAGTTTGAGTCAGGTGAGACTTATGATGGCTGACCCAAAGGCAGACTTACTACCCGAGACTACCCATAGCATAGGGACTTCACCATGATTAAATTCAAGGCTTCATAGCAGAAATTAGTAGACAAAGTGAATAAATCACTGTAGTGAGTCAACGTAGAATGAATGTAGAAAATAGCTACATGGTAGAAAAATTAACATTGATGTTGACATTTTATGCGGAAATATCGTAGGAACTATAACTACCCTAAGCCTGCTTACTATGATAATTCGCCGTAGTTAGTGGATCCCTCCCAGTCGCTGTCTATTGGCTAGTGCTAAGAATATCCTTAGAAAGCCCCGCTATGTCGAGGCCAGCACTGGGTAAGGGCTACGAGAGCTGCTAAGCTAACCCAATGAAGAGCGGACTCCAACTTCAATACCCCACCTTTTAGACTGAATTCCATGGGTTCTGTACAAACAGCATACGGATTATCTTGGTTATATCTTCGGGCTAGTAATACTCGAGATACAAACAGCAGCCCAAAAAGCGATATAGCAATAGTTTTATAGAATTGCACGTAGTCATGTCAGAAAACGGGGATGACAAGCCATGGCGATTCCACGAATCAGATCGCCAACCCGGCTGCCGGTAAAATGATTCACCGACAACTTTATGCCGCTTTCAGTCCTCAACTGTCCTCTCCCAACTTATAGCATCATGATAAACAGAAAGATCTCTTTAGCGTCCTATGTCTTCACGCGCCTCAGGCAGGCAGGCACAAGACGCGTATATGGCGTTCCCGGCGACTTCACCCTGCGAGCTCTCGACCATCTCCCTCGATCAGGGCTCAAGTTTGTCGGATGCTGCAATGAGCTAAATGCCGGATACGCAGCAGATGGGTATGCTCGAGCTCAACGCCATCGCAAAGGATCTGGAATAGGCGCTTTGATCACCACCTATGGCGTTGGAGAGCTTAGTGCGGCTAACGCTGTCGCTGGAAGCTATGCGGAGTATTTGCCAGTCGTTCACATTGTCGGAACGCCCTCGCGACGCGCAAGACAGGTCTCGTGTTCGTCCGTGGGCGGGAAGAAACCGCATTTGCATATTCATCATACCATGGCTGACTCCAGAATTGGGGTTTACCGCGAGATCGCGGAGAAGTTTACTGTTGCCCAACTTGATCTTGCTGTGACGACGCCGGAGGAGGTGCCAGCTCAGATCGATAAGGTTCTGTCTCAAGCAATATACCACAGCCAACCGGTCTACATAGAGATGCCGTCAGATGTTGTAGAGACGGAAATCTTGTCAGACAAGCTGGACGACGCCATAGATCCGAATCCCGACGCGGCTCACAATCGTGACGCCGGCAAAATGGCACAGACCCTCCTACAGAAGCTCTATTCGGCCAAACGTCCTCTTATCTTGGTCGATCGAGCTGAAGGCGCAGAGACCACCAGACAAGAGATTAACGAATTCGTTCAAAATTCAGGCATTCCTACAGTTTCTTTGCCATCAGGAGCTAGCATGGTGGATAATTCGCTGCCCAACTACTTCGGTGTTTACTCAGGCTCTATCGGAACGGTTGACCTGACATCGGAGGTCAAGTCAGCAGATCTGGTCTTGGCTTTCGGATGCCAGTTCTCTGATACGCAAACACTTGGTTGGGCGGTGTTGCCAAATCGAAATGTCATGACTCTCATTGGCAGGAATCATATCGAGGACGAGCCTGTCAACGTTCAAGATGTTCTCAAGGAGATGGCCCAGAAGCTGGATAAGACACAGCTACCACTACAAGATACATCTTCATGGGGAAACTTTCGGAACCAACCGCAGTTCGAGGTCTTTCCCAAGGCGTATATCATTCAAGATGAGTTCTATATCCATCTGAACAAACACCTGCAGCCCAATGACACAGTCCTCCTCGGCAATGCGACACCAATCATAGGAGGCCGTGATCTGGTCCTTCCATCATCGTCTCAGCTAATCGCATCTGGAATGTGGTTCTCAATCGGTCACATGCTCCCAGCCGCTCTTGGAGTCTCACAAGCAAAAGCAGTCATGAAGTCGAAAGGGCGCACGATTCTTCTTGATGGAGACGGGAGCTTCCAAATGACAGCGCAAGAACTCAGCACTATTATCCACCAGCGTGCCAACGTGATCATTTTTATCATTAATAACAGCGGTTATACGTATGAGAGGTATATCCATGGAATGAATGCGGCGTACAACGACGTGGCGCCCTGGAACTATAGTGCTGCCCCACAGTTATTTGGGGACGCGCCGGCGGGATATCCAATTCAATCTTGTAAAGTGACGAATATGGAGGAATTAGATGAGGTTCTCAACTCTGAGGGGTTCGTAAAGGGCAAGGGCCTGACTCTTGTTGACGTTGAGATGGATGCGTATGATATCTCGGGAAAAGCAAAGCATTTGTTTGAGTTGGCTGGAAAGCAGCTGTGATGGAGCATTTAGAGACGTCCAGCTGGTCATGATCACTTGGAAAAAATGTCTGAGACAGCTGAACTAGACTTTGGACACAGAGACAGTTTCACTTCTCAGTACCAGTAATTTGAGGTGAGTAACAAACAATTGAGTCTAAACTTGCGCATCAGAATGGAAGCCGAATATATACATGAAACTCTATATCTACCAATGCATAAAACAATATATCTACCAGTGAAATCATAACCAGAAGCGAACCACGTCAATCCCCAATCTAATTCAGAAGCTCGCTGATATCTCGCTTCGAGTTCCTCTTGATACCGCACTTGTTCAAGCAAGCATCAATACCAAGAGCAATGTTCGCAGGAATATGCGCGCGGAAAGACTCAATATCCTTTCCATCAATAGTCTGCACACCGCCCAAAGTTGCTTGCACAACATCACCGTTAAGCGCAAAGAAGTTTTGAGCGATCTGGTTCACACCAGGATCAGCATTGTCGAAAGCAGCAACAAACACAGCGTCTTCGCAATCAGGGTTGAATTCTTGGTGAATAGCGCCTTGGGGAAAGACGGACATCTGAAAGGTATCCATCGTGTTGGCGATAGGCTTGGCACCGTTCTCAACGACAAAATTTGTGACAAGACGGCCTTTGACGATAATGTTTAGCTCCGTTGCTCGGTTATGAACGTGAGCTGTGTTCATTCCACAAGGCCCAAGGAAGGCAACCGTCATGGAGGCGCCGTTTCCGATGAGGGCGGGCATGGTCAGAGCAGTAGCTGAAATAGACTTGCCGCCCTTGCCGATAGCCTCTCCAGCTCCGGTGGCAGCCTTGAAGTCAAAGACGAAATCGCCAGGCTGGTTCAGAAGCTTGACGCGCTCGGCTTGAGTGGGGGCAGTGATGATCTTGGAGATGAGGTCTCGGTCGCCACTTCGTGTGTTGATGGGCACGATGGGAGGAAGCATGTCATCGATGCTGTCACCTCGAGCGTGATGAGACGACTGAGCAGCCCGGGGAGCGGCGAGGGCAGAGCCAGCCAGAAGTAGCATTGATAAAAACTGCATTTTGATTGGTATTTATTGTGTTTAGAGATTTAGAGGAATGAAATAAAGGTGTTGAGTGCAATAAGTCTTAGATGCTGATGAGATCAAGTTAGAAGTTGTTGGTGATGATATCTTCTTTTCTCGGTGCAATACTCGTCCTTATATCCATCTTTCATCATCTCGTGAGGATCCGAGATTTACTTCGCGACTGTGCGCGTATTTCGGACAACCACTTGACCCAGCCGTCAGCAATACTGCATTAGTTCAACATGCCATCTGGTCGCCGATGATAAGGCTGGACACAGCCGCACTTAATTATAAACATTTTCGGGTTCCAACCAATCAAACATATCCATTTATGCTGACAGATTACTCAGCCTCCCCGAGAGGATTTATTTAGATGGGCCTAAGGCTTTTCGCAACTCGCTAAAGATTTGTTGAATAATCAGGGCTAATTTACCTGCCCCAAATAGGCTAGAATCGGCCAGCATGTAATTCCTTATGCCTAGATATAAGGATTATGGTTGTTGTTAGGGCTCACAGTCAGCTTACTCCGGACGAAATGAGGTATTAAATGATTGGCCGTTCAAGGAGGCGGTGTCGGCGAGGGCTGAAATGCGGATGACAGGATTACTTGGCATGACAGTTTTACGAAAGTTCTTTTACTCATGAATCCCGCTGATCTAAATGACGATATAAGAACATTGAGGTCCCGTGCAGGTAGATCTATTTGAAGAAAAAAAATTAAGCTTACATCATTGACTTAGTGTTCATTATGGATCTCAGTACGCCCTCTGGTTATGAGTCTTACTCTAACCGGCTCGACCCTTACGATGAGTTTGACAACGGATATGTTGAAAAGAATCCCCGTCCTGTGTCTGATACACAGCGACTTCTCAAGCAGCGCCGTGCGCCGCAGACCAAGGGCGGGAGTATCTTTGATACCACCAGGCTGGCCCTGCGTGTTCTCATCCTTCTCCTTGACCTCAGCATCCTGAGTCTTCTAGCCCATGGAGTCAGTGTCTGGAAGACGACGCATAACTCTGTGGATAGGAACGAGGACGGTTGGGTGAGAACCCGCTGGGCGTCGATCAAGATGCTCTCGACGTGGTTGATGCTGGCAATCGCGGCGTTTGCATCCTTTATTCAGATGGTGGCGCTAGCGACGCGCCTCAGCTTCGTAAGTTCTTGGTTGAATAATACTTGATTGAAGATGGTCTAACGAGACAATAGTTTCGATCCGTGCGCGATGGCTTGATACACACCAGCGCCGTCCTTGCCAGCTCTGGTGTTGTCATCGCAGGCTGGATTGCCGCAACGGTTTACTTCATCGTCGATAAGGAAGTCCTTCGAAATAACCACTGGGACCTGTGGTCTTGGTCATGCCGGAACAGCTCGCGACAGAGTTATATTCCTTGGGCTGGGTTATGCACAGAGCTGGTATGTTAAGTCTCTACCTGAGCTGCAATTATTACTTGATATATTAACTGTTGCTTTACAGTCTTATACCTTTATTGCAGGTCTTGTTGTTATAGTATTAGAGATTGTTAGCTTGGTTCTGTTTATTGTTGCATTACGAGGGATTAACATTCTGGGAAAGTATAATAGAGCTAGCTTAGGTTAGTTCTATAATCGGCCGTTCTGGATAATAGTAGCTATTATATGTTTAATTGCGGTGTTTAGGTTGGTACGTGACGCCTGGTAATCAAGCAGGCGACAGGATATCTACCGCGAGTGCGATATCAGTCTTTAGGAATGGGTCTTTGACGTATTCCAAATGTTATAGGACCACAAAATAAATACAATTAGAAATTCGCTACATCCTAATTATGTGTTTCTGTTGTTATGAATTTCCTTGGATAAAACAATACTGTATTTTACCTCGTAACGAATGATTATTCACTAGGGGAGCTTTCATACGTCAGATCTACTGTATTATCAACAGCAGGGGCACACCACGTCCGCTCTTTCCATATGAGATCCTCAAGCTTCCAAATCATTCTGGATGAGTAACTATTCACATCTTACCCTAGTGATCGGTCTCTTGTCCGCCACATCCCTCAGAGACCGAGGTAAATGTCTCTCTTGCAAATAATGCCGCTGACAGCTTCGTTGGGTACCATGGCTGGCCCTGGACTATAGCATGCTTTGTCTGAGGGTGTATACTTTCTTTCTCATTCCATGTTCGGGATTTATTCGAGCATAACGTTACAATACCCCTTCCTCTTTCTCCCACTTTACGTCTACCTCTTGTCAACTACTTCTAACTCTATTCTCAGATGACTGGGGCCTTTTCGGGATATGGTAGGGCTCATGAAGCTGATTAGTCGGTGTGCTCTCATCTCAGTCGGTGCCAGCTATCATGATCGTGGTATCAGGGCTGGTAGGTAACGCCTCGGTAATGCCGAGGAACTGAGCGAACACGAAGACGATGTCTGTATTGCCGAGCCTGTGGATCAGTTTCAAGACAAGGAAATAAGCTCGATGCAAGTCGACGACTCCAGTGATCGCGGCATGGACATGCCTCCACCCTTCCTTCGAAGTCCCCATGCCACTATCATCAAACTTCATTGGCCCATTACATTGCATATCCGTACTCCACGAGTCGCCAAAACTCTGACCAACGGACTTTCACTCGAAGTCCGTGGACCGTTGCATCGTCGTCGTAAACCTCTCTGTGTCCTTTGATATGGGGTCGTCGCTTCCGCTAAAGGCTTGGCGATACTGGGAATGCGAGGCCGTTTTATCCACGGGAGATTGACATTCAAGGGTCGGAACCCGCGGAGCTCGCCCAGAAGATGCAGTGCGTGGCCATGGGGTTGGACCCTTGAATCAAGGGTCTTGAATCGCTAGTGTTAAAGTTTAAACTACCTGGAAGAGCGACCCTACGTCCCGAGGTGATTGCCGAGACACTCCAAGATCGGCCAAGGGTGGAAGACAAGATCTTGGAGTTATGGGATGATGGAGGCGGTCAGTTCGTAAGTGGTGTGAAGTTATCTATATCGAGCGCACTCCACTGGCTGTTGTATAATGCTAATACTAGGTATCTCATGACTCTAATCAGCACAACGATATCCCGTTCTCTCAATCACAGTTCTCTCAGTGACATTCAACACTCTTCTTCAAACACATATAATGTTCTTCCATATCAAGCCTTGTCCTTGCCAAAGTTGTCGGCAGCATCATTCGCCTCCATGATAGCCTCCCTCGCGCCAGCCCAAGGTTTCCTCCCCCGACCAGTATCAAACAATCTCAAAACATGAGCTGACAGAATACCCGTCATCAACTTATTATACAATTCTCTATCCTTCCACCAAAGCTTCCAGCATCTACCGTTGGTCCAATTCCCCAAATGATCATAAAGACCCGTCCCAGCGACTTCATTCAACCACTTGTCGAATTCCTTGTGACCAATGACACCAGTGAACTTGACATCGCCGCCCTTGCTCAGCTTGACGATATTGTCAATAAAAGCGTCGGCATCTTTGTTCATCTCTGCAGGAGAGGGCATTGGATACTTATCTCCCCAGAGCTGAGCCAATGCCATGGTCATCAAGTCGTAGAGCTGCCAGGCCGGTCGCTTTGCCAGTGTTGTGCCGAGGAACGCCAATTGGTGAGGGCACTGAATCGACATGAAGCCTCGGTATAAACGGGCGACACGTCTATCAACTGTGTAGTGAGGCTGAAGCTTTGCAAATGAGCTGGGCGATAGATCCACGTTGTAGGGATCGTAGTCTTTGGGGACGAATGAAGCCAGGTCTGGTGATAGACCAGTACAGAAGAGTATCAGATCAATGTCGGTGGCTTCACTGCCGTCGACAAATTTAACCGACTTCGGACCGTTGATCTCTGCAATGCCTGGAGCACTTCGTAGTCTGCATCATGTCAGTGTGAACGTGTGAGATGGATCCTGCAGACGAACCTCCCGCTCAAGAAATAACCAGCCAAATCATCGCTGACCGTTGGTATCATGTGTTTGGGCCCAGGCATCTTGCGTCCATCTGTAAAAGCAGGGTGCGACGACAGGCCTGGAAAGTTATCTTGCTGAATCTTCTTCAATTCGCTAAAGAAGATGATGGACATGAGCCATGCATTCACCTCTTGAAGAAAGAAGATCAATTGAAGCAGGCGAAATGAGAGCGTGAACTCCAAGACCTTGTTGTCTTTGGTGATGCGAGGTAAAATGAGAACCTTTTGTCGATGAGAAACGATGAGTTTGTTCGCGCCCGCCCTGTGAAAGCCAGAAATGGAGTCTGCAGCTGTACTTCCAAGACCAACAACAAGAACATTCTTGCCCTTGTACTTGGCGGGGTTCTTGAAGGCTTGGGAATGGAGTACTTCACCTTTGAAGCCCTCAATGCCTTTGACGCTAGGAATTGAAGGCTTGGTGAAAGATCCAGTGGCGAGGATCAATCGCTCAAATGTGTCTTCTTGGATCCCAGCATTGGGTTTGCTGCTTGAGCGATATGAAATGCGCCACATCTTGGAGGTTTCATCGCGGGAGACACCGACGACTTCTGTGCCGAATTTGATGTGATGAATGAGCTTGAACTCTCTGGCGTATGATTGGAAGTACTCTTCAATCTGCTCGCCAGTTGGATACATGGGGTACGCTGTAAATGTCAGCAGCATGTCAGTAAATGAGCGACAAGAGGGTGGCTTACATTCTGGCATGGGAAAGTCGGTCATGACGCCCTGGAATATTCAGTATCTCTACCAATTGTTTATCGCTGGGAGACATACCGTGAGCTTTGATGTATTGGTAATCGTCCCAGGCAATACACAAGTCTGCGTAGGATCAGACGTAATATGCCACAAACCTCCAACATATTCATTCCGCTCAAACGTGGTAACGTCAAAGCCCTCTTCGACAAAGTTCTTGGTCGCGATCAAGCCCAAGGGACCAGCGCCCACTATCGCGACCCTCTTTCGCAAGCCATCAGAGCCAAGGTTCATCATTGTACAGTTGCAAAAGGTGGCCTCGAATATCACCTCCAAAGAGAAATTGATCAATACGACCAAGAGGGGTTTCCTTGGGATGGTATACAACATTACAATAATCTATATATATAAAAGCACTTCGGGATGCGACTTGGCCAATTCGTCCGCACTGGGAGAACTCTCAGTGGAAAACCCATAAGAATCGCGTTATGAGGCGCAAGAATTGGCTTGGCTGCGTCAGCAAGCGTCTGGAAGTCACTTTTCTCAGGCCATTCTAGGGATCGGACACCTATTTGTCCGCTCTTTTGTTGGGGAGAAACAATCCGCCAATCCCTATGATCCTGCAGCTTACTCCGAAAATCCCGTAATCCCGCAATCCTAATCCTGTCATCCTCAGCAAACTTCAGTCTGCGATACATGTCGGGCAGACGTTAGATCGGCTGCATTTGCGGCAGGTATTGCCTGCAGTCAGTGAATGAGCCACTGAGTCGCTTCTACCATAGCGCTGTTGCCTCCATGCCATGGTAACTTCAGTGCATCAGACCAGTATAATATCCACTGGAGAACACTGCGCAGGGCCCGTAGGGCTGTTATTCAGTTCACATTCAGCGAAGGGCCACCACCTGCATTGACCGTACCTTGGTAGTAAGGGATATTTGCAAATTATGAACATAGTTAGAGTCTTCTGGCATCTCAAGCGACATAGTCGTACAGAATACGCGCAGTCTCGCTAACACTCCCCTTCCTAAACGCAACGCGCGCCGTCCATCTCCCCTTCTGAACCCCCCAAACCTGCTCATTCTGCCACGGCTCAGCGCTACCAGCCCCCGCGCTCTTGATGCTGATCCGAACAACCTTTGATGTCTTCTCATCACAACCCTCCCAGCCTTGCTTAAGAAACTCAGCGACCTCTCCAATACTATTAGGCTCCTTCATCAATTCCTCGAGAGTGCACATCCAAATGCGACTCTTTGTCTTGCCTATCATGGGCTCGTTTTTCTCCTGCTCGACGCCATCCATCACGCGCACGTCAGTGTTGTCAGTTTGAAAGCCAACGGCTCGTAAAGGCGCCGCGCCAATGATGCCGAGGCCCATAACGGACGATGTAAGCTTGAACTGGTAGTTTAAGGATGCATCGCTTGCATCAACGGGTTCCACGATAATGTGAATTTTGATCTTGGCTATGCTTATGACTTTGCGGATGGCGTATGGGACACCTTGCTGTACTCGTTCAAACGGGAATTAGTTGGAGATTCTTAGGCGTGTGCAAGAGGAAAAGACGTTTCCCATTTGACGTTATGAGAGTAGAGGCAGAGATTGCCTCCACCGGTATGGGCTTCTTACCAGAGCTTGGATTGGGTCTTGAGAATCGCTCTCTTGGTTATTCTGCATTTCATGAGCATATGCTTCTCCTCTGCGTGAAATAGAACAGTCATTAACACGAACCTGCATAAACACAGCATCGAAGTTTGGCAGAGCCAACTCCTTTGGTACGGTCATGGCTTGTCTGTTACAGATTGATATGTAGGGTTTTGAGATTGAGGTTTCACTCTATATGCTTGTTGTAATTTATATCAAGCAGGATCACTCCCGAGATGTGGCTTGCTCCGACCTTTGAAGTTCGGGGGGATTATACCCCGATCAGCATGTTGACTTATGGCTTATCCTTAGTTCATCAAAGTGTCTCGATAATGGGAGATGGTCAATTGACAGTATCATATGCTCGCTTGTATACTTGACTAGTAGCTGTAGTTTCATGACCAGTTCTGTCTTGAAGATGGGATCCTCAAAGTCTTGCCTCCAGTCTCTTGCAAGTCAACTATCGAAGCTTACAAACCAACAACGTAGTGACTATTCGATCTTCATGCGATCAACTGCGCCAGATCCTCTGACTGGATGGATCCCGACTTTGTAGCCACCACATCGACATAACCACTAAACTGCGATGGAAACCCGGTATCATCATCAGCCTCAATAACCTGATCAGGTCTAGGGCTCGTAACGAGGAGTTTCGTATCCTCGCACTGAATGATCCATACCTGCGGATACTCCAGCCCTGTATCCGGTGAAATCCAGACATCCGTAGTCGATGCTGTCAGGTTTATAGGAACCACAGAGTCTCGACCGTTCAGCGAATTTCTAACCGTAGCAAACATCTTCTGGCCATCCACGCGGTCCTCCCACTTCCAAGCGCACATAAGCGAGATATCCAACCAGTCTGATTCGTCGAAGTGAAGCATAATCCAATCGAAAGAGTCCTGAAGTGAGCCGAATTGCCTATCATACCACGTAAAGGACTTTTCGGGGACGATGTCAACCTTTTCACCGTCGACTTTAAAGGAGCCTTCGGTGCGTCCTCGGGGAACTGACCACTCCCAGCCAAGTCCGCCACCAACTTGGTAGGATCCGAGAGCTGCGTTGAGCAATATGGGAGATGTGAAAAAGAAGTCAAAGTCAAAGTCGACGTTCTCCGCGGAACTATATGTATGAAGCCCGCGTAGTGGGTTCTTATCGATGGATTCCATTCCATAATCTTCAAAGTTGGCCCGGAAATCGCCATCGCCAGTCCAAAAAGTAGTGTTTTCCGGAGCGATTCGATCATATTTGTCGAAAGTCGCGGGATGGGTCAGATCAAGCACTGAGGCTCTGTACAATGGCTTAGATCCCTCGATATCGGAAGCGTAACTCATCAAATGAGATGCAATGTAGTAATCGTGACCATTTGAGCCACGGACAAACGCGTTGATCCAGAATGAGCCGTCGATTTGAGTCCATCCTTTGTGTTAAGAGTCCGAGATATTGAAGTTTAGAGGATACCAGACGATCTGAAGGATGTCAGTGAAGAGTTTAAGCGAGCAGCAGAAAGTACTCACTGCGCCATTGAGGGTGATATTTGCATTGTCAGGGGGTAAGAGAGGGCGAACAGGAGGTGTAACGCCTGAGAGAACCGCCACTGGTGGGATTGCCAAAAGGAAAAGGCTGGTCCTCATTGTGAAATGAATCTTGGTTGAGTGTGTATGGTTTGCTTTGTTTGAGGTTATAATATCTACTGTTATGGCAGAGACACATACCCTTCTTTATACAATTTATCGTAAACTTAGAACTCCAAGATAATGAGAGCGAGATGCAGATTCGGTTCATCGGTCAATCGAGATCTCCAACTCAGCATCGATGCTTATTAAACTTCTCACCAACAAGTTGTAATAATTACAAAGGTGGGCCAAGTAATGGCTAAATTTGAAAAGGCATCTCAATCTGAGATATGCTTGATAGCTCAGATCTAATCTCAGGTTTAGGCTTGGGATGAGGCGGATGACCGTCACGTAATCATCTTGCAGGTGAACTGTCAGCAGGCCCAGCGCAGCGTATTTCCAGATGCAGTGAATTTATACAGCGCCAAGCATTAATCCTCGCAATCATTGGTAAGCTTGGGCCTTGTGATCGACTTGGAGACTTTGACTTACAACAAGAAACTTGGATGGGTCCTCACGACTATAATTTAGAAACCTCACAACAACCATGCTTCAGATCACACGGAACGTCATACCACTTGTTGCAGTTGATCATGCTTATATATATGTACATAGCCTTTCCCTCTGTTAGCTATTCCAAAGACTGCCGTCAACATCAGATGTAAAGCTGGCGGTAGTTTCAGTGCCAACGACAGTCGTACTGCTGGACCATCCGTCGCCAGCACAAGCCGATGCTGTCCTTGCACGATGCGCCAGTGATTCTAGTCCACTGTCATTCTCGCTCTCCATCGCCATCTCAGCCAACGAGGCTTGTTTGACAATAGCTAATATCTCCGAAAAGTCGAGTTGAGCTTCTGACGTGATCGCAATAAAGTCCTTTTCCGATCCTACAAGTCCATTCGACGTAATCCAGCTCTTCATCCCAGCAACAGCCAGTGCACCTTCTGCGTTGACAAGCTGCCGTGTGTTTTCGTATATGTTCTTTATTGCTATCAGGACCTCGTTCATAGTGACTTGAACTATGTCATCTATCACATCACTGCAGATCCGGGCAGTCTTTTGGCAGACGTTCTTCGATAGTAAGTACTCTTCCAAAGTCGGCTTTCCTTTGCAGTGTATCAACCGTGAGATGTCAGTTGAATCATGGAGCTGTACTCCGATGACTTTGATATGGGGAGCGATGCGTTTGAGATATATGCCTAGGCCGGCTACCAGGGTTCCGCAGGTAATCGGACAGAAGACTGCTTGAATCTGAGGATGGATTGCTTGCTGTATTATCTCTTGTCCGATAGTCCCATAACCTGCGATGACATATTCATCTCCAGGTTGGGGCATCACAATCAGATCATGAAGTGATTGCAGCCGCAAGGACGCCTCCTTCGCGGCATCGGCACTCAGCCCGTGTAACTTGACCGTACTCCCGAGACGTTTCAATTCCTTGATCTTGGCTTTTGCAGTATGCTCTGGCAAAACGATTATCGATGGGGTTCTAAACTTCTTTGCCGTATAGGATACAGCTAGGGCATCCGCTATGAGAATTTAGATACGGGCTTGTGTACTCTGAGTCTGGACTTACACGCCGAAGATGTTATCACACCTTTCCACCTCTGTTCCTTATCCAAGTTGGCCATTCTGTTATATATCCCCCTCAACCTGTAAGAGTATCCGCGATGTGTATCTTCCCGTTTCATCATAACATTACATCCAAGTTCTTCACTGAGTCCATGTGCTTTTGTCAGAGGGGTAGGGTTGGCAATCTCGTGTACCCTCGCTGTTAGGATAAGTTGTAGATACTGTGGCAAATTAGTGTCAGCTGTGACCAAGAATTTAACAAATTTCGAGACCATACATCGGTCAAGTCTCGTGACTGGCTAGAGATCGCTGTAGTGGGAGACAGGTCCACAAGGCTTGATTGCCAACTGTTGATGTCATCATGTTTCGCCGTGCGTCTCAGTGAATCTTGCTTTTCGAAAGACAAGAGATGGGGGCTCGATCTTGGAAACATTTCATCGAAAACAAACAGTTACAGCCCGAGATAATATGGCGCTGCTATGCTCGAGTTCTTGATTGTCAAGTCGAGTATATAGCGCTACACCATAGGCTCCGACGCAACGAAAGTGTGGCTTCGGTGCGAGTTAATGATACAAGAAGGTACGCTGGTTCTTAACGGAACTAATGGATATTGAAGATGGGGTGAGTTGCTTCGTGGCATCCTTTCAGATCCTGAATCTTAGCATGCAGGATGGCCCTTGTGCCTCACACATTAAAGATCTTGTTACTACGCAAGATTGATCCAGGGTACAATTAAACGTAGAGTTCTTACTCATACACCCGCAGGTGCGGTCCTGGATCGGGGATCCTTGGAAGGGATGCAGGATCCGATGGGGTAACTTTGCCCCGATGATCAGGCTGACTGCAAAGCCTCGACAGATCATCTTACATGATCTTGATCTCACTTCGGGTCTAGTAGATCTGCCGCTTTGGGGTAGATTGCAATCTTCAGTAACACTAAAAATAACCCACGAGCGAAACGAGTAGACTCTTCAGTTCTCCTGACCGGCATAGTCACGATGACTAGGAAATGTGACAGTCTTATATATATTATAAATGCAAGCCATAAAGCTAGCCTGTTACTAGATAAACTCACATCTTTATAGAGTTTATATCTATACTTAACCTAATCTTTTAGGCTATTGCTGGACTTACTTTAAAGTTAACGCTGAACACACGGCATCAATAACGCCCTACTGATTTACAAGTAATTTTAGTTTATAGCTCAAATCTACATAATGTCACTAGACTTGGTATTTAATTTTAATTACTTCACTATATTATTTAATTATGTTATAAGAGCTTTTGGTCTTGATATAATACTTTAGTTGAGATACTAGGCTGGGTTCAGGGTAGCTATTGTGATCCAGTGTATTTAGAACAGTAACGAGAAACAAAAGATCTCTACGATGAGCTCCACGAGATGCCAGGAATAAAGAAAATGCCATCAATGATGATATACACCAATACATAAGAAAAGGTAGCCTGTAAATAACATCGAGAGACATTTAATAGTCTGGTCTGCTGTCAAAACCTGGAGCACTTGAATGGAGCTAGATATGGGTCACGCGACAACTAACAAACAATTGAATTGAAGCAAACAGCGTGGTGCTAAGGATATGAGATAATAAATAACATGGGGATCTTGCACCTCAAGTTATTGATCTCCAACATATAACCAATATTGTGTCGCAATTGTCGTCAGAGTTCGGTGGCTGAAAAAGAACCGACTGTAGATCAGTGAATTTCCATACTCGCGATTTCGGTATCTTGTTTGGGCCCGAGAGCACAAAGCAAACATGCGAGAAAACAACGCCTATTAATACCCAGTCACTCACTTTCATTATGTGACGGATTCGAAACTAATGCTACGCACAATGTGATAAACTCTAAAGTGCGGGCCAGAGCTAACAAGCCGTTTGTCAGTTGAGGGCACTAAGCTAAACTTGACAGGGCTAGCATTTTGATGATCCGTTAGAGAACGAGACAAACAAACAAGGGTACTCTCAGCCCGTCTCGGTACCCAACACTGCCAACTTCGGGGAACAATTTTTTCCTTCCCTCTTTTCCTACATAGAAGAGTAGCATGACCCCATCCAGCGACTGCGTCCCGTGTCTTGTGTTGGTTCTGCTGTGCCTTTTGGAACCCGACGACGTCAGAACTGCATATATTTCTTGCAGCAACTGACAGCCGACAAAAAGTTATTTTTATTTTTATTACCCTTTTGCCTCAAATCGACACCATCTGTCAAACTAAAATAATTTAGCAGAGGAAAAAAAAGGGAGACGAACGACGAACGCAAAAAACCCCCCAAGCTGTTAGGCTTCGGCGCGGCCCGCCGTGTTTATTAGCAACGAAAATGGCTCACTCGATGGACAACAATGGACGCGACTCGAGCTCGACTCGAAGCGGCGCCGCTGGCGGGGGGTCCACGGAGTTTCTACAGTCATCAGCCATGGCGAGGCCCCCTGCCCAGACGACTCTCACCGCCTCATCGTCGTCCAACTACGCCTCTAGCGTGTCTAGTGACAGCCAGATTCAGACAGGGGGCCTCCCCGGGACACCTGTTACCCGACGCTCAGGCGGATGGGACCGGCAAACACTCTCCCCGGCAGCGGCAGCAAGGGAGGACCATGTCGTTAAGACGAACAGTATAGAGGACTCTTCTGATTCTTCGGATGAGTTTGTTGCCAGTTACAAGCCTATGGAACGGTAAGTCTCACAGATCAGATCAGATCAGATTAGAGAGAGGGTGGTCCACTGATTGGTGGGTTGGCTCCATTGTTTGCTCCCATGCTAATGTGTCTCAGTGGGTCACGGTCCAAACGATTCTTCCAAGCATTCGTCGCCAAATTCACCAAATCCTCTGTTCGTTCGTCTTCCCCCTCCCCTGCTTCGCAGTAGCATCCGAGAATTAACCAAACGACAACGAACAGGGTACGGTTTGGTGCCGAATAGCCAGGTATGTTGCGGCAATCACATTATCACACGTTTATACGGCTACTCGGATACTAATACGCTTTTGGTCTAGCAAGAACAAGACCGAAATGGTATGATGCGATCGATGCCTCGGTACTCTTTAACCCGCGGATTTACTGACCAGACCGCGCTTAGTCATTCAACATACGGTTATCATCAATATCTTCAAAGGGCTTCATTTATCACCGATAACGTCAAGGCCGAAGCGAGTGCTTGATGTCGGTACTGGACCTGGAACATGGGCATTGGTTAGTTCTGAAGGAATCTTGTGATGTAAAATTTCGCTGACATGGATACTATAGGAATTTGGTACGGCGTAGGCCTCATGGCTCTTCTGTTACTGATGCTAACGTTCGACAGCCACGAAATACCCCTCCTGTTCAGTTTTAGGCGTCGACATTGAACCAGTCCACCCACCATATACAAAATCCAACTGCAGCTTTAAAACATTCGACATCACACATGACTGGGATATTTTCAACGGCGGCGACTTCGATTTCATTCACGTTCGACAACTAGGCGATATCGGAGATAAAAAGAAGTTAATCCAGTCAGCATTTGACAACCTCAGGCCCGGAGGATGGGTCGAGTTCACAGAATGGATCGCAATTCTACAATCACCAAATCACTCATTAAACGGCACACAATTCCGAAGGTGGAATGATTTAATGGAGCAAGGGATGCGGAATTTCGGTACAACGCTGAAATATCCGGAAAAGTTCAAACCTTACCTACAAGAAGCTGGCTTTGAGCGCGTCATCGAGACGAGACACGGTGCGCCGACGAATGCATGCTATCCCGGGAAGAAGCTACAGCGCATTGGGCATCTAATGACGCAGAATTGGTTGTTTATTCTTGAGCCGTTGACGATGCCTGTTTTTACACAAGGCCTAGGCTGGTCGCCGGAGCAGGTGAAGAAGTTTCTGGTGGATGTGAAGAAGGAGATTGGGAACACAAAATACCATTCATTTATGACATTGTGAGCACAAAACCGCTAATCTTTTATAAGGACTATAGCTGACAATAATGTAGAATAACCTTTTGTGCCCAAAAGCCGGCACCTGGATCATCAACGCCATCGAATTCCGCGCCGGCTTCGGTCTCGGCGTCAGTGTCGACGTCTGTGTCGGAATCTTCTATGCCACGATGAGGAAGGATATCGTGTTGGGTTACGGAATATCAAGTCTCTAGACTAGACCCTTTGATGGGACTGAATTGCATATGTTTGGTGTTGTGTAGCATTGTCTTTGGCTCGCTGGCTGCGAGGGTTGGTCTCAGGCGCGATTATGAGGAGGGAGAGATATCTTGTAAGGGCATATATATAGATGAATACAGTTATGCGGGAAGCATATAATCCCAGAAGCAAAGAGCGTATTTTAATGAAATGTCATAAATATCGCAAGGCTACAACAAACAAAATGCACGCAGAAACTGTAAACAAAGAAAGACGAAAGACAAGATCCACCCCAATCTGTTGGTATACCCAAGCACTAAAGAGAACCATCATATTCATCCAACAATCATTCTAGAAACCCTAGCCGACAGATCCTGAATACTATACGGGTTCGTCAAGTCATTAATAGGCAAATCAATCTGGAACGCATATCGCGCCCAAGACCGAACACCAATCGCAATAAGCGAGTCCATTCCATACTGAATCGCCGATCTCGAAGGCTGAATATCGCCAACCTTGATCGACAGTACTTGCGCCAACTTAGCGACAAGAGCAGTGCAAACAAACGGCTGTAAGGCTGCCTCTTTGCCTTCAGGCGCATCTCCCAATCGACCGAGAGTGTTCCTAAAGGCCTTGACAGCTGTTTGGACTGCGCTCTCTCCGCCATCAGCATCGGAGTCAAGAGCAGCATTGTCAGTGGCTCGAGAACGCAGAAGGCCAAACTTTGGGTCTTGAGCCCAGGATTGGTATTCTGTTGTGACTCTGTCGATCATGCCGAAGCTGAGAACAATCTGGCTTTGGACGAAGCTATCGTAGGTAGAGTCTTTGATGAGGTTCTTGGGTGAACCGGTTGCGATGGCACCCTCGACGACACGGAGGACATCTCGGACTGTGATGGGCCTAAGACCGCGGGATAAGAGGGAGGCTTGGATCTCGGGACGCTCGCTGATGTTGCCGACATCTTCGACGAACCCGAGATCAACAGACGAGGCTGGAAGTCCAAGACTTTGACGATATCGGGCAAAGGTGTCGAGGAAAGTACTACTTGCGGCGTAGTTGGATTGACCCTCATTACCCAAAACACCACAGCCTGAACTAAGCATGACGAAGAAGTCGAGATCTTGACCGAGTAGAGAGTTATGGAGGTTCAGCGAGCCATTGACCTTGGGACCAAAGACGGCATCAAAGTCCTCGAGAGTGATATCCTCAAAGAAGCAGTCCTGGCTAAAGTCAGATAGGCTTCCATGAAAGGTTATGCAGTAAACTTACGCTAAGCTTCAACGCAGAGTGAATAACTCCACCGACAGGAGTATCGATAGAAGAAACAAGATGCTCTACAGCTTCGGAGTCGCCGACGTCGCAGACTTCAACTCTGGCATTACATCCATACGATGATAGCTGTTGGAGAAGATCGCCGGACTCTGAGGCACGGGCAACAGAGCTGGTTGCCAGAACGATGTGTCGAGCGCCGTAGCTCGCCATCCAGACTGAAATGGCACGGCCTAGACCACCGAGACCGCCTGTGATGATGTAGGTCTTGTGGGGGTTGAAGCGTGATGTCTTGGGCCGTGTCTAGGTACGGTTAGATATGGTCTTGTCGCTGAGAGAGTGAAACCACTTACCTTGATCAATTGCTGGTCGTTGATGTCGCTGAGCGATACAATCTGTTTGTTCGGAGTACCTTCTATCACTGCCCTAAAGGAGGACTGTAGAGAGTCAAGTCCCTTCACCGAGACCGAAGAATCAATATCGATCTCTCGCTTCTCAACCATGTCGATGACTTGGTCAAGCAGGCTAATGAAATCGTCAGCGAAAGCATACGAATCCATAAATTGAGTCACTTACGTTCCAAGATCCTGTTTGCTCTCCCGATAAGCATCCGCCAAATCAACTGAAGCAAACATGACGTTCTTATTCGGCACAAAATAAGCCTCCTCACTAGAACTGTCACCCGATGTAGTCTCAATATACGTTCCACGGTTCGCAACCAAATGAGAAAAGTCAGCATATTGACCCGCCTTGGTGTTCAATACGAGCTTATAAGCCTGGAAGGTCGTGGAGCGAGAGACGCTGGAGCGGCTGGAGTTAGTGGGATTTACAAAGATCTTGGCGGAATGAAGGCCGAGTCTGGTGAGGATGGGCTTGGTTGTTGCGTCGCTAATGGCGGCGTAGACGTCTAGCTTGAGCGCTGTTGCGGTCTTGATGAGGGCGATGCCTTGGGTAGACGACGCGTTGACGATGAGGATTTTCTGTCGCTGGGTTAGTATTGCTTGCTGGCCAAGGGGCGCGGTACATACCTGTCCTGTTGATACTCTCGCTGGCGTTGTCAGGGCGTACAAAGCAGTGACGAAGCTTGTAGGAATAGCTGCTGCGTCCTGTAGGAGAGTTAGTCATGCGCAGTCAGCGAAGACCAGGGCTCTTCTTACCTCGAATGAAAGCCAGTCAGGGATCTTCCTACAACAGTCTGAAGGTGCCAGGTACTGAGTTGTGAAAGTCCCTTGACCGATGATGGCGACACGATCTCCAGGGCTAAATGATGTGACATTCGCACCGCATCTGGTGACGACGCCCGAACACTCACGACCGAATGATGTCGCTGGAAGAGATCCCTGTGCGATGTATCCGTCCTGAGGCAATGTTAGATCAAGCATTGCGAGAGAAGAGAGATGTACTTACCCGTTCATCAAGTCCGACAGCCTTGACCTCAACAAGAACATGCCCATCTGGAATGCTCGAGTACGCATCATCTTGCGCCATAGCCAGACTCTCCAAGATACCAACCTCTCCCATGACCAAGTGATGAGGTGCTTTCACCACCTGCGACGACGGAGCATCCATCTTACGAGCAGGACCATAAGCATTCTCAAGCGCGGTATCATTGACAAGTCTGCACGTCCAGAGCTGCCCATCCTTCTCAGCAATCTCGTAGTCCAACTTGGAGATCGGGTCATTGTGCGAGTAATGAGCGCGTTCCAAGACGTGGTAGATGACGTTGGTTGTGATATCGCCATCACTGCTCAAGTCAAGAGTGTATAGTTGACATTGACTGTTTTCGCCGCGGAGGGTTCGTGCGAAACCTGTCACTAGACCCCCTGTTGTGTTCTGGGGATCGAGGTATACCTTGCGTGTAACCCAGATGCACTTGATAGGCTTTGTGAGCCATGACTTGAGTGCGGTCAATTGCTCTGTTTGGAGAGAGGCGAGGAAACTCCCTTCGGTCTCATCAACGAGGATAAGCCATTCTCCAGCCCATTCTCGCGAAGCAAGATCTTCGAGGGTACTAGAGCTTGCAGAAATGCCACGCGTGCCGAGATACTTTTGAAGGTGGTCTCGAGTGGACAGATCGCTGCCGACTCCAGCAATGTGTATCTTTTCCTCAGAAAGCAGCTTGGGCGGAGTATACTCAACGGGCTTTGCTCTAGCCATCATGACGATCGTGCTCGACAGTTGCTCAGTGTCGGTCTTGTCGTGCTTGGCTTCAATCTCCGAGACGCTGTCAAAATCGGCAGCGAGCTCGTTGCGCCACTCGTCGAGAGTAAGACCAGGGCCGGAGCGACCAGGTGACCGAGGGCGGAGCCACCAGCCAGTCAAGGGTCCCTGCGTAAGAGTTAGCGATGCCGTATAGATGATTTGGTGCTGGTCTTACCCAAAGGAAGTTGGCTGAAGTTAGGTCTGCGAGTAGAAACGTTAGAAGAGCAACCTGATGTAATGACTGATTTTACGTACCCTCCGACAGCTCACCAACCAAGAGGTATCCATCGTCTCGCAGTAGAGATCGGATATTCTTCATAGCGAAAGGCAAGTCGGCAGTGGCGTGCAGAACCTAACAAGGTAGTCAGTATATGAAGAACCTTTACAACATCCGAGACTCACATTGGCCGCAACAACAAGGTCGTACTTCTCGGTAAACCCCTGCTCAGCAATATCCTTCTCAACATCCAAAGTCTTGAACTCAATCCTATCCCACTGCGCAAACTTCTTCTTCGCCTTATCAAAGAACCCAGCCGAGATATCCGTAAAAGTAAACGACTGATACGCATTCTTCCCTCCCGCCTTGGAGAACCCGCGCAGCAACTCCGTAGTCGCACCGCCAGTTCCAGCACCAATCTCCAGGATCTTCATGTTGGGGTTCTTGTGCGCCAGGAGCTCAGCGACGGAGAGAAGTTTCTGGTTCATGCTGGTGGTGAAGATACTCTCTTCGTAGAAGCGGTAGAGTAGGTCGTTCTCCAGCCAGACTGCTAGGGCTTCGACGTCGCCGCGGAAGATTTGGGACATGTTGATGGCGAGTTGGGATACGATTGATGCGTCAACGGTTTGGGAGATACCAGAGTTGGCGACGACGTTTATTATGGCGTCTTGGGGTGTTGCGAAGCCGTTTTGGAGCTTGTGGCGAGCTGCTAGGCGGTCTTTGTGAAGTTCAGCCTGGTCGAGGAACCATGAATGGTAGCTGAGTAAGTGGGAAGATAGGTCTTTGCCCTTTTCGATGCCGTTCTCAACGACGAGTGGTATGAGCTCCTTGACCAGGTTCTCAAGGTTGATCAGCTTCTTCTCTGCGGGAAGGCTCTGGATCTTGATGGAGCTGAGCATGGGGTCACTGCTCGAGATGTCGCCAATGTCAGGCTTCCAAGCAAGTCTCAGCCAGGGTAGAGTAGTGTTGTCATCACTTGTAGCTCTATCCATCTGCAGGCCTTCCACCACAAAGAAAGGTCTCGACAACGAGTCGTAACACTCAACGCTACCTTGAATCCTGCTGAACCCAACAGGTGAAGTGTTGGTAGTACAAGACGCGACGGCCGTGTTCTCAGCAGGCATACGGATGGAGATTCTCTTCATCTTGGATGGAAGAAGTAACGTATCAATCTCTTGGAAGTGTCCAGAGCGATTAGCCAAGGCAGGTGTTTGAAGCGCTGCATCCATCATCGCTGGATGTAGGAGGTATCTCTGGCCGGGAACAGGAGACTGAGCAGTCGATGTCATGTTGATCTTGGCAGAGCAAGCGGAAAGACTAGGGCGAACGCGAACTTCATTGAGAAGCTGGAACTTGGGACCGTAGCCGTAGCCAACCCGTTCAAGAGTCTTGTAGTAGCTCTTGAGAGGGACCTTGAGCGGCATGTGGTGCCACGAGGTCCTGCGGCGGAGAGCGACCTTGTCGTTGCTCGCTGGGATGGAGTTAGCTTGAATCTTCATCTGGTTTACATCAGACACTCACATTCGAGGACTGAAGCTCTACCATGACAATGACGGATATCGACATCGCCTCTCAGGGATGAGATAGTAAAGTCATACCACGTCTCTTCCGACTTGGCATTATCGTTGTCTGGGATGAGTGTGAGGAAAAGGTCGATGTGTGATTCATCAGGGAGAATGATGGAGTTGGAAAAGATAAAGTCCTGGAGCTCAAATGAATAGTTCGTCCAGTCAATCTCCTTGTTCTCCTCCTGTACCTGCATCATGGCCTCAACCACCATCGCGATGCCGGTAGTGAAGGAGAATGTCACGATACCGTTGACCTGTCACGAGTCAGCCTTTTCGTAAGATGAGTGTATTTTCTTCACGTACCTGATGATCAACAAGCCAAGGCGCATCCTCAATCGACACCTTGTTCCTCCATGTCGGAGCCGCAGGATTCACTCCTCTGCAGCGCGATCCTAAAATCTCATGCCGCGGCGATTTCCTAAACCGCCATTCCTGACTGTTTCGTGGCTCGGTCCACGGCGTCGAGGAATAGTCCCAGGCATAAGCCGGAAGGTTGTCTTGGATGTGATTGGGAAGACGTCCAACCTTACCAGCAATCTTGTTGACTTGATCCAAGTCCAACTGCTTCCCATTCAGAACCAAGTCTCCAGCTAGGCTTATCAGCTGTTGACTTGAGTCTGCGTTTCGGAGCATCGTAGCGAAGAAGGGAAGTTGAGGGGCGGTAGGAAGGGACTTGACGATCTCAGATGTTGGGCGAGAGAGCAGAGAGTGAGGTCCGAGTTCAACGCAAAGATCGAACTTGCGGTCTGATGAGGTCAATGCCAGCGTGACTGCGTCGGTGTAAAGAACCGGGGAGACGAGGTTGGCTCCCCAGTAGTCGGCGTCAACCTCAGTACCCTTGAGCTCAAGGCCAGTAACAGACGAGTACATCGGAACCCGTCCAGCCTTGGGTAGTATAAGACCCTTGAGCTGACCGACGTATTCATCCACAACAGTCTTCATGGCGCGAGTGTGATAGGCTCGAGTCACTGCAACAGCCCTAGAGACAATGCCATGAGTGCTGAGCTCAGCAGCCACATTCTTGACCCCCTCAGCAGATCCAGCGAGGGTAAGATTCTGAGGACCGTTGAAACAGGCAATCTGCACATCGTTTCGCTTCAATGCATCTTGTAGCTCCTTGGCATCAGGTGCGCTTCTGGTGGCCAACATGGCGCCTGATGGAGCGTTCTGACAGGCTATGCCTCGGTAGTAAGCGACTGTGATGGCCTCCTTGGCTGTGAGAGCACCGCAGGCGTAGGCAGCGGCCGTCTCTCCACCTGAGTGACCAACAACACCGTCTGCCAGGACGCCCCAGCTTGAGAGAACGTCTGTCAATGCGATCTGGACTGCCATGGAGAGGGGATGCGCGAGAGCTGGCGAGTCGATCTCTTCTTGAGAGAGCTCAGTTGTGAGCTTGTCTGCGAGAGTGTCAGTAATGCCAAGTTGTGATGATTTGTCCAAACATACCTATCAACGACCAAGTTGGTGTTTTGGAAGATTGAAGCTCCCTCACGACCTCCTCGAGATTGTACAAACTATTGCGCGCCACAGGGAATGCATCGAGGAGACGTTTCCCCATCTGCGACCACATAGCTCCTTGGCCTGTGAACGTGAACAAGACTCGCGGTGACCCGCCGCTTGTAGGGCTTGTTCCAACCTTGAGTGCGTTGGTCTCTAGTTGTTGGATGAGGTCATCAACGGACTGGGCAACAGCGAACGACTTCCATGGACGGACGTTGATCTGGCTTCGAGCATTGAGCGCCTTGACTAGGGAACTAGTCAGGCTTTTGCACTCTTCGTGAGTTTTGAGAAACTCTAAGAGATTCTGCTCGTTGGTATCTCGAGAGTCTTTTGAAGCGCCGGATGTGAAGAGAAGGAAGTACGGGTCGTTGCTCTTCTCATCTTCGTGATGGCCGTTCACACCATTCGTACCGTTGATACCATTGGTGCCATTGATGCCATGAACGCCATTTACTCCGTTTGCACCATTGACTGAACCATTGGTCAGTTGAGGAGGCTCGTAGAACTCAACAACGGCGTGGGCGGTTGATCCACCGATACCAAGGGAGTTGACACTTGCCCGGCGGATGGACTTGGGAGGCCATGGCTGGGGAGCAGTTGGAACACGAACTCTCCATCCGTCAAAGTCAACTGAGCAAAGCATCGTTAGTCCAGTTCATCAGAAGTCAGCAGCGAGGGTACATACTCTTGGGGTTGGGGGTTTTGTAATTCGTGTTGGGAGGGATCTCGCCCTTTTCCAGAGCCAAGACCACCTTGATGAGACTGCTCAAACCACTAGCAGCCTCTGAGTGTCCGACATTCGGTTTTGTCTATAGATGTTAGCTTATCTTCCACTGATAATAAATAAGGATTGACCTACAGAACCGACCCAGAGTGCATCTTGGGCCTTGTGGCTTTCGGAAAAGACTGAGCCAACGGCGCCCAGCTCTATGCAATCACCAACAGGAGTGCCTGTTCCATGACACTCAAAGTATCCTGTCTCACTGAAATCGTTGATTCCTGCCTGTGCATAGGCCTGCAAGATGGTATCTGCCTGAGCCCGGCCTGATGGCTCAGTGATGGCTGGAGTGGCACCAGAACTGGACTGTTAGTGTCTGAGTGTTGAATCAAAGCGGAGAAGATGTACCTGTTGGATGAAGTGCCCCTGATGACTGCTCGAATACTATCGCCATCTCTGATAGCATCACTGAGTCTCTTGACATAGACTGCATTGGTTCCTTCACCACGTCCATATCCATTAGCGCTAGCATCAAACGTCTTGCACTGACCATCCGCAGCAATAGCACCGAGACGCGTCAAAGACAGTGCATAATCAGGACTCAGGAACAGATTAGATGCACCAATCACAGCACCGTCACACTCACCAGCCTGCAGTGCTTGGCAGGCAAGATGAAGGGCTACCAGGGCACCCGAACAGGCAGTATCGATGGTGACACTGCATGAGGCGTCAGCACTGTAATCGCCCCCTTTGGGAAATGATGACATACCTGGGTCCACCGAGATCGAGTGCATGGCTGATGCGGTTTGCAAGCATGGTTCGTGTTGTTCCAATCGCGATGAACGTGGGAAGATATTCAGGGTCTTGCATGAGCATGTCGTGGTAGTCACTCACAAACATGGCACAATAGCAGCCGATCTTGGACTTTGAGATTGTTTCCATAGAGATGTTGGCTGACTCAAGACACTCATAGACAACCTCGAGGAGCTGCTTCTGCTGAGGATCCATAGCTGTAGCCGTGTCTTTGCTGATACCAAAGAACTTGTGATCAAACTGCTTAATGTCCCTCTTAACGAAGTGAGCACCCCTAAAGGCCTGAGCTCCCTTCTGATTAGGATCCATAGACAGGAAGTTCTCAGCATTGAATCGATCTTTGGGTATCGCCGTAGCAGACGAGCGGCCTGCTCGGACATGGTCCCATAGATCCAGCGGCTTGTCGATTCCGCCTGGGAGACGACAAGCCATGCTCACAATGGCAATTGGCTCTCGCCATTGTGGAATCTGAGAAGGCATTGCAAAAAAAGACAAACGTCAAAACAAAATTGGGGTATACTGATAAATTCGTTCCAAAGTCTTGTAACTCTGGGGGGGGGGGGGGGGGGCAAAAATCACACGAGAAGAGTATGGGATAGTTAGTTCATGACACCACCGGCAGCGGCACATACATATGGGACAACAACCATCGACTGGCCATGATACGCTGGCTCGGTAATCACCACATGAGAAGAGAGAAGACTGCTTGATTGTCTCCACAGCAGTTCGCAAGGGTCCGGCGTGTTGGTTGCTAGCTCCACGAGCTACTGCACTGCCATTGTCGTAATATTAATCACGGGTGGCGCGTGATCTACCTGTCACTGGTATAGTTCAGATGCTGATACTTGGTGAAATATCGCACTATGGATGCAAGGCCAAGTCCTTAAGTGTCTTCTGCGCCTCTTTCGACGATCGGACCTGTTTCTGGAATGGTTCTTATGGGGTCCATGATATGACGCTTGCAGTAGCACCAACATAGCGGGTCCGAATCCTTTCGATATGGGGGCGAGGTAGCCCGTTTCAGGTACAAGAACGAGGGGGGGAAAAGCGAGAAATGCACGGGAATTACATGGAGTAGAGAGGGTTGCATCTGCGCCAATTTGATGCAATAGAAGCCTCGTTATGATGGGAATAATTCTCTCGCAATCGAATCGTCAACTCTTGGCCCGGCGCTAACACGATATCCTTGCGGGCCGTAGTGTAAAAATGCGACATCGACCCAGAGATACGGCGCGTCCCTAGCTCACGCCGAGGCGAATAACCCTTACCTTGCTCTCTCTAATCTATGGGCAGCGTTTGCTTCGATCATCGCCGACGCGTGGATATCGATCAGATGAGTGATTTAGCATAACCAACAGCTGATACGGTAGCAGCAAACAGTTTGGTATTTATATGTTTGTTGGTTGCCCCCTGAACTTGCACAAAGGTTATTTGCTTCACCGTTTCCTCCGCCAAGGCCGGTAGTTGGTACTGTGCCTCTCAAAGACAGTGCCTTTGTACTACATTACGCTGCAGCGTGGAAATGAGCAACGGCCGTTTGAGAACCAACCGCATGGAACCAAGCTTTACGGTTCATGCTGCAGATGATGGGTCGGCTGTCAGTGCGGGATAAAACCCCCCCCTGTCCGACCCCAACCAATACGGTAACGCCACGCAAACGTCTATTGGAAAGGCCGCCGTATGTAGCTTGGTCGCTAGCTTGAACTTCGGCAATGTACAGGGTTTGGTGCGCCCTCATCCTGCATATGCACTCGTATGTCTGGGCCAAACTCGGACATGCTTCCAGTTATGTACAGGATAATATCAGCACTACAAACATTATCATGAAGCTCTGACCAGTTAGTGACAAACTAGATCCAGTTATTGAGGGGTAAGGTAAGCAGCAAACATCAGCAGATCCGACGCTAGGTTGGTTTTTGGCTATGCGATGGATCTTGGGAGTGAACTGCGCCTGCGCTAATGCAATTGCAGGCCGTGTAGCGCTATGGTCTAATCTGGGTATATCATTGGAGTTGCAAGGGCCCGAGGCATTGCGAGAGATAGGTAGTGATCTGACAGGACGGAACAGCCAGATAAGCAAGCAGTCGGCGATGTTTGCTACGACCAACAGAGGCCACGCAGTCATGGCGTTGGTGAGGTAGAAGCATCGGGAGACTATTGACAAGGTTTGGTATCGGAGCTTAATAATCGGATGTTCATGAACTGTAGAAAGGTGCAAGGGCCATCGCGATAGCCCACCATGAGACTGAATCTGACTACTACAGTATTATGGGCAAGGAAAGACATAACGGCTTCAATGGCAGGCGCATATCGTGGCTTTTATCACCAGGTTAAGACAAGGATGGAATACGAAAATAAAAACTAAAAGCACTGGAAGTACATGATAGAAATCTAATTATAACTGACTGCTCGGCACACCCGAAGCCAGGCGTCATCATGACAAAGACGCCTGCAGCATGCATTGCATAATTTCATCCCCGAGGTCAAAGCTCACCAGCCGAGTACAGCTGTGCGAAGCGCGAAGTTGGCTGACGCAGCAGTTCCTTGGGATCACCCTGCTCTACAATCTTGCCATCATCTAGTACAAGAACTATATCAAACTCAACGATCGTTGCAACCTGATGCGTGACACAGAGGACAGTGCTATCAGGAAACGTGTTGAATACTGTCTGGCGCAGCTGTGTCTGGATATCATTGTCGACGCTGATAAGGTTAGCAGTGAGCTGTAAGATGTGTCACGTGTGTTGCTTACTGGCTTGTAGGTTCGTCCATAAGCACAATCTTTCCCTTCTTGAGGCAAGCTAGGGTCATGGCGAAGAGCTGACGCTCTCCGTGGGAGAAGGTGTCGCTTGAAGCGATCATATCTAGACCGCCTCCTTGCTCGATGGTCTGCCAGAGGCCTGTCTTCTTCAAGCCCTGGATGATCTCTTGCTCATCTGAAATGCCAAAGAGCTTTGCATACTCGCGTATACTTACCGAGAGAATGAGAGATTCTTGGGGGAGGACTACAAAGCTGGATCGTACTTCATCCTTGGCCAGGGTTGAGATGTCAACGTCGTCGACGCTGATTTTACCTGAAGAGACTTGCACCAGCCCTAGCAATGAGTTTACAAGGGTACTCTTCCCGCTATTGTGCATTTCAGTTAGCACATCTCTGAACTTTGGTGCAATGGGTAGCTGCAGAGAAACATACCTTCCTGTCCGACCACAAATGGCCATCTTGGAGCCTGGCTTGATATCCAGCGTCAAATTCGAAATGGTCGGTGGAAGTGAAGTTCTGCAATACGCGTCAGTGATCAAAGGTTGCCAAATTGATTGTAGTGCTCACGAGTGAGTCAGCGTCACATCGGTGAAGTGAATCTCGCCCCTCGATGGCCACTCCGCCGAAGGCTTCGTGTCTGACTCATGTTCCGACTTCGTGTCTTCTGTAAAGTCTCTGATACGAGCAACTGCACCGAGTGTGATCTCAAGTGAAGTCCAGAAGAAGACAACACCCTTGACTGATTGTCCAAGTCCCACGATGTTAAACAGCGCAAGGCCAAGACTGCCGCCACTGGTGTTCATCTGTACAACCGCGATGGAAATAACAACAAGAGCAAGAGTCGCCACGAATAGGTCTACTGAAAGGTTGAGTGTGACTTGTGCAGACTGTAAGAAGTGGAAAGGCACTTGTGATCGCTCAAGGACCTCAATCCCCCGTCGCAAGTACCATGCTGCCCAGCCATATGCACGCACAGTGGCGAGTCCATCAAGAGACTCCAGTAGAAGCGACAAGACAGGTGATCTTGCCTCAATATCCATGACACGAAGTCTTCGAGATGTTCGAAGATAAAACTCGTGAAAGAATGCAATCACGACAGCGATAGCCAGAATCGCAAAGCCAGCATAGTGAGATTGGATCGTGACAACGATGCACTGCGCGATAAGCATCAGCAAGTTCATCGTGGCGCCAACGAAAGCTAGTGGTAGCTCCATATCGGTGATCTGCAGGTCCTGGCTAAATCTAAGAGCCGTTGCGATTAGCGAATGTCTGTGCACAAAAGTTCGTGATCGTACCTGTTTAACGTGACTCCACTATCCGTCTGGGAGAAGAAATCCATTCTGGCACTAAAACACCATTAGCAATTGCAAAAAGAGCCTGGTAGGAGGGGATAGCGTACTTGAGTGTTGTGGTGAGAATGAGATGGTGGAACAAAGCTGCCGTCCGAACTGCGATGCGTAAAAAGAGCCATACACATGCTGAGAAGAGAGCTACCCAGGCCATGGAGCCAACTCCAAAGAAGATGCCATAAAATGATGGAAGTGTATCGATTTGGTTCTGGAGACTCTTTTCCGACCATAGCCCAAGGTATATTTCTATCGAGGGTTAGTACTAGGTCGATAGAAGTGCTGAGATGAGTCACTCACGTGGAAATATAACGCCTATCACGAATCCCAAGCAGAGGAAAAGAAAGACGATAAAGTCCATCCATCCAATGACTCCGAAGTACCACTTATACACAGCCCAATCGCCATTGGCACCTTTCTTGAAAGCGATGTCATTTGTGATTGCAGTGTTGGGTAGTTCATCCGAGTCTTGAGCTCTAGGTTCTCGTGCAGCGGCAGTGCGGTCAGATACTTGTAGCACGTCATGTTCGAGCTGTTCAATATGCGGTGCAATCTCAGCGTATGTGCCTTGCCGAACAACACGGCCGTCGGCGTCAATGAGGATGATGTAGTTGGCGAAGGGGAGATATCTCGCTATATGATATTAGTGAATGTTGGGCTACAGTCGGGGTGATCTTACGTGAACTTGTGGCGAGGATAGTCGTGGTGGGAGCGCTGCTGAGAAGACCTCGGGGCGCAAAGATCTCGCCGAGGATGTGTCGCTCAGTGTTGGTGTCTAGGCCGACAAGACAATCGTCGAGAAGAACAAGGGTAGCTTTGGAGTAGACGGCACGCGCTAGAGCCTAGAGTCGTGATTAATACACACAGTGTCATAGACTGGAGGGGGTTACTCACAATGCGAACTTTCTGTCCTCCACTGACAGACTGTCCATTCAGACCACAAAGGTGTTTGTCTCCGTCTGTCAAGTCCTCAATGTCCTGGTCAAGCGCACATGCATGAAGTGCCATGCGATATCGCTCCTCGTAGAAAGGCAAGGCACCGACTATGTTCTCCTTTATGCTGATATTAGCGATCCAAGGCGTCTGGTCACAAAAAGCAACCTGTGAATCATCGACAGAGACGGTTCCAGATGACGGTGCGAGATCACCCAACACAACACGTAGCAGGGTCGATTTCCCACTACCAGTTGGTCCAGCAATGACGGTCAATCCATGAGCCGGTACATCAAACGTGGCGTCCTTGATGATATCTTCACCATCTTCAGTCCACTTTGCGCTGACGTTCTGTATCTTGACAGCAACGTCGGTAAGAACCTTCTTCTCGCTCGCACCACCAACGGAACTCTGGTCTGTACTAATGCTAGCATCTCTAATGGACTTTCGAGGGTCCGTCCAGGTATGCTGGTTGAGGAAGCTCTCAATACGCTGCAGTGAACCGAGTCCTACCATAATTGCCATGACGTGGGACGTGCAGTCTTGTATACTTGAGCTGACGATGTTGAAAAGGGTCATTACTTGGAACGCTGTTTGGGCGGTCAGGATGCGTCCTGATGACTTGTCCGCTACGGCGTTGTGCACACTGAGACCCAGGGCAGGGAGCATGGTGAGAGAAGTGAAGGCTGTGTATTGATCAGCAGATGGCTAAGACTAAGATGTTGTGTTACTCACATAAGGTTACGAGTGCGATGAGCTGAAGACGGAATCTCTTGGAAAGCTTGATCTCCGATTGTCTCTCATCTTCAAGCATGGTCTTTATCGCTGGCGCCGCGCCCATCTGCTTGATGCTCTTGATACCCTTCAAGACCTGCACCGTTTTGTGCAGGCGTTTCTCAATGGCGCCCATCCAGTTCTTTTGGAATCTGCTGGCGCGCCCAGACCAATATCCCCCAAGCAAAAGAGAACCTGTCTACCGTTAGTTCTCGGTCATAACAGTGGCAAATTGACTTGCCTCCGATCAGCCCCAACGTTACCAAAGCTGCAAGGCCCAGCTGCGCTTCGATGAGCCAGAGTCCGATTGCAACAGATACAAAGCTCGCCCAAGCATCGTGTATCTTTCGAACTCCGAGCTGTACGCGTTCTACATCAGCCGTCATCATTGTTGTGCTCGAGTCTCCTGTGTCCACGACTCGATCTAGAAGCAGTGATTGCTGGTAGATTCGCATCGATAGATCGGCACGGACGACAGTGGTGGCTCGAACAGCGCTCTGTTCGTACAGAGAGGAGACGAACTAATCAGGCGTCGTTAGTAACACGCCCACTGTCCAGCTGGTGCGGTCGGTATCTTACTGCAATGCCATAGTAGACAAGAGCATATGCTGCAATAAGTCCATCACCTCTCTGACCTGAGCCTTCGGTCTTTGGGTCCGAGATGTAGGCGATCGCTCGACGGACGAGGAATGGTTGGGCAAAGGTCAAGGAGAGATAGCAGAGTCGGGGGAATATGGGCGCCAGAAACTCGTAAGTGTGAGAGGAGAAGATCTCTTTTGCAAGCTTGATCGGCGCCTGCTTTCGTTTTGGTCCTGGACACCATTAGCAACCTTTCCATCAGATTATGGGAGGTTATTGGGGGCATGCCTTTTTCGTTCGGCCTCAATTCAGCATTCTGCAATTTGGTGTCAAGCTTAGAGAGGTGTTCAGTTTGCAATGGCGTGCGGTATCCGGCCCAGAAGATCGGCATCATTCGAAGCATAAGCGCTCGTTCAATGATACCATTGCTCTCTTCTGGGGCATCGCATAGTTCATGTCTGTTTGCCAACGAACACTTCCAGAGCATCTCAGTGACCAGGGCGCAAACCTTGGTGCTTGCCAGTACCATAACAGCAATAGCAGGGTCTCGTCCGTCTAGCATTCGCCATAGGGTTCGGGCGCGAGCGGCATCCATGGGGATAGTCGATAGGAGGTAGAGAACCAAAATGGATGAGGTGCGCACCGCGCGCTGATGCTCCAGGAAAGACAGACATGCTAGGATCGCGGAACCGATTATGCCAATACTTCCCGCGGCAATACTGGCTTTCGTTCGGGTTTCGTCGCGGATAGAAAAGAGCGCGACAATGCTTGCTTGCGATCCAAGTACTAATGTCCATGCGATCTTGAGGCCATCACGTTAGTCTACGATGACTTTTGTTTCGCGCAAGGGAGGACAATGGAAGAGAAATTAGAGCATACCAACTTCAGCGGCAATATGAAACAACCCTTGAATATCACAGGCTTCTTCCAAAGGCGCGTAACTCGAAAGAGAGCAAGACAAATAGCGACACAAAGAGGAAGAATACAAAGAATCGTCTCCTCAAATAACAAAGTGAAGTCGAAATTGGACCCGCAACCCTTGACGACGGGTCCAAAGGTGTCCTCGACATGGAGGAGACAATTGGGAGACGGCATTCTTCGGAATTCGGATATTCTGATTCGATCAGATACAAACCAGAACGATCAAAAATTTCAAGGGACGATCAGACATCTAATCGAATGGTTTGGGCTGCCGCTGCAATTGAAGGATCAGGATCCGGAGCCGGGGGCTGGCTCGGAGGAATAATCAGCCCGATCGGATGCAACTTTAATACGGGATCTGCTGACCGGAAATACGCTCTGTGCGACTTGAGAAGCCGCTGACTGAGGCTAACAACTATAATGATATGCATGGGCATGGAATGTTTTGGGATGATATAGTTTTAGTGCTGAAGGATTGTCTTGGTACTGATTGGCGGCTCTTGAGGTCTGTAGGCTAGGTTGATCCTTCTAGAATGCAGGATCTTCACCAGCAGATGGGGCAAAGAGAAGTGTTTTCAGGGTCCAAGACATTACCTGGTAGTGCAGAGCTTGAACGTATTTAGTGATATTGCTGGTTATCCTGACCTTTGCCAACGCTTGAGATATAGATATCTTGAATCATAACCTAGAACTAATATTAATAGAAACTAAACTATAAAAAAATTATTCTAGACTTTAGATAGGTATAGTTTAAGAATATGGATATAGGATTAGGGAAATATTTTATATTAATACTGTAAAGAGTTAGGGTAAACTAACTATTTACTATAGTAAAAAATAAATTCTTAGCTTTATAAACTAAGATGTTTACTGTATATACTTATAAATTGTATTTACTTAAATTATATTTAATTTCGTAGTTTAAAAATTGCTTTAGTAATATATAGCTAGAATTTTCTTTTATTTATATTACTACTGAGCACCTGTGACGTGATCTTGACCTGCACAGAAAGCCTGTGACATGATAAGATAATATACGGCATTGATAAGATAAGATAGGATATCACGCAGGGGTGGCAAGCTCTAAATCGCCTCTCCCGCAGCTCATATGGCGACGATCAGCAGTTAGTTCAACAGCGTCCGAAAACCATCACTCGTTTTTACCATCACAAATCGTCACAAGCAACAATGGAAAGGCCATCCTCAATAACCCCCAGACCAATCCTCCCACGTCCAACGTCAACGCCAGTACCTCCCCCAGCACCAAACCCCGCCAGCGACTTCGGAATTCCCCGCAGATCCAAGGTCATCTCAGCCTGCCAAGCCTGCAAGCTGAAAAAGACAAAATGCGACGGCGATCGCCCTGAATGCGGGCCCTGTGTATCCAAAGGTCGAAACTGCGAGTACCCAGTTCAGGGTAATAGAACAGAAATCATCATTAGACGACAGCAGGCTCTGCAGGAAAACGTCGAGTCGTTCGTGGCGCTGTATCGGTATCTTCAGGAGCGGCCTGCAAATGAAGCTAGTAGCCTGTTTGACCGGATCCGCGATGGGTTTGGCATCGAAGCGGCGCTTGAGTATGTTAAAGCTCATGGCAGCGGTTCTGGTCTGGTTTGCAGAGACGTGCCGAGTGCCAGGGTGAGATGGAGTCAGCAGATCTACGACTGCAATTTACTCTTCGAGAACGAGCTTTTGTCAACCGAGATGTCGGACGTGGCCATCCAAGCCTTGCGAGATGGCGTTGACTGCTTCTTCTTATACATGGGTAACATGTTTCCTATCTACACGAGGAAGGAAGCCGATTTGATTCTCGATACTTTCCAAAAAGCCAAGCCAGATCAGCTTGCGAGCAGAAAGATTGCCTATGGCGAGTTACTGGCTATTTCCGCATTGGGCTTCCAATATGATCGGCAGACTCTACCCAACGGTAACGCATCGGTTTGCACACCGTTCTACCAGAAAGCTCGGCTGTTTCTTGATTACGTCATAGAGCAGGCTCCTCTGCGGGCGATGCGGATATGCTGTTGTTTGGGAATCTACAATGTCATCGCCAAGTCATCATTGGCAATCTCTTACACAGGTGGGCTCCTCCGTTTTCCCCTCCCACAAGTATTTGCATTGCTGATTGGTTTCAAGATTGGGGTATCCTGCTTGGCTCCTCAAGTGGACTTTGTGTTGGCAAGAAGCCGGCGGGTCTGTCCGAACAAGATTTCAACGGGTATATTAAGACTTTTACGGCCCTTATCACGATACGGAGTTGGGTCACAGCTACTCTCGGGCACATCCCCAGTCCAGAGGTCTCCCGATGTGTCCACGTAGGTCACGGAACATGTATACCACTTCTTGCACTGACGGCTTTGTTAGGATACGAGAGAGCAGATCGATAATACCGGTGCCCTTGATTCTGCAGCTGAGGACCCCGTTCTTGGAGTCTTACAACAGAAGATGGCCCAGATCACGGTCCTAAAAGCCAACATCGTCCGAACAGTGGCGTCTTTCAGGGTGTTGTCCACCACGATACTGAGACAAATGCATGACGACCTTGACCAATGGCGGTCTAGTCTCCCTGCTTACATGCATCTCGAGACCCTGATTTATACGCCAGAGATATCTCCGGACCAGCGCCGCGTGACGTTTTACATGCACCTTTTCTACATGTCTGCTCTCATTCTGAAGACCAGAGCTGTGCTTGCAACTCAGAAGGATATAACGGCGTGTACCTGGGGTCTGGAAGCAAAAGCTGCTATCCTCCAAGGCATCCAAGCTGCGCGGAGCTCAGCTCGACTCCTCGGACTGATCCTCGAGGAGAAGGCCGTGGTGAAGAACTGCTGGCTGACTATGTAAGATGCAATCTTTCCTACGCTGGCTTTGGCTCCGCAATTCTTTCTATAACCATTGGGTTAAGCTAACAGGATACCCAGGTATCAATGCTATATCACCTTCTTGATGCTTAACTTTACTGCTATTAAAAGCTTCCTTGTCGGGGGCACCACAGCATTCAGGCAGCATGACGTGAATCTTTCGAAAACTTGTATCGAGATCCTTGCTTTATGTGCTACAAAAGACAGGATAGCACGTAGCTTCTACACACGGGTCACGAAGTATCAAAGCCTCATAAGAGAGTACCTGCCAGAACCCAAGCAGGACACGCAAGAGCACCTTAGTTCCTACGAAGACGGACCGTCAGACGGCGACTCGTACCTATTTGTCGAATCTGACGGCGACGTCAGCCTTCATGACCTGATGTACGAGCTACGAGAGCTGCTTTGCTATCCTCTTACACTCTTGAAGAGTAGTTCTTATGCCAACATGCCGTATCCTACTATTTTTGAAGCATCTGTCAACACTGATATTAACTTTGCTCATCACCTCGCTTCACCGTTTAACATGGCCGAGGATGAGGTTCCGAGTGGCCTGTTCCCGCCTGAGGATAGCCTCAAGGAGGGGCATGACATGACTGAGGGGTATCTAACTGGCTCTGTACCTTTTGGATGGGATGCCTCTGCGTGGGGAGGAGATCCTGGAGTTGGAAGCCCAAATTGTACTTGAGTAAAGGAAATCATATTGTATTGTCCGTATATCTTAATTCGTCTTCTACACTTGCCACCACATTATCGCTTGGCAATGATGTTCTGTAAGGTATCTATAACGGCCTGAATCTCTTCGACTGCCAGGGGTCAGTAGTGCAATGTCTCATTTCCACAGGACTTACGAGTATTGTAGTGCGCCATGCTCACTCGAACGACGCCGTCGTTTGTATCAAGATCGAGAACATCCTTCACCAAACGATGAGAGTAAAAGTGGCCATGCTTGAGGCCGAGATTCGAGTTGGCTTCGATAGCTGCTACGACACTTCGAGAGTTCCATCCATCAATGGTGAAGCTGACGATAGGTAATCGCTTGCTGGGATCCGAACTCGGTTCTCCGTAAATCGTTGCGTCTTCCCGTTTGGTCAAGTAGTCAAGGAGTAATTTTTGGATTCCTGTTTCTTGCTGAATACTCTTATCCCAGCTCTCAGCAAGAAGATGGTCTACCACGACGGATATACTTGCTATCAGCTCATAGCTTCCAGCAGAGAATCCAGCCTTGTCTGAAAGACTCTCAGCGGGGTTAAAGTAGTGACCGAGTGGGCGAATCTGTTTTTGAGCCTCACGACTGCCGTAGAGCATCGCGATATGAGGGCCAAAGACTTTATACCATGAGAGACAGTAGAAGTCAACGCCCAGGTCTTTGACGTCGATGGGACGGTGAGGCGCATATGCTACTCCATCGACACAAACGAGAACATTTGGATACTCGTGAGCAGCCGCAGCGATGGCCTTGACGTCGTGGATTGATCCAAGCAGGTTGGTGCAATGAGTCATGGCAAGGAATCTCGTCCTGTCGGATAGAAGCGGCTTTAGACTCTCAACTGTGAGCTTGGGGTTGTTGCCTTGACCCTCTGGATTCCACCACTTGATGTTTAGTCCTTGTCTCTCAGCTAAATCTAGCCATGGTGCGATGTTAGCCTCGTGGTCAAGAGTGGACACGATGATCTCGTCGCCTTGAGCAAAGGTGAGGCCCAGTGAGAGGTTGCGTAGCAATTGAGTTGAAGAGGCGCCATAAACTAGATTATCCGTAAGTTGAGTATCCTGTGTCGATCTAGCGGAGACTTCGAGTACCAATTTCATCAGGCAGTGCATTGATGTATCGTGCAGCCGCTTCGTAGCCCTTGTTCACTTTCGTTGCTGAGAGTTTGCCTACACTATACGAGGCGCCCATCTGCACATTCGAGGTGATGAGGTAATCTCTGACTCTGGAACAAAAGTCAGAAGAGAAGGGCTTTCAGACTTATACCATAACATACGAGTCAGCTGCAGCCCCAAGAATCTGACTCCCGCCAGCATTGTCGAGAAATACTTGATCCTGCTGAAGAGCCGGGAACTTTGCCCGAAGCGCCTTGATGTCAAGCTGCGATTGAGACATCACGTCAGTACTTGTATTCAGAGCACAATTATATTTAGGTCTCTTGTGCTGAGATGCATTGGATCAAACGAAATGGAGTCCAGGTTGAAGCTCGAGGAGATAAGACGGAGCGGGGTAACATTATACTATCTCGACCCCCGTAATTATGATGCAATTCTTCGGAAGGGATAATGCAAACAAAAGAGGAAGGTGAGACAAACGTAGCAGCTTAGGTAGCATCAACACTATTAAGATACAGAGGGCAGTTGTTAAGTAAAGAAGCATTAAATATAAAGCGGTAAAGACATAAAGTCGTTAGTAAAGTGGGCTTTACTGGTAATAAAGACCATATCTTAATTGGACTCAATTGGCTAGCTATCTACACTTATCTTCGAGTTTAGACCACCAGAATTCATCGGTGTCGAACTGGGCAAAGACAAGTTTCTCGGGGTCATAGTCAGAGGCGTCGGCGTGTGTTTCATAGAATTCCTTTATTTTGTGACAAGGAGTGCACCATGTTGCAGTTGCAGACAGGATGACGAAACGGTGTCTTTTTATAAGGTCATGGTACTCGGACTGGCTGTGGACTGTGGTAATAGGCATCCTGATGGTGGTAATGTCAGATTTAAAGATGGGAGTGGGCGATTGAACAACTTCAGGGGATGAGGGGGAAATGTACGCGGATTTCAGGTCAATTTATGTTCAGTAGCAGCGACGCTCAGGCCGCCAAAAAGTTGCAGGGGTTTCGGTGCTGCATCAGACTACTGCATCAACTCATGAAATTCGGTAGTCCCTGTAGGTACTTACTAGCCTAATAGAAGCTATCTAATTAGCCAGGATATCAATAAGGATCTAATAGCTAGTTAAATAGCCTTATTGGTTAGATGAACGAAGTAGCTTTGCCTAGCATATACCCACAGGGACTACCGAATTTCATGAGTTGATGCGGTATTTATTTTGCTATCCTCTGTAGCCAATTGGAAGTAGAAATGCAGCAGCTGAAAACACGAAAGTGTCTAAGTGCGTGTTTTTCACCTGAACTGATGTGGTGCATGCTAACTCCTTCAAGTTGTAAGTATGTAGTTACATGTCCCTTGAGAGAATAAAGTAATTATAAGGTATTTGTTTCTCACTCACCAACCTCTCTATCAATATCCCAATGTGCATACTTCATAATACCCCAACTAAGTGTGGCAACTCTAATCTTATGACCCCAGAAGAAGAGAGGAATCCAAAAGATTAAAACACCACCACAGATCGCACCCATAATTCCATAGGCAGTTTGGTGACCAGCTTCATTGACCCAGGGGTTGGTGTAAAAACCAAGCAAGAAACCAAAAGCGGATTTGAAGGCGAGCTGGGTGACAACGATTTCGCCCGCAATTGGTCGATAGCAATCAATAGTGTATACGAGGGAGATATTGGTTGCTTGGGTGATACAGAAGTTGACTAGATCATTATCAGTAAATCTGGTTAAAGAACGATTGAGATTGGAGCAAAACTCACTTAGGCCAATGCCGATAGTTGGCACAATCCAGTGCATTTTGTGCTCATACCAACACCGTAGAGAACGAGTGCCAATGGTCCGCAGACTACGCTGAGCATAATCGCTGGTAGACGGAATTCGGGTTCACGAATGCCACCGTTACGACGGGTGAAGATCTCAGCAACCCAGTCAGAGAACGAGCCGCCCAGGAACATGCCAATAAATGCACCGATAACAGCGGCAAAGAACGCCAGACCAGACTGCCAAGCTTCAAACCCGTAAGCGGTGGCAAAAGCGGGAGCCACATTCGAAGTGATGGCGGTGATGAAGCCAATGGTGACCGACATGACGAGCGTAGCCCAGAGGACGGGAGGTAAAGCCAGGAGCATCACTGGGCGAACTATCATCTTCCAAAGTGATTCTTCTGTGAAGGTGCCGTTGTAAAGCTTGAGTCCGCTCCACAAGAACTCAGAGACTTTGGGTGTAGGCCTGAGCGAACGGCGGACTTCTGCGTGCTCTGCTCCAGCCTTGGTGTCGGCGTCATCAGCATCTTCACAGGCAAGAAGCTCTGGTTTTCTGATGTAGGCAGTTTCTGGGAAGGTCAGGTAGACCAGAATAGTGACAAAGCCAATGATAGCTATAGCAACATAGTAAATGTACCTCCAAGGGTGGTATCGAACGATAAAGCCATCGAAGGTTGAGCGAGGCGGTATAAGCACTACAATAACAGATGATATTAGTGAACCCATTCGGAACATGTTCTAGAATGTTGGGAATATCTTACGCAGTCCATGTTCCACGTTCGTGAAGGAAGAACAAGTCGGCAATAGTCACAGAAGCAAGACATTCGACTGCACCAGCCGCAATGCCCATCATAATTCGAGCAACAAGAAAGTTGGCGTATTGCTTAGCCACGGCACACCATACAGCCGTAATTGTGTATAAGGTGAAAGCACAAACATACACCGGTCGACGTCCATACTTGTTAATCAACGGCATCCAAAAAAGGTTTTAGAGACCCTGGAATAAGGCAGTGCAGTTAAAAAAGTAGGCCGTCTTGGCGATGGGTCCGTCGAGGCCAGTCTTCTGCCAGTCAGGAAAGAAGTCTTGGGCAGTCTCAACAATAGCAAGGGTCGGTCCGGCAGCAAGGAAGTTGCACATGAGAATAGCTAGACACACGGCAATTGCTGTGTGTGTTTTGAACCATCTTGGCCTGTTGTTAATTGTTAGAAGCTATGTTTATCATCCTCATTTGAAAGCCTTCCGACTAGGCTCCGCAGAGAAACTTAGAATAGATTGCAGACGAACCAGTTCAAGGGATCCTTGGGGTCCGAAGACGGAGTTGGCACCAGAATGATCTCTTGGGTATCGATATGGCGGAGGCGTACATGGCCAAGAGTGGCAACATTGGTATCGACCTCCTTGATGTCGTCTGCTGTCACCTGACAAGCCGACGTAATTGCACCGTCGTGAGTCATGGCGAGTGTGTCTTCCAGTGAGGACGAGATTGGCAGGTAGGTGTTATTGTTGTGGTTTGTCAAAATGGTTAAATCCAGAGATGAAGATGAATTTAGGATAGTTAAAGGAGTAAAGAAACTATAGGCGTAACGGCTGGTTGACTCCAGCAAGCAGCAGTTGGCCGGGTTGTCAGCTTCTATAGGTCTCTCTCGTGCCACCGTAAGATTTTGCAGATACAGGCTGTCATTTACTGTTATAATATATGCAATGATAGCGCTAGGCAAATTCCCTCCATTCGTCGGAACGGTTTCGGGACCCCCTCCAGCTCGAGCCAGTAGGTAGTATTATTGACTCGCCCTTCCGATGTGGAGTGCTATAGATACCTACGCGGGAGAGGAGTGTTTTTGGACATGAGTCAGTGGACAGAAACAACTGTCGTGGCTAATTTATATCGGTGATATCATATTGGCCTCATGTAGCAGAATATCAAGGGTAACAAAATAACTTAGACAGTCTCTCCTCCGACATATGTCCAAAACCCCCTCCCGTTATGCCATATGGTAGCATCAGCTACCTAACCTGCATCCTCACCGTCAGTCCGTTCTCACGTATGCCGTTAAATTACCCCGCACTTTTTCCCCAGGTTTTGTCCACACTAGAGTTACCCGTTAGTGCAATCCATGTCGATCTGCCCGCATTTCCGAATAGCTTCACAAGAAGTCTCGATCGAGACCCGAGGCCCCTCTCAACAACCCTGTCCGCTTCCAACACTCCGCAATCAATATATGCACTTGAACCTCTTTATCTAACCTAATCTTGGTAGACTGGATGATTGCTGGTATAGTGAGACTTGATCAGCCAATTAAGCTTGCAGTATAACAAATCCAAACCGCGTAAGCTTGCAATTTGAGGAGTCGGCATGTGGGGAAATTCAATCCTAATAATTTCGGCTTCTTAGAGAGGAACATTTTCGTATAGATAAAGGCTGGTAATTAGCAAGTAGTATAAATCGTAGCGATGTCATCATGAATCAGGAGCAGTTATTACCAATATTGCATTAGTCACTGCTCAGCTGCCTTAGCATACCTTCATCACCTGTTTACGCAACTGCGCAAGCGACATGTTGTCTCCAACCATTCTCGTGGCGTTCTCTACAGTGGTTCTGGCCACTGTGAAGCTCCAGGATCCTTCCGATATCATTCCTGCGTCTGACTGGGCCGCTGATAACGCCCTCATTGCTGATTACAATGCCCCGTTCCCAGCAAACGGACAGCCAGAGGACTTTGAGTCTCTTGTGTTTGTCTCGGGTAGTTGGAATGTACACGATACTAATGTACCCGCGTGATGGATAGTGGTCGGTGTGCACGACATCAAGGACAAGTCTGTTTCAGTCGACCATGTCACTTGGCATGCCACCAAGAACGATACCAGTGTCGTTCTGGTCTCCAAGAATGCTGACTTCGCTGCTTCTTATTCTACTTTCGTTAAGTCTGGATACTACTCGAACTAGAACTGGGCCAGCTTCTATGGCTTTAATGCCGCCGTCAACGTTGTAAGTTTCTTCCTCTCAATCCCTCGAAGGCGTCATTGGTACACAGCTGGCATCCTGTTCTACAAGGCAAATAAATCTGTCGCCGTCCTCGATCATGTTAACATCACCGTTCATAACGGCGCTGCTAATGTATACTCATACGGGACAGGCACCGTCGTCAACGTGACCAACAGCTGGCTGTATTCCAGTGGACCCGTGAGCCATGGCCTCTATGCATCTGGAAACGGCACCATTCATGCCAAGAACCTGCAACACTACTCCGGAGGCCATCGCTCTAGCGCTTTCTCGGGAGACAGTCCAGCTGGCTACATTTATGTCGAGGATTCTGTCTCGCGCGTTCGTGGAATCGGCTCCGCAACCTACTATGCTCTTGGTGAGATCCATGCAACCAACGTTGCATCTGTCGCGGAACAGGGACCTGTCGTCTTCTCAGACGGGAAACAGAAGATCTATCTCAAGGACTGTTCGGCTCAGGCCGGTCTGCTCGGCGGCGCTGTCCTCTTCAGCAGCTCCGTGCGTCGTGCTGGTGCAGTGCTAGATCTCGAGGATACCACTATCACTACCACCGGCAAGACCATGCCCGGCTTGTGGTTTGGCAACGTCATTGCTGATGCCAGACTCAAGAGCGTGCACTGAACACTGCTTCTGGAATTCTTGCGGTTGCCAACATGTCTCAAATCACCCAGGACTTTAACTACTATGGTGGTTATATCGACAACCCGTCAATGGAGCCGGCAGAGGTCAGCCTGAAGGTTCTGGAATCGTCTTTGTCTGGTGATCTTGTTGCATACAATAAGAGCTCTATTTCCCTGTCCCTTGGACAACACAGCAGCTGGAAGGGAGCTGCCCGAGTGGGATACAAGTCGGCTTCCTTTGGTGTCTCTCTTGACGCCAGCAGCAAGTGGACCCTAACTGCCGACACTACTCTCCAGAACTTCACTAATTCGGACACCTCTAACAATAACATCCAAAGCCGTGGATATAACATCTACTACAACTCTTCTGCCTCTGCAAATAAGTGGCTCAAGAGTCGTACTATTAAGCTCTCTGGTGGTGGAAAGCTTGAGCCAATTAAGAGCAGAATGGGCTATTGATTAGGGAGATAATTACTACCCATAAGGCTAAGCTTTGGGCTATAAGTATAGGTAGTAAATAATGATATAATCTTTTCCCTGATATGAGCCTAAACGATAGTGACGGATAAGAGTCAAACCTCTGGATTGTTGTACTGCTTAAACAGCTACTATTGATATGTTGAGGGAGCGTTCTCACCTACACGAAGACTTACGCCGCTCACTATCAAAGAACTCTCGCTAAGCAGCCAGACAACTGCTCGCGCGATATCCCCAGGCTGAACAGTCGATGATAACCCTCTCTTCTCCATGATTTGGTCCCGCATTCCTGGTGCAAGCCTTCGAAAAACTCATCCGACATATGAGTGGTTGTGTTTCCTAGGCACTGGGTTAGCCAACTGCAACGCATTTTCATATAGGCATCAGACTTACTGGGCAATACGCCATTGACCAGAATACCATAGGGGAAGACAACTTTGGCCACATTCATGGTAAAGTGCTCGCATCCGACCTTGCTAGTCGTGTAAGCATATAGAGCTCCTCCATGGTTGATGGCACCCATGCTTGACACATTTACAATCGCTAGGTTACTTCCTTTCTCCCTACTCACCATGGCGCGCACCTAAGCGCCCGTGCAGTAAATTACGCCATCCAAGTTAACGATCATAATCTTGGGCCAGAGGTCATCAGTTTCCCCCAATAGATTGGTTGTCTGGGGGGGCTGTAATGTTGGCTGAGCCATGTAGCCCGCCTGATTTGCTAATGATACGCTCAATCAAGCTATCGAACTGCTTCTAGTCTGATACATTGACGGCTTCTAGGTGAACGTCTGTAGAACTGTTAGGTGCTGTGATTCCTCTCTTGCATCGTCGAATCTGGCCGTCTGGGGGTCTGTAATCCAGACAGCGGCGGCGCTATGGCGAGCCAAAAGACCGACAGTGGCTAGGCCCATACCTGACGCGCCTCCGATGACGCTGAAGACGCACTGTCAATCCATGAAGTCCTTTCGAGCTTCGTATCACAGCGTGTTGTTGTGCGTAATGATTCGTGCTGAGTAGCTGTCACTGTCGCTGTGAATCAAGCATCACTCTCCCAGGCGTAGATTCACAAGCCACTCTGGGGATTGATTCAGCTCTCTGCCCCTCTGAATCCTAATTCTCTTGACTCCATTAGAGATATAAACACAAGCATTAGAGGGGGAGATGGGAGCCTCAGACTACCAATCTTCACACAACTCAACAATACCACCTTCTTTCAACAGCTTTCCAGCACCTCAAAACGGACACATTAAACGAATCATTTCCCCATCAACCTCAGTCCATTTTATTGTGCTATTTCCCAACACACATTCACAAAGCAACCCAAGTATAAACTCAAGCAAATACAGTCAGCCTTGACCTTTACATACTTCGAAACGACTATCCCCAGCCACCAAGCCTAGATAATATCGCTTTAACACTAGCTGGCCTACAGATTACCCTTCAAAATGTGCCAAACAACAAAACGAACCGTCACTTGTGAGAAGTGCGCTTACATACTTGAGGATGAGACCTCGACCAAGCCCTGCGACGGCTTAACAAAGAAGGGGAAGTGCAGCGGCAAGTTGCCGGATATAAATGATAAGTTGACAAAGGATACGGATACCTGCCCGGATTGCACAAAACGTAAGCCCATTGCTGCAAGGGCAGCTTGAATGAAGATGACCGGGATCAGTGGAAGGAAACTTTTGCGCCAGATGATAGCTTAGGGCAGACAGGGAATTGAAGTTCAAGGACTACAGCTACATGATCATGTGATGAATTCAGGCATGCCAATGATAAATTGATGTACTACTGAGTTAGTTCAAGACACTTGACAAACCTGGTGGAATTAGATTGCAGAATCACCCAAGTCAGGAGTGCTCAGCTCTGCAAGCCAATCATACAGGATTCCAGCTTCTGCGAACCCTTAATTGCTGCATTAAGGTCGCGTGACAACCCCTCTCTCACTGGCAAGCATTAACAACACTTCATATGCTGCAATTATTCATCAAGCTGCCTGCGGCGGCTTACAGATCTATGGGCCTGTGATCGTCGCCTTGTGCTCCGCTGTGAATGAGAAGTCATTATTCTCCTCGGTTGCATGCCTGCCTTGCTCACATTCGCTTACAGGACTGATTCAAACCCAAATGATGCGGGTCCTCTTTTCCAAGACAGGTATTCACAATGGTCGCCGATGTGGCTACCTTTGTACTTAAGGAAGGTGACTGAGCGAACATCATGGCCATCTCATTATCCCCAAATCACCTTTTGATCACCCTGAAGCTCAGACGACTCAACAACTCAACAACATCACTGAACATCCCTCCCAACAGCAGAAATGTGCGTCGGTCAAGTTAAAGTCGAGATGTGCAAAACGTGCCATAGGAAGTTGAGGGAGAAAATCACCGTGGCAGGAGGCTGCGATGAGATGCACCGAACTGGAAGGTTTTGTCGTCGGGGGAATTGGCCAGAAGAAGATGTGTGGCGAAGCAAGAGGCATTGCAGTCATTGCACTCCTCCGAAGTACAATGGCGGGGATTGTGGAGATGGAGGATATTTGCTTTGCTTCTTGTGTGGGATGTGTGCCCAGTGCTGAAGCTTCTATTTATCACGCAAGCTCATAGGATCAGCTGCATAACGTTCTTACAGTGCGTCACAAGACAACTACTTACTTTTCATAAATGTCACTCAAGAAACGCCGAGACAAAGGATCAATAACTCAACGCAATTCAATGTACATCCTTCTTCCTGAAGCATTGTTCCCATGCGCCGAGAAAGTCACGTGGTGAATGGTATGAATATATAACCAGAACCAGAGACCTGGTGTTTTGCTTCTACCATTCTCTAATATCATCATTCCACAGTAACCCAATACCTACACTACTTTATACTCTATCAAATAGCCCTTTCAACAGCAATAATGTGCACAGTTCATATTACAGTTAAAGAGTGCAGAATTTGCCATTTTGAGATCAATAAGACTCATGCTGTACCTGTGCCCTGCAAGGAAGTCACAGAGGGGAAAGCCTGTAAAGGTACCAGATACCGATACCATACGCAAAGGGAGCATGAGAGATCCTGCCCTCCGTGCATCAGGAGGAAATCTGGCAGGTAAAAGAAGACACGTCGGTGGATCGACTCAATAGGCAGGATACTGCATGTTGGGTCATTGCTAGTGTATAAGCACCGTTTTTGAACAATATCAGGATTTTCTATTCGACGGTCACCGTCTCGTTGCATAACTAACCTCTAAGTAACTCCAATACAGACCATTTACGATGTTGTACATATGGAGGCTGTAACCTAATCTAAAAGCCTGTCTTTCATTTGTAGATGGCTTATCTAAGAGACGTCACGCCGCCCCTCGTGTTGAATCAACGATACTTACGCACAAGACAGTTGAGATAGGCGAAATGGTACGACTAGAGACCTAACAATTTACTCCTATCATTCTCCTACATGGGCATTTCAAACCTTGATTTCCTCTATTGCAAAGTGCTTTGTGTTAGTCTAAGTTTCCAGCCACGAGTCTCAACGGCAAACAGTACATGTACCTCACGACGTAGACATTGCACCATATCCCTTGACCAATTTCTACAGCGTCAAGCTGCCCCCTTAAGTGCATGCCTGTGTTGTTCACCTTAGGTGCAGGTTGACTGATTCATAGCATTGCAATAGTGAGTGATTTGCCATGTCTCAGCAGTATTCTCACACATTCACAAGGTATTTGGCAAAACGGTTTAGTAATTAAGTACTTAACGAGAGCCAGGCCTTACAATCTAGTCTCCATCATTCTCCTAGAACCTCAATTTCCGACCACACCAACACCTAATCCATTATGCACTACGCTGCACTACACTACACGTCCTTCCCAATCGCGAATATGTGCACAATCCGCTCAGTGGTCAAGAAGTGCGGGACATGCAAGCGACAAATCAAGCAGGATTTCGCAGCACCCGAGCAATGCGACAGCTACAAGGAAGGGAAAGGCTGTCCCAAGATCAATCACCCCGACCCTACTTTCAGGTGGCTGCAAAAGAAGCACTGCCCCTATTGCCAGAAAAACGATAAGAAGTGAAAAGGGTCATGTGGGCCAGTTGGGTCGAGGAGCCTGATACTGCGCGTTGCCTTCAACTACCAAGTTAAATACCATTATTGAATCGCGTCTGGATTATTTATGTGACTTCGCTGTATCACAATGTAACATGTCTCCGATTAGCAACTTCAAAGTCCGTTTCAGGTGTACCGCATCACCAGGGCCGCCTCGCAAGTCTTCTAATTGTGAATAGCCGGTGTGGGAAGGCTTGGACCGCTACTTGCGTTGAATTAATGATACTTAAGTTGGAACAATGTCGAGAAGTGCAGCTCATAAGAGTGCAGAGAGAAGCACCTCATATGTTCACCATCACTCAAACAACGGGATCCCCAGGCTATAAATTAAAGGGATATCCCACCCAGCGCCGCCACCTTCCCGCACCACTGTTTCCCCTAATACCACTTTATCCAGGCCGCTATCCACCTCAAGCTGAAGCTTCAACTCCAAGATGTGTGTCGTTCCAGGCACGGTGGTGATCTGCAAAACATGCGGTGATGAGATCACAAGAATAATGCATACTCTTCAACCATGCCAGAGATATCTAGAAAAGGGACGCGACGCTTGTCGAGGGATAAAACATCAATTGACAGGTAACAGGTTCCATGAATGCAGTCCTTGCGTAGAACGGAAAAAGGAAGACAAATGTATTGTCTGTGGATCTGGCAGCTAATCCATGTGGTTAGCTGTCTCGTAGGAGGATGAGATGTGCAACTGAATACTTCAGCAGTAGTTAGCTACGCAAATATGACCTGGCGGAATGAAGCCCAATCTCATGCGCGACAGAATGTGTGATCTCTGTGCTGAGAGCTGTGACAAGATGGGCACACTATTAGTGGCAAGATCCAATATTGAAACAAGGTTTGAATAAGACATAAGGACGAACATACTGAACCATTCTGCGAATGCACGTCTGTTAGACCCATAGTCCAAGATATGTTCCTTAACTATTCACTGCCACGTAAGGACTATATATTACATCGACAGAATTTCGAAGGCCCCACTCTTTCCTTCAAGTACCATAATTACTTCAGTAGTAACACAGTCCGAATTAATACACATATAACAACCAGGTATCTTTTCCCATCACTCACTCGAGATGTGCACCACCAAACGAGACGTTTACAAGTGCAACGTCTGCTTTTACGTTCTCAACACGACTTTCGAGCCTACGATAATGTGTGAGGGCTACAGAAATAATGGTGTCTGTACCGGGGTACATTACCCAACTTCAGTGGAGTACACGACGAACAATGACCGATGCCCAATATGTATTGCCAACAAGAAGAAAGACAAGAAATAGACTAAAGGATGGTAGCAGGATTCCAACATCTGCTGTGGTAGACAGGGCCAAGCTATTGCTTTTCTTTTAGGGATGGAGAAACACCATATGTTATATACGTAATGTACTTTTATCTAATTAATATTTAGTTACATCTCAACTGACGAACCGTCGCAGTCAGCCCTGGGACCTCCGCCTCTATCTATGTTCTCGATCTTATGTAATTATCTTCTGGGTGATAGACTACACCTTTGCCATCAGCTTCTTGTTGATCCTCAACCGTAGGATAACTGTTAGAACAGTAGCGATGGCTGACATCGAACCAGCGTAGAACATGGCAGGTCGATATGCGCCCAGCCCCTCATCTGCACCTCCATGAGCTTGAAGCAGGAAACCAGCGATAGGAGATCCCTGTAGATATCGCGTTAGTCTTCCCACGATAGAATGGTAGATGGACAGTGAACTTACAAAGAGGTAGCCAGCAACCCAGCCAACAATCACCATGCCCATAGCTGTTGACACTCTGGCAGATCCGAAGACGTTACCGACAACAGTAGGCATAGAAGAAAAGAATCCACCGTTCATCAAACCATTAAGCACTGCGAAGACAGCCAGGGGTGCGAGAGTCGTTGATGCAGGCCAGAGGGCGAGCATGGTAAGAGAGTTACCGAGGAAGAAGGCCGCAAGAGTATTCAACGGCCCGAATTTATCGCAGAGATATCCACTCATGATCCGTCCTACAGCAGATGCAAAACTGAAGCCTGCGACAAGTCCAGCACCAGTGTTTGTACTCAGACCCATAGATCGAGAGTAGAGGGGAAGGAAATAAGGAGGGACGAGAAGAGGGAAGATACCGATGCCAGCGGCAAAGAAGAGGATCGCAAAGTTGAGCTGTCGGAAGAGTCTCCAGTCAACAATTCCGGTCTTGGCCAGAGGCACCCTCTCTTGGATCAGAAGGGCAGCTGGAAGTCCCGAAACAGCGATGAGGATGCCCGTGATACGAAAGGCCCATTCAACACTGTGTTTCTCAATAAGAGAGTTGGTTGCAATACTCATAATTGCACCTCCAAAACCGCCACCAGCATAGACGATACCATTGGCCAGACCCCTCTTCTTTGAGAAATACTGCGCCGGAACGAGAGAGAACGACATAAAGCAACCCGCCATACCAAGACCAAGAGGAATACCAGGAAGAAATATCAATCCAACAAGATGATCCGTAACAAAGCTCGCACCAATGAGCGAAAGCGCCATGAGGATAATCCCCGCGCTGCTGAGTTTGCGTGTCCCAAACGTTCGTAGCATTCTTGACACGATGACACCAACAGTCGCCATCAAAGCAGGTGACAGCGAGCCGCAGAAGGACAAAGCCAGAGGCGATCCAACGTTCCGCTCAACAAGGGCATTTTGATAAACGCCCCAGACGTAGCTGAGTCCGATAACCCACCATGCGACGACGGCGCAGGCACCGATTACGACCCAGCCGTACCCGCCGTCGGGGACGGTGCTATCAGCGATGCGCGAGGCTTCGAGTGCCGGGTCATCGGATTCTGGATTGCTTGGGGACGTGTTTTCAGCGAGACCGGCTCTTGTTGGACGGAGGTTCGAGGAGGTGCTGGGTTCGTAGGTTGCGCCGTTGCCGTAGGCTTCGAGCTGGACGGCTGTAGTCGTCGACATGATGTTGTCGCAGCCGGGGGTACTTCGGTGTTTAGCGAAGCTGTGATGGCATGCGCCCTTTTATGGCCTGATGATGTGTGCATGAATTGGAGAAGAGAGGGAGTTTAGTGGCTTGGGAGATATTTATCCTTAGTGTCAACTGAAGGGCGCGGGTTACATCATCAGTCACGCCCAGAATTGCCAAGGCTGCTGAAAGAGTTCAAACTCATCACGTTTTCCCGATTTGTCAGACACATCAACTCTGTTTGTTCTCATCATACAGAATTACTCTTAAATGAGCTAAAGAGAGTGAGCGCGAGCGATAATCGTAGTAAGTTCATGTGCTTCACTGAAGCAGCTGGGGATTTTGGCGCGAAGGATGAGGCGTCAAAACAAGGGCGTGGGGTAATTTACCGATTGACTCATCTACCCATATCACCCTTCGGCTTCAAAATGCTATCCTTGAGCCCTAAAATCAAGCCTAGTCTTCAGGTTTCATTGGTAGTACCGCCATTCTATACAAAGAATTTGGAATATCTCTCATTCCCTGCGTCAGCTAGCGAAGACAAATGGCCAGTTCAGATACGTCTTCTCCCGAGAGCCCTTTATAAGTGGGCGGTTAGCGGTGTCTTATGCCGAATGAGCGTGCAAAGTTTATACAGGAGGATGAGGAGGACGAGGAGAAAGCGAAAGGTGTCGAGGAAGCCATTTTTTACTGCCAGATTGACCTATTGGCCTCATTGCCCGTATCGGGGAGGCGTGAAATGCGCCACGTCATTGCTTTACAGCTAATGCACGCCATACTGTCGGTGAATCTGCTTGTCAGACGGTACACAGGAAAAGTTGCGTACTGAATCTTCAAACGCTGAAATCACATGGAGGGTTGGGGGAGTTAAAAAAGTATATCTTTTACTCTGTAGGGATTGGTGATACATTTGGGCATTTATATGTAATAGACTGTTAACCTTTTCATTACATGCGTGATGCAATGCCTTGCAACTGCAAGTCGGTTATCTTGCTGTCTTAGATTAATGTCTCAGGACCCCCTCTTCAATGAACTATATAAAACTAGCTTGTTCCTCCACCGAGACAGTCTACCTCAGCTTTTCACGTCTTTACCGTACACAAGCATGGGAATCGTTAAAGCGTTTAATATGGGGGATCATCACGACCACGACGAGCTTCTAAGTCTCCCGTTTGAAGGCTCTGGTGCTTTGATTCCGTTGACACGATTATATCACCCACCATCTCCGCACAAAGTACATCCAGGAGCAGACTCAGTCATTGAGCAGGTTCAGCAATGGCTGTACACGCATCTTGAGCAACTGGGCGCTGAGAAGCTCATCAAGGGCATCGTCAACGAGACAGCATCCATGTGCACCTACCTCTACCCAAACGCCGACGATGAAGGAATCTTTCTCGCCACAGGCTTCATGACTGTGCAATTTATCAATGACGACATCTTTGATAGCGCTGCTATTCTCAAGGCCATTAAGGCGACTCCGTCGGGACAACGTCTGGCTAGGGATCTTCAGAAGATGCGCGATACTCCACAGCGGATGGCAGACGGTATTTTATCCGCTGCGCGTATAATGGAGAATCCTGAGGCATATGCAGAGTGCCGCGAGGTGGTTTCGGACTTGGAGACAGACCCGTTCCTTCTGGGAGCTATACACGGGCTTTCGACGCGTATGCACAGCCGCGGCCGACGCATCAATAAGGAGCGCTTTGAGGTCTGGCTGGCCAAATCATGCACTGCCATGAAGGACTTTGGCAAGTCTCATGCCCTGATCTACAGTGAAGCGAAAAACATGACCGTCGAAGAATACGCAGACCACAAATTGAGGAATTCTGGAATGATCTACACCGTTCTATTCGTCGAGATGGCAATGGGTACCTTTCTTTCTAAGCAGCACAATGCTATTCCAGAAATCCGTCAGATGCAGCAGCACTCCGAAAAGATTGGCTCATTACTGAATGAGATTTTCTCATATGAGAAAGAAACATTTTTGGAGAATACAAATAATCTACTCGCCGTGCTGGTGCGTACGGAGAAGATTAGTTTATATGAGGCCGCGAGACGAGTCGTACAAATGTCACAGAGACATGCCCAGGAGGTGAAGCGCTTGCGGATTGAGATTGAAGCTGAGTGTGGTGACGATAATGGAGAAAATGCTATCCTGAAGGCGTACGTCGCGGATATGGAGCTGTTTGGTGCGGCGTGTTGGTTTTGGCAACTTCAGGGCACGAAGCGATACTTCTCCAAGACGTCGCCATTTGCTGAGCTGCGACTGGAGGCAGAAGCTGAGGATGCATATCAAAGTTGCTCCTACTAACTCAAATAACTTACGAAACTAGCCACTATCAGTATACACAAGCCCAAAGGTCAAGAAGGTTAATTCTTCTCATTTTCGCGTCTCTTTGACAGAGTGTTCAACTGAGAACTTCTCGAAGCAGGTTTCTGTGGTTTGGTGAGTCGTCAAAATAAAGGCGCGGGCGCGTCATCTCACTTATCTTACCCTCCATTTCACTCAAATGTCATCATATTTAGTATCTGGCCACCTGCTATGTATAAATAAGGTGATTTCGCACCCTCTTCTTCACTTTTCTTTTCAATTTTCATCAATCTACCTCATATTTTCCCTCCACTTTTGATACCTAAAACTCAAACTCACTTGAGACCTCACAATGACCTCATCACACGACCCTACAACTTTGACTCAAAGCTTTCACTACGAAACCTCAACGCACAGCTATGATGTGAAATGGGGCTCGTTGGGTGACCCCAAGTCTCCTCCTCTCATTTTTATCCATTCATGGAACTCCTTGGTCATCTCGCGTCTGGGTCCCGTTCGCCCACTCACTGTCGCGTCAGTTTCACGTGTATCTCTTCGATAGAACCTGGTTTCGGCGACACGCCTGCAGAGAAGAAATTAGACCCGACAAAAGCAAGCTCAGGCGCAATTGAAGAGTACGATAGTAACCTCGCGCGACAAGCAGAGGTAGGTGTTCACTGCGCTCTTCAAGTCCTGGCAGGCAGACTGGACTTATGAGAAGGCCCACATCGTCGCCCACGACAATGCCGGTCTCGTCAGTTTACGAGGCTATATTCTCCATGACTTACCATATGCAAGCCTCTGTCTTATCGACGTTGTCGCGATCGGCCCATTTGGTCAACCTCTCTTCAAAGTCATCGCTGAGAACCCCAAACTCTTTGAACAACTACCTGATACAGCTTTTGGAGGCATACTAGAGAGCTACATCAGCGACGCAGCATACTACGAACTGCCCAAAGAGACCATGCAGATGCTTAAAGAGCCTTGGCTGCGAGAAGGTGGAAAACGAGGCTTCATTCGCGAATTGTGCCAAGCCAACTCCAGATCCACGGAGGAAGTGGAGGCGAGATATGGAGAGGTTGGGCCGAAGCTGCCAATCAAGATTAACTATCTGGGGAGCTGATGATAAGTGGCTTCCCGTGGAGGTTGCGCACAGATTGGGGAACGCGTTAAAGGCCAGGGAGCTTATCGTTATCGATAAGGCTGGTCATCTTAGTATGATTGATCAGGGAGCACGTGTTGGAGTTGAGTTGGGCTTGTGGCTTAGTGCTGCTTTGAATAAATAGTAATGAGACTGTAATTCATTTACCATTATTAGGTTGATTATTTATCTAATCTTTCGTTGAGAATACTTTCGTGGTCAAAGTGAGTCGACGTGAGAACAATGTGACATGCACTTTTACGTGGAACATCCAAGACGAAAAGTGAAACAGCATCCATCATTGGTTCATTAGTCACGTGTCACACGTCACAGTCACTAATTCCTTCATCGCCAAATATAGAAGTGAGGTAAATTAAATATAAAACATAAGTCATATCTCTATTATGGCATTATTTGTCTCCCAAATGTTGTGAACTGGATGTTGCTTTCTACCTTGTCGCGATTTCTAGAGCATTACCCTACACCAACTGACTCAGCGGCCTTGACCAGACTAGGTCTAGTCCAGCTATTTTTACTGCAGGGACACACCAAGTCTCGGGCTCCCGGACATTGATCGAAGGCACCCGAAGCCATGTGTCACTCGATCTGTGCTACTCCAACAAGGCTACGGCTCGATACAACCGTCGCAAAAGCTTCAAAGTGGTATTTATCGTGTTGCAATAAAAGAACCACCTCGCGAGATCATCACCCATGCTTGCCCCTTACTCAAGGTTACAATTCTATCCGAAACAAACCTTCTTTACGAGCTGGCCGGAGGATTCGTCGTGTGCCTGACTAAACCGAGCAGAGCCCACTGTGATCGTCAGGGCGAGAAAGTCAATGATGCGTCTCGATTCCATCAACGTATTCTCAGCTACGGTCTAAACATGCCGATACCACGGCCCAACTCATCCGATCTTGAAGGGATCAGCTGAAGTGTTCCCCATAGACAGTGACGACTTACCCACCGGGTAATTACGCGTCAGAGCAGCCGTTCTCCACTGGCAAGGATTGCGTTACGCAACGGTACCCAGTATTACCAGGTCAATCTTCATCTGCCCCCCCTTTCGATTGCCTTATCAGTCACAGAACCAACACTCATGGGCTCTAGCCTAGCTGAAAAAAAGTTTGCCAGGCGCAGCAACGCTGTCGCTTGTTATATACATACCCACCACAGCCTACCATTCTCTCCCACTTACCTGAAGTTTGCTTGCGCATCTTTATTTTCGTTTTTCTCGTAGTAGGCCAACGTCGCATTCTTTAAAAGTCACTCGTTCTTATGTTGCGACCTTCACTCGTTTTTTCTTTTATTAATATTAATCAATTCAATTTTTCTTTACCTTCTCCACGATGTATTACTCCGCGTGGTCCAAGATCGCCCTTGCGGGTCTTTTTGCTTCAGCTGCTGCTCAGACCTACAGCTCATGCAACCCTATGGAGAAGAGTATGTGAAAGAGTATCCGCTTTGTTTTCTTAACAGTCACTGACTATAGCCCAGCATGCGATCCTAACAAAGGTCTTGCGTCTTCTTCATACTCGGTCGACTTCACGAAAGGTGCTGATGACGACAATTGGGAGGGAACTGGCCATGGCACTGTCAAGTATACCTCTGATGGTGCTGAGTTCACTGTTGCTAAACAGGGCGATTCACCTACCATTCAGAGCAAGTGGTACATGTTCTTCGGCCGCATGGAGGTTCACTTGAAGGCCGCGCCCGGAACTGGTATCGTCTCATCTGTCGTGCTTCTTTCTGATGTTCTCGACGAGGTTGATTGGGAGTGGCTTGGAGGCAAGGACGGAGATGTCCAGACCAATTACTACGGCAAAGGAAACGACGCAGCCGATACTCGAAGTGCCACTTTCCCAGTCACCAACGCACAGGAGGAGTTCCACAACTATACCATTCACTGGACCAAGGATTCTTGCGAGTGGTACATCAACGGCGTTGCTGTCCGTACACTCAACTATGCCGATGCTCTCGGAGGAGAGAACTATCCTCAGACTCCCATGCGCGTCAAACTTGGTATCTGGGCCGGTGGCGATCCTGACAATGCTGAGGGAACCATCGAGTGGGCTGGTGGAGAGACTGATTACAGTGGTGGCCCTTACACCATGACCGTTCAGAAGATTACCATTGAGAACCTCAACCCTGCTGAGAGCTACACCTACGGCGATAAGACGGGCTCCTACAAGAGCATCGAGTTTGATGAGAAGGACAGTGGCAGTACCGACGACGATGACTCCTCATCAACTGCTTCCGAAGCCGCCTCAAAGACTGAATCCAAGGCCTCTTCTAAGACATCTTCTGAATCTACGTTCACTACCAAGACCTCTACCGAGACTGACTCCGAGTCCTCAACTACGGCGTCGTCTGATGACTCCAGCGAGACTGAGAGCGCCGACTTCGAGAACAACAAGGCAGGGATAACTAGCGCTGGTGCAACCTCGTCTGAGAGCAGTGCTGTAGCTACACCTTCGGCTACTGCAGGTTCGATAAACAGCGCTGCTGGAAACTGGCCCAAGATGTGGTTTGCTCTCGGAACGACTTTTGCTGCTATGGTCATGATGTAAATCTAGGGTTTGTCGTATATAGAGTGACGAAGCTGTTGATTTGGCTGGATAAGTCTTGTCGTAATACATACTTTGACTCTACATTGCTCTTGCGACGGATGACAACGACGCGTTTGTAGAACTAAAATTGCCGATTTCGTTCGGCCATGATGATGCCTTGTCTAATTTGTACCAAATGTGACTGCCAACGTGTTTGACCCCTAGCTATCGACGAACGGGCGGGAACTTCCTGAGCTGACAAGTTCATTATCAATCATAACTGCCTAGATTATGGTAGACGCCACGGTGACAGAATATAACTGGAACCCTACTCTATAGCCAATTAGTTAACCACCTAATGCTTTGTATAAGATATTATTTGCCAAGTATACCTTACACTACTTGCTTAAGCTTTAGACTTGAACTGAAGTTCTAATTAAAGCCAACTCTTTACTACTGCCTGGGTTATACGTCACTCTATGGGGATGACTGCCGCCTATAAGGTTAAGCTTGACCTCCAGTCTCTCTAGTTCCAAGATCGGGGACTAGTAGAAACACTCGAGGTTATTAAAGAGTCTATGTACAGCTACACCAGCTAGAAACAGTGACCTCAGGGGAAGGATAACCCTTTAAATTTAAACAAATACAATAGCAATAACATAGCTAAAACATAAGCTCAAGTGACATCTTTGCTTTGCACTCAGTGATACGAAGCGATCTACTGACACAATTGACAATGAAATTCATAGTCTTATATATAGAACCAGACCTATTCCTAATTCAAGGTTACAGTCTCGCCCTCCTTCTCTTAGCCGAGTTATAAACTATATCACGAGGAAAGCAGCTTTAGAAAATCTACGAGCAGTCACTCCAGGGTTCACTCTCATTGAGAAAATCTTTCGTGCATTGGTTCGAAGGGACTTCATCATGGCCTGCGATCAGCGAACCTCATACTCGATGGCATAGCGATCTAGATCCTCTTTACAGCACATCACATCCAAAAGTTTAGGAAGTTTATTAGGTAACTGGAAGCTTGAGGAATACGACAAAGCAGTTCGATATACTGACCTTCTTATATACCCTTCCCAATTCGAGAGAGAGGGGATCGATCTCAATATCCGCGTTAGCTATCTAGGAAAGCTCCCTGTCACGTCCCAATGCCAGATCCTAGTCAACATGGGCCCTTGCATCGCACAGTTCATCAACTCCAAGTTCTCATCAGATAGCATAATCAGCCCATAAATGCTTAGATGTTCCAAAGACGGCCGGGCCAGCTATAACGAGCAGCACGGTGTACGCTCCATATTGCAGCCATTAGCCATGCCCAAGAAGCAGAAAGGTGCTAATCAGACTTGTCACGGCGCAGCTCTATCTCAAGAGTCTAGACAAGTAACGAAGGGGCTAGCTTAGGCGTTACATTTAACCTCATGCTTATAGCTGCTTGCAAGAAATTTCATTGCCGATGGGCTGATTTTCTGGACCTCCGCCTCACACTCACCTATTCTATACGCGCTTCAACACTGGTAAATACTATGAAACCCTCTTAGGTTATATCTAAACCAAGTAAGTCCCTATTAAGAGGCTTTTTCAAGCTCTCTAAGCGTTTCCCAGTGCTTTTACTATTAAACTCATATCCCAGGCCTTACTGTGATGGAACGAAAATTCTATCTTTTGTCTCCGATTTTATTATCATTTAGGTTTTGGCTTCCTTCACCACTAGAAACGTCAAAGGACAGAGACTGACTAAAAATCAACTTGAGTGGGTCGACTAGTTCGCTGCCACAACGCTAGCACGTCCACGTGTAAGCAAAAGATGGAGAGCGTTATTGTGTATCTGGGATTCAGGCAAGGGGGTGTAATAAAACTTAGGACCTCTATCTTAGGTAACAAAAGTCTTCAGATCAGCTTAGATAAATTTAGTTAATTTAGTACAGATTTAGAGAATCTTAGACTAAGTAATTTTGGTACCTTAATTTAACGTTAGAAGCCTTCTTGCACAGGGCAATTGGAGCTGGGTCCTTGCGAGTTAGTCGCGCACGGGCTATAAAGATACGGATAACGGCAAGCATGAAATTCCCTCAAAAACTTACCCCACTCAACATTGCTGCTCTTCCACGCCGGATTCATCTTCTGCTCGGTCTCAACTGCATGCTGGAAACCCACCCCAGCACGGAGCAACGCTTTTATAAATTACTATCACGCAGTGTTCAGATATCACTTAAAACTTATTGCTATACCTCCTATAGGCATACTGACCAAGGGCCAATGAAAAGTGTAACGGCCTACAGAAATATATAAAGCTGCCTCCTCATTATATAAGGGACACTAGAAACCGTAATATAGTAAAGCGTTATTTGCTTAAGAGCGGACTGTGAAAGTTTGCTTAAACTGCTATAAGCTTCTCTCCTAAGGTTTCTTTAGAATACTTTAAT